AAAACATAAATAAACAACAAAATATTCATTATTAATAGTTTAGTAAGCTCTATCTCTCTCTCACAAATGTGAAATGATCAGCTGGCCTGCTAAATACTGAACAGCGTTTTCTTACCGTTGCGAAACACGTTTATTTTGCAATATAATAAGGTAATAGGGCCCACTGTTTATTATACCTGTATAACACTAACTCATTTGTTGATATTTATTTCCTTCATTTGTTTTTTGAAAGTATACTGGTTAACACAATTTCGATTATTGGTTAAAATTATATGGATGAAAAACTATGTCCACCAGTAAAAAATATTTTTTAATAAAATATTTGGAGGAAAAAATATCAACTAATAATTGTAGTTTTCATCACTAAGAGCGAATTAAAGTGGCTCTTTATGGTTCGCAATCGTTTGGAAATCCATATATCCCAAAGTAACAATAAACTTTTGAGAAAACTACAAGTCACAACCCCATAAACCATATACTTAAAATGTTCGTCATGACGAGAAACCTTGCGCAAAACTATCCATTATTTCTAAATTGTCCTGTAAGGTCGTAATTCCTTTCTAAAGGGAACTTTCCATAAAGTTAATGTTAAAAATACCTCAGCTGTACTTATTTGTATGTTATAACTTTCAATTTGTTACCTTATTAAAATCAGGTGTGATTATTTGTTTGTGGTACTGTATTCTGTTTTGTTTATTTCAGCTTAACTTAACCAATCAATAGTTTTATTAATAGGTACTTATGAAGTAACACGGGGTGAAGCCCGTGAGTAACAGCTTAAGTATAGTTCGATTAAGTACGAAATATACAGTTTTGCTCCGTGTGATGAACAAATATTTTCACCATACTGTAGAAGTAACCTCCTAATCGTTATGTCGTCATCAATGTTTACATTTCTGTTGTTTACAAACATAGCTTTAATATCGTGTGATTAGCAACGTTTTGATTTTAATCTATAAATCAATAATTCGGCCATTAATAACATATGCATCACCTAACTGGGGAACTAGGATTGCTTTCATAGCAATGAAAGCCAGTTGAGCGGAGCAATCATGTTTCATGATTTTTAATAAAGCAATGAATGAAAAACTTTTTATAGAAATAATACAAAATACAAATGTTCCCACACTCTGCACTGCTAGCCTTTACTACTTCCTTCATCACTTCCCTCGTCGTGGACCTGGTTTCCTCCCTTCCCAATAGCATTTTAGTATTTTAGATATATTAATCTAACTGTCCCACACTCTGCCCTGCTAGCATCTACTACTTCCTTCACCACTCCCTACGTAGTAGATCTATTTCCCTTCCTTCCCATAGCCTTATAGTATTGCAGATACATTCCTGTAACTGCCACAAACGGTTCCTACACTTCGCACTGCCAGCCTTTACTACTTCCCTCACCACTTCCAACGTTGTGGACCTGTTTTCCTCCCTTCCCATAGCATTTTAGGATTGCAGATCATGAATATAACTGTCACAGATGGTTCTCACTCTCCGGAGTGTTCGCCTATACTACTTCCCTCACCACTTCCAACGTTGTGGACCTGTTTTCCTCCCTTCCCATAGCATTTTAGGATTGCAGATCATGAATATAACTGTCACAGATGGTTCTCACTCTCCGGAGTGTTCGCCTATACTACTTCCCTCACCACTTCCAACGTTGTGGACCTGTTTTCCTCCCTTCCCATAGCATTTTAGGATTGCAGATCATTAATATAACTGTCACAGATGGTTCTCACTCTCCGGAGTGTTCGCCTATACTACTTCCCTCACCACTTCCAACGTTGTGGACCTGTTTTCCTCCCTTCCCATAGCATTTTAGGATTGCAGATCATGAATATAACTGTCACAGATGGTTCTCACTCTCCGGAGTGTTCGGCTATACTACTTCCTTCACCACTTCCTATGTCGAGAACCTATTTAAGTTTGCCATTTATGAGATAGATCCATGAATGTGATTCACCTAAAAATTGTTTAAGATAAAATGTTATTTATTATAACCTTTATTTAGCTACGTAAATCAAATCTATTAAATACTGTACCTAAGAAAGTACGATTTATCTATGACTCTACCTATTCGATCAATGGTCGTTTCCAAATTGCGACTTAAATGTAAACCTAATAACTTTCTCTGTACTATTTGATCAGTTGTCATCATCAATTTTTTCTCCTTTGTACTGTGGTTAGGTCGTGTCTTGATTTGAACATATGCTATGATTCTTTGTTTTGTTTTCATTTATGTTGTTATTTGGAACCATCATGGCACACCATAAGACCAATGTTAACACCTTACACTTTTAAAACACTTTAAAACTTTTTTACACTTTGAGTTACTTTAAAATTATATAGGCATTATCAAAAATTGAAATTGATTACGTCTAAACCATCTAAACATTTGACAAAAAAACCTTCGTAAGTTTGGCTACAATTTTCCAGCCGTTATTGAGAAGTGTTATAAGGATTGCAATGAAGTTGATCCCAAAGAGCTTCGCCTAGCTCCGCTCAAAAAACAAAACTGTTCCAAATTCAAGTAATCCAAAATACATTTTTTAGAATAGCAGTGAATGCTCCTTGGTTCGTATGAAACAAACCCATACACGAAGAGCTTGAAATAGAGTCTGTCTCGACCTTCATTGGAAAAATACACCTTCAAATTTCTAAATTCTCTAGTTCCTCGAGCACTCTGGCGTTCAATTTTGGAAAGATCACAGAAAATAGAAGATTACGCCAAAGACTTCTTGTTGGACGAAGCCTAAAGAAAATTTAACATATGACGTGCATCTAAATGTACTATGTTACAGGGTGTCTCAAGTTTGAGCGAACCCGCAATGTTATTTTATTTTTCTGTTTTGTTAAAACTTCTGTGAATAATGTAATATTGAACCAGAAATAAATGTTTGAAAAAAACAGCGTTTTAATAATGCACTGATGCAAATTTGATGTTAGCGAACAGACAAATTTACCATATTTTTCCAATTTGAAGTTACCCAAACACGGTGAATTATTGGACGATTATGAGAACAAAAAACGGCTGCTTCCCGGACAGTATGATGAAATAGTGGTTTTCACCACTAGGAGTGAAAGTGGCTCTTTTTGGTACACAATGCGCCTAGCTTGGAAATACGATTAAGTACCAAAAAGAAACTTGTCCTCCGTGCGATGAACAACTATTTTCATCATACTGTGGAAATAACCTTCTAATCGTTACAAAATTTCACCGCATAGTTTGAGGCTATCCAAATCGTTATCAATGTTTACATTTCTCTTGTTTACAAACATAGCTTAAATATCGTGAAATTAGTATAATTTTCATAATGCACTGTTAAATTTTGAGGTTAGCGAATGGAAGAATTTATTTACAATATGTTTTTTTCTGTTAACAATGATTTTGATGACGATTTAGATAACTAAAATGGCTGCTTTCCGGGCAGTATGGTGAAGATATATTTTAACAAACCATATACCACATAATTGGACATCAAGATTATGTTTAATTACTTATCTTATCTGATAGATAAAATATTTATACCAATCCGATTTTTTACGAGCTAACCTAACCCCAGTTTTCTTAAAAAGCTAATATTATGGTATAAAAATATTTTCTTCATGCTAAGTATAAAAACACATTCCTTTTGTATTTACCTCGACCTCAAGACTTCAAGTGTAACCTGACCAAACTTAACCGTAAAATAATTAGATCAAAGATAACTTTAAGTGTCATAAAACTTATATTATTGGCAGAGACTAATTTAAGGTAGGCTATGCTAGTTAGTTTGGTCATTACTTCGCTGCGAAATTATACAGGTTAAGGGCGCTTTTTAGTAAAACATTAATAGCTGAGTTGAGTATAAAATAAATAGATATAACAAGTAAGTTTAGTCAAAATATATCTATAAAAACATGCAAACTACAACAGTTTACTTAATCTCCATAAGAATAACATATTATGGAAATTTTATATTTACAATTTTTTTAATTTTCTCTGTAATCAATAACCCTACAAAAACACTTCAATATACTAAATTATTTGTTTTTTAAGCTCTTCAAAATGGTCTAGAGAGAAATTGGCAAATTTTATGTTTTGAGGGTCAAAAATGAGAAAACCCTATTTTTACCCCATAAAATCCCCTGTAAACCCCTGTTCCCATGGATCATTCTGGTTCTCAGTCGTGGGTTTACACGTTTGTACCAAATTTCATCGATATCGGATTATTTTTGCTTGAGTTATAAATAGTGCTAACGGAAACACACACACACACACACACATATAAATACAAATACATATATATATTTTATACATGTTGTATATATACACATAAATATATATATACAACGGTTTTTAAGTTATTAAAGAAACAAAATTTTAAATGGCCGCAATTTTGTTTTGTGAATTTGAACATTTTTCCTAATTTTTCTGTATCTTTGTCTAGTTATCATAAATGTTTGTGCAAAGTTTCAATTTTTTCCTACGTCAAACCATTATGAAGGAGAAAATTAATAAGTGAAAATAACAAAATGGTTGCTGTGTGAGTAACTAAGGACTTACGGACAATTTAAATATGATATTTAGATATGATTCCTACCTAGGAACAATGCCCTAAAATATTGGTAGGGAGTTCTGAAACACCCTGTGTATATGAATTTTAACGGATTGTGTTTTTGGCCTCCGGGGACATCAAAACGAAAAAAGTAAATCGGTCCCGGGTCCAGGTCTTACCATGAGATTTACGGTAATAGCGTATTCCCTATATGGGAAATTCGCTAAAACATACAATACCAAGAAAAATGTTTGCACTAATCATGTGAAACGTACCTTTCAATTGTCGACCATCAGTTTGTTACGTGCTGCAGAAAATTAAACACGTCTTCAGGTCAAAATTTCAGCTATTAACCCATCTTGGTTTAGTTATTTTGTATATAAACTATGTATACTATGAGTGTGTGAAAACTGAAAAGAAAATTCACAATTTGTATTTATTTACATGTTTGATATTTTACAGTAATACCTAAGGTTAAACAGTGGGCGCCAAAAATATGGTTTGACCCCCAAGAAAAGTTCTTCCCATTAAACGTTGATAGTTTTTTGAAAGAAATCACTCCTGAGGAGAAAAACGGACAAAAATATTCTGATGATAGCTACTCAAAACTTCCTACTGGTCCGAATTCCAAGAACTATTACTTAATTACAAAACAAAACAGAGGTAAGAAAACTATTATATTTTTGTCATACTCTCTTGGCCGTTGAGCACATACGGCTGCCTCTGCCAATCATACTACTCTCATTTACGATATACTTGCCTTCCTTATAGATTCATTTAAATTACAAAATGGGAATAATTTAGTAAAACTTAAAAATGACGAGCTTTTTTACTAAAAAACAAAATATTTTTTATCTCTTCACCTTTTACAATATAGATTTTTCGTAATTATCATCCTATACACTATTGGACACCTCTACCTATGGTTTTCTCCATTTAAAAGTCAAATATTGTTTTAAATTTTTATTGAAAAAAACTGCTTACGTAGACAATAATAAAAATGAACAACAAGAAAATAGAACAAGTAGCCTACTTCTGTTTCAGATACACTACTGAAGGATAACAAATCATATCTACATGGTGTGAACCCAACTACAGAAGAAGTTTCAATATACGCTCACGTACATACATGTGATACTAATTATGATAATTTCATCATAACTTACTGGTTCTTTTATCCATTTAATGAAGGGAAGGAAATTTGTACAGTAGGAAATCAAACACCCATACCTGTACCCCAAATTTTCAATCGATGTTTGGGCAAACTGAGATTTTACGGAACTCACGTTGGAGATTGGGAACGAGTGTCGTTGATAATAAAGGTTTGTAAATCACGGGAAAGAAATTTAAAACATAACTTAATAATATACACTAACAACTCTACTAACGTTTTCCAAACACATTTGATAGGGTTTTGAATATTATGGTCATATTTCTTAAAAGTAGGATACCTAGATTTACAGGACGTAGCAGCTATACAGACATGTTGCACGAAAAACTATATAAATAGACAATTTAAACAACAAAAACAAATGTAAATAGACTATTAAGTATTAACAACGAAAACTAGATAACAAACCATTTACAACAAGACAGTATAGAGCATTTACAACAAAAACAATATAAATAGACTATTTAACAATAAAAACAGCATAACAGAATGAAAACCTGATGAATGACACCAATAACAAGACATGTAGATTCTTCTGAGTACGGCAGAAATCATCTTCCACTTAAGTCAGAAACGAGTTCCGTACTCAGAAGAATCTACATGCCTTGTTAATCGTGTCATTCATCTGGTTTTCATTGTTATGTTGTTAAAAGGTCTATTTATTTTGTTTTTATTGTTAAATAGTCTAGGCCTGTTTATATTGTTTTTGTTGTAAATGCTCTATATTGTCTTGTTGTAAATGGTTTGTTATCTAGTTTTCGTTGTTAATACTTATGATTCTATTTACATTTTTGTTGTTGTTTAAATTGTATATTTATATAGTTTTTCATGCAACATGCCTGTATAGCTGTTACGTCCTGTAAATCTATACATATTTAATCATCAAAACGGTGGTGTTATCGTATTTCACACTATCATTAATTATTGCTCACACTAATCTATTTCATATTAAGTGACATTTAATTGTTAATGTCAACTCAACACTCTTGTAAAATGGCGTTTGCCGTGCATGTAATAAATAAAATAAAATAAAAAATCCAAGATGGCCACCGGAAATGACCACCCTGTCAAAATGAAGTTTTCTTATTATCCAACAATGTTTGGGGGTCTGGGATCAATATTCGAACAACTATAGAAAAAAGTAGTGTAGCGATTAAAACTCACCCTGTATGGTTTTTTAACTTGTAACGCCCACTACATAACCTCTGTATCATCTGGTGTTATCCCAGTTTTTCTCGTTTCCGAGGTGGCCTCTTTCCAAATTACCTCGAATAATCGAGCATCTACTGTAGGCCTATATACTCTGTGGAAGCAAAAATTGTTCATTCATACACACCATTTATAGAGAATTGCTTCCGGAGGTAAAAACCCACAGTTGGCCTGTAAGAATCCTTAACTTATACCTCCGGAGGCAATATTTGATGAAAATATTTGTTATTTATATTGTGGTATATGCAATTGTTATCGAATATATTTGTTGTTTGGGTAATTTGATTTATATATTGTAATATAACCTAAGTCATACCATAAACTTTAACCTTGTATACAAGCATTTAAAGGTGGAGGCAAAAACTAGGATATATACAGTGGAGGCAGAATCTAACAAATCATAGGTATATATATCTATATATATAAAATCCAATGTATGTTTGTATTGTATGTTTGTTTGTTTGTCCTTTATGGACTCCGAAACCGCTCGACAGATTGTAATGAAACTTTCAGGCATTATTAAGCATATTCAAGGATGGTTTGTGTGAAGTTTGGTGCAGATCCGTCAAAAGGGCTCCGCCCCAGTGGCTCTGGAGTTTCCCATGTTAACCTTATGAGTACTCATATTAAAATGGAATTAAAGAATCTTAACAGCTGGTTCAACTAAGCAATTGGATTCTGTGATGTTCAATAGCATTGAAAAGTTAAAATGTTTACCAACAGGATGCAGCACGATTATTTTTTTTTTATTTATGACTTGCAACCAAAAGGTGAGTGAGCGTAGCGCACGAACTTCAACCTGGAGGCGAGTTAGCGTAGCGAACGAGCTAACCTGAAGGTAAGTGAGCGCATCGAACGAGCTCCAACCTGAATGTGAGTGAGCGTAGCGAACGAACTTCAACCAGGATCTTGAAAATGAACAAGCATTTGACATAAAACCACATTAGGACAGGACGACGTCTGTCGGGCCAGCTAGTAAATCTATAAAAATGTAAACAATAAATGGCGTTTTTCGCCTCTGGGGACATCAAAATGAAATACCCCCGCCGCAGCAAACCTGCAGACTAAGCGAATTTCCATTAATCTGATTGGATTTACACTAAAATGCCTTCATAAAAATAGCACATTTATTTCCTATTTAAATAGAATTAGTTTAACGAGTACTTAGGTTTGCTGCAACAGGGAGGGTAAAAAAGATTTTTTTTATAAAATGATAATAGTTTAGTAAGAAATAAAAGTATTTTCCAAAATCAATCAAAATATGTTCATAAACAAGCAAACTACAACAGTTGACTTATTCTCCATAAGAATAACATGGGAATTTTAAAATTACAATTTTTTTGAATTTTCTCCGTAACAATTAGGCGCATAATAACGCTTCAATATACTAAATTATTTGTTTTTTTTTAAGCTCTACAAAATGGTTTAAAAAGAAATTTTGAAATTTTGTGTTTTTAGGGTCAAAAATGGGAAAAGCCTATTTTTACCCCATAAAACCCCCCATAAACCCCCGTTCCCATAGTCCGATCATGCTGGTTCGCGAACTCATTCAAGTTTATCCCGCCTTACACCTTCAAACCAAATTTTATCAAAATCGGACAAAAATTACTCAAGTTATCGTGCGGATGGACACATATATATATATATATATATATATATATATATATATATATATAGATATATATATAAAAATTTGAACGAATGGTGTTTTTGGCCTCTGGGGACATCAAAATGAAAAAGTAAATCGGTCCCGGGCTTAGGTCTTACCATGAGACCTACGGTAATAGCTACTTCCCTATAGGGAAATTCGCTAAAAGTAAATCGGTCCCGGGCCTAGGTCTTGCCATGCCACCTACGGTAATAGCTACTTCCCTATAGGAAAATTCGTTTAACAAATTTACACAAATATCTAATGGAGAAAAAACATAAATATGAAATTAAAAGAAATAATATATTTGTTATTTACAATTCAAGTGTGTAAGGTAATTCATAAACACGATTAAATAGAAGAAACAAGAGAAGTGTTAATTAAGCAAGAACGGAACAAAAACGCCGTAAATACATTTTTTTAATTTGTTACTCTGCGTGTTGGAAAGTTCCTGCAATGTGTTCTTAGATTTTAGATAACGTAAACAGGAATATTTTCAAAATGTAATAAGTTGATTGTTAACTAGAGAAATCGCTTCAGCAGCGTGTGCCCTGAATATCCTATCAGTATAGGCTATTATATAAAACACAGAATACAACAAACAACACGAATAACTAATATAATTTTACTTAATTTAACTCGCCATCCAAGTTTGATTGATAAGAATAATTATTTACCATTATATGGTTAGTCTTGGCAGCAATCTAGGGCCCTCAAAATGGATATTTTAAACCAAGAAATTATCGGGAAATTGCCATTGCACTTTCTATAAATAGATGACTAGTAGTAGGAAGGTTTTTTAAACTTGATTTTTAACGGAGAATATATGTTTGCCCCTTTATATAGCCTTAATTATAAATAAGGTATAATAAGAGTTTCTCCTAATAATAGTTTACTTCATAAAGATAGTAGAGAGAAAACAGTATTTGGGGTTTCTGCATACGTTTCTTCTTTACGGAGTATTCTGCACGGGTTTTAGAAATAATCCCAGCTTAGAGAGCCCATACAAATGTTTGATATTTAAATTATTTTCAGACGGCATTTTCCCTTTATTTCCCGACCACTGGAACAATTTAAAAAGATAAAAAAATTACTCGTATTTGTTTTAGAATGGAAGACCAACTCTGCTATTTCTGTCTGTTCACGAATCTGGAGTGTATTACATCTACGATGAAACCAGAGAGAGTTTCAAGCTCTTCGAGGCCATGTCCGAGGGCCTAGGCCAGCCCTCATCTCCCCCAGAGACAGTGCAGCTGGATGATCATGGACATCCTATCTTGTTCTCGGCCAAAGGATCTCACGCTCTATGGGCTGGAGTAGGTGAGTAACAGAAAGACTCTATAAAACCAATGCTACAAACATCCTGGTTCTTATCTAATGGTTTTAAGGCTATTAAATTAAAGTTAAGACATAAAAATGAAACATAATTTTCATACGCATTCACTTGACACGTTGTGAGTGGCATGCCACAATGGCGCAGGTGCTCTTTTTGTCTGACAATAGCTTAGACTGTCCAGCTGCATTTTCTTTGCCACAATTTGGCAGGAATTGGAGCTCAGAGAGTGCGTCGCTGAAGGTGAACAGTAAACTGGGCATAACCAGTGTTGACTTTAGGGCGGGTTACACACCGGTATCGCAGACATAATGTCGCCGATATTTCTGATGTCGCGGGCATGATGTCTGCGACATATAATAAAATAAAAACCATGGAAGACGCACGTGCTGGCGACATGAAAGTGAAGGAATCACAAAATTCATCAGTTTTAATAATGTCATCGTCAGAAGAAGATGATGTGTTGTTGCTGTTGTTCTTTCTAGAAAAAAACATTAAAGATAACTTCATGGTATTTTTTCCAAAATACATTCTAATCAATTGTATTGCAGTACTTACGTAATTTCCTTATGGTGTCAATTGAAGTATTATAATATCACAATACTACATTTCACGCCATAAGGCAATTAAGTAAGTAAAAAAGCGCTAAAACTACTAGAAACGTGTTCTGCGCATGCGCGGGCCCAAGAGACAAGAGACATGTCTGTCCAAACACCGACCGGTTCACCGGTTGGTTCGCTCGAGACACGCGCCTGCGACACTGGTGTGTATAGCTCAATAAGTTAACATAGGTTGGTTTTCGAGGGGCATGTCGCAGGCACGAAAAATATCTGCGACATCATGTCGGAGATACCGGTGTGTAACCCGCCTAACTAAAATGTTCAACTCCGCAGCACCCGTTTACGGGCAACCATGTTCGTGAGCCAGTTGGCGGACACGCTCGTTAACATGTTTGCCCGTGTATGGGGGGCTGATCGATGGAATACTTTGAACAATAAATTTCCAAAGCTTAGTATTAAAATGTTTAACTAATGAATGTTAATCTATTTCTTAATCCATCTATACCATTGTAAATAAAGAATAGGTGGTGTCTGTCTGTGTGTAAGTGTGTTTGTATGAGCTAAACTCAAAAACTACTGAACTGACTGGGCTCAAATTGCACACAAATGAAGCTACAGCTCCGAGGATACACATAGAACCACAGACTATACAATATGTAATTTTTTACTCTATAGTCTGTGATAGAACTATTCCCGCTTCGATTTAGGGATCTGCCCCGTGGGCTTTCAAAAAATATGTGGTGAGAGATTTAAAAGTAAACCAGAGAACCGATGCTGCTCCGCAGGGTTAAATAAATATAATATCCGAGAAATAATCAAATTTATAATTTTTGATTGAGTAATACAGTATCTTGAGTTTAACCGATTCAATCGATCAATAGCTCAATTGAAAGCTTATAATTTACTGATTATTTTGAGTCTAAAACATATGGAAAAACGATAACAATACTGGAGCTATTGATTTGAGCGAATTTCCCTATAGGAAGTGGCTATTACTGTAGGTCTCAAGGTAAGACCTAAGCCCAGGACCGATTTACTTTTTCATTTTGATGTCCCCAGAGGCCAAAAAACACAATTCATTCAAATTTTTATATATGTAGGCTTATATGAATATATAAGCTGTGTGTGTGTGTCCGTGAACACGATAACTTGAGTAATTTTTGTCCGATTTTTGTAAAGACTTTAATTATTTGGAAAACTCAATCTGAGCCTCTTATTTCCAGGACAACATCAATACACCAAGTTGAGGCTGAGAGAGTTGTCGGATACTGTAGACTATGGTACTGCATGGGAAACTTGGCACTCGGTGCAGGTGTTCTACTCTGATGAGACGACCCCTGAGTGGTTCAACTACCAAGGTCGCTGGGGCAATCCTGGCTCTAACTGTCTAGGTCTAGGGAACTTCCTTTGTGAAGCATCCGACGGCCCTCCAGGACTGGTCACCCGGCAGCCTGACTTCAGTTGCCCACCAAAGTCATAGATTTAAATTAAAAATGGACAGAAAATAAATTTTTATGGGCAGTATTTTTCCTCAATAATCTGTCATTTATATAATAATCCTCTTAGCAATAAACACAGAAATTAGAAGTTTTAGCAACAAAACGAATAACTTGCAGAAAACCCCCCGATTGCATTGCCTAACCATGGTGATGACTAGATGAGCATAAAGTTTTCATTTAAATCGATACTACTTGCCCTATCCAAAGTCAATGCTGTACCTGTCTCTTATAAATGTATATTATCTACTTCCAGTATCTAAAGTCATTGCTGTATCTGGTTCACGTCAATGCAATGTCTAATTGCTGTATCCAAAGTTAATGATATTTGGTTCACATAAATGGAATCGGATGGTTTAGGAGGAGTATTTGTAAAACAAAAGCAGGAGTGTGGTGTAAGAGTTTCGCTAGCATCACTCACTCCGCTCAAATAACACATCTTACAGTAGTGGTAGAAACATTCTGTAGAGCAGACGCTATGATGGTAGGATACGCATATGATTCAACCTTAGACTATTCATCCAATAGTCAATAATTCAACGTCATCAATGTCATCATTTGAAAATCTAAAACTTGGTTAAGGTATAATGGAAAATATGTATGTGCCTTAAGAGAGTATGTTGTTCTGGAAACAATGAATGGAGGATAGATACATTGTCCTACAATACAAAGCACAATCGAAGTGAAGCTGTGGTTTATAAGGTAGGACGGTAAAATGTGTTGTAGAATGAAGTCTGCAGTCTTGCGACACCCCCCTCCCCTCTAAACCTTGTTTCAGAAACACCCGAAAAATACTTAATTTGAAGGAAATTACTTGGAAAAGTGGGCGACTTTAAGATTTCCTAGCTTGCTTTATATTTTTGCTTAAATTTACAGATAGTTTTTTCTCGCATATATTAACCAACAGAATTAATGCAAGCAATAATAATATCTCGTATGTATGACAAATCTAATAAAAATTAAGCACGAGTAATCCCAAAGAATTCATTTTTACTAGGATTTCTTGACCTTGTGAGGAGCCAAAACGAAAGTTTTGATATTCCTTTCTCAATCTTCCAGAGCGCCGGAAATTGTGACATAACAAACGAGAAGTCCGACCATTGTTGGAGAAAGCGACGCTCATTCGTCGGGAGGGGAGGGAATACTAGCGTACTGGACATGTAGTTTACTGACCGTAGAGTGCGGGCGGCGACGATTAACTCGGACCGTTATCAGCGATTATGACTTTAATTATTAGTTTAAACTTAGTACCTATTATAATTAGTTTTCTATTAGTAAACTTCTGCAAAGATGATAGTTAGGAAAGTGGTTGTTTAAAGGAATGATATTAAAAGTGAATTGATAAGGATATGAGAAAGGCATGATCTTACTTATTTTTTTGCAATATATATTCATCAACGGAAGTCATTGTGCCGACGACAGAAAAGTAAATATGGAGGATAATATAGATTTAGTCGACAGAAAGGGTAAGTATGCTCTGATAAACTACCATGATAGTCTATTATTTACAGCTGATTCAACAATAGTTATTTACACATTATATTTTTCCTACTAACAGTTACAGTACTATAAATCATATAAATAATTGGTCTTTCAAACACTATTCAGCACGTTTCTAGGTTAAGTTAAATCCAAGCGTTGAGCGAAATAGGAAACGCTGCACCAGCTGGTCGTAGTCGTAGTATACCTATCTAAGTATTGTCATTGACTATGGTATTGCCAACTTATTTTCAAGCGTACTAGTATTACCTAATAAAAGTACTCTGTTTTGCGTTGTTCGGTTGAAATAATGGAGTGCGGCAAAAGTAAGTAAATGCAGCAATTGCTACTTTGCGTGCTATAATCAGTGCAAGGAAGCCCACTTTGTCAGGTAACTGTAGGAAAAAGTTCTTTGTTGATTGTTTTAATAGCCTATCGTTCAGTGAGAATGTTTTAAAGGTTGTGTAAGCTTAGCTTCACAAATGATCGTTATAACTTTAAATTAATAAACACTATTTTAGCATTAAGGCTCTCTAGTACCGATAAATTTGCATCAATTTAACAATGATTACTGTTAAGATATTAATATATTGTTTATAGTTACAGTATTATTGTTATTATTACTCTATACTAGAACCTACATACATACGTTGTGCACATTTTTTTTTAAGTTTCTGTCATTGGAATTATAAAATTATAATAAACTACTTGGAACAAAATGGTTTACCTTTTTTGTTTCTCAAACCATTAACCACCGCTTTTATAGGTCGTCTTTTCAGTTTCAGTTCATGTGGTTGCAGCACATTTGACAAAAATCAATAAAATCTCTCTTTCAATATCATATTTATAAAATGAGCTACATTTTAAATTCTATGTTAATAAACATAGGAAAATTGTAAAATGTATTCATTTTTATTATTAACATTTTATAAAATGTAGCGTCAAACCTAAATACTTGTTGAATCTAATGTTATTTGAATAGGGGAAAAATCTGAGATCTTTAAGGAAATATTTGACCAAAAAACCAATCAGACAAATAGAAATTCGCCTATAATAGCGGTTAATAATAATCGACCTAATAGGTTTGCTGCAGCGGTTTTTTTATTTGAAAATATTGAATATTTTTTTATATTACGTGAGAGGTATTTTTTTTAGATGTGTAGTTGTTGTGTTATGTAAATATGTGTACAGTAGGAACATAACTTGCATTGACATTGTGGTTTAATATTTTACAGTTATATCTTTGGTGAAACAATGGGCACCAAAAATATGGCTAGATCCTGAAGAAGAGTTTTTTCCCATAGATGTTGATAGTTTTTTAAAAGAAATCATTACTTTTGAGAAAAAAGGAAACACATTTGTAGAAGATGACAGATTTAAACTTCCAACTGGTCCTTATTCCAAAAACTATTACTTAATTACCAACAGAAATAGAGGTAAGAAATCTGTTTGTTTTTTTGTCCTATTTCCTGCCTCCCAAAGGTGTTGACGTATAGGTTTATTTATTACAAACAATCATTACCAGTATGCACTTAGTTGGTTCAAGTGTGTCTGCTTATTGAATCCTTAAACATCAAAATCTCGTTTTAATATGCCTACACATTATCCCCATCTCAATTAAAGATGATTAATTATTTTTTTAAATTTTAGAATATTTTGCTGTAAGTTTTTAATTTCTTAGCATTAACAATTTACTTTTCCAAATTAATATTTATCCCTCTTGTATATAATAATAAGGAAATCCAAAGGTACGTAAAAAAAACTCAAGGCTCATTGAAGCTGGCTCAAAACTCTTAAGAGGTTTGTTTAAATGTTTTAATGAAAACATTTTACCTTATTTAGATTAACTGTTAGTCTACTTCACCATTCATTGTGTACTTAGTTGTTTGGTGTTCAAGTTCCATTACCATGGGGTTGGGTTCTCTATTAAAATGCCCGCCAACACTAAAGTGGTAGCCACCTTCTCGCCCTACTAAAACAGCTGTTGCACTAATTCATAATGGAGCGTCCGCGCAATGTTTATGTTTATATGTTTAATAGGTACTGTTGTTTATATCTTACTAATATTATAAATCTGAAAGTTTGTGAGTTTGTGTGTATGTTTGTGTGTATGTTTGTGTGAATGTTTGTGTGTGTGTGTGTTGCTCAATCACGCATAAACTACTGGACGGATTGGGCTGAAATTTGGCATGATGATAGCTCACATTCCCGATTAACATTAAAGCATATTCTTATCTCAAAAACCCTTTCGGGCTCCGCCCCAGTGGCTCTTTAGTTCCCCATGTTAATCTTATGATTTTTCATATTTAAAAGGAATTAATGAATCTTAACAGCTGTTTCAATTAAACAAGTTAGTTCTGTTCTATGATTTTCAATAGCATAAAAGTTACAAGAATTACCAACAGGGTGCAGCACTATTTTTTTTTTTTATTATTTATGACAACAGCTGATTTGCAACCAAAAGGTGAGTGAGCGTAGCGAACGAACTTCAACTTGGAGGCGAGTTAGCGTAGCGAACGAACTAACCTGAAGGCAAGTGAGCGCAGCGAACGAGCTCCAACCTAAAGGTGAGTGAGCGTAGCGAACGAACTTCAACCAGGACGTGAATGAGCCATGCGAATACTTATGAAGTTAGACGGGGCGAAGCCCGCGGGTACAGCTAGTGTTTAATACTGTTGTTCTCATAGCAACAGGCTGGCCAGTGGCACGATGCCACACACCATTGCAGTGCCCTTGTACTAGAGGAGGCTATATGCAGTTAACCATTTGGCCACTCATTGTATTTTTTTTTACTTTCTCCCCCCTAAATAGTATATGGAGAAAGTATTGTTTTGTCAAAATGTTCGAGTTTGAGTTTTGGGTGGATACATTTGTTTTGGGTCCCCTTGAACCCAAATAGGTGGGTTTTGAAGTGATGTCTGTGTGTGTGTCTTTATGTGTGGATGTGTACAGAGCTACAGACCACACATGTGGTCTGATTTTGATTAAATTTGGTATGCTAATCCATGGTATTACCAGGTGCTTTATTCTTTTTATTTTTACTTTTTATGGTTATTTTCAATTTTCCATTTGTAAAATAATAGCAAATTTTTCTCAAAATTGCCCAAATAATTTTTATTGTAGTTTAGTACGCTAAAGTCTTTTAATTTTAAACAAAACGGTACAACCCCCATTGCTATTAAAATTATGGTTCAAAAGTTATTGTGGCTCATGTTATTTAAAAAAAAAAAACATAATGGTTCTTATAACCCTAAACAGAATAGTACAACCTCCATTGCTGTAACAATTGCAGTTCAAGAGTTATTGCAGCTTTTGTGATATTACCCATAAATATCATACTTTCTCCCACCACTTGCCCATAATAAGGGTTTTTGGCAAGCTGTAATGAATCAAAGTATGTGTCAGATTGCTTATACTGATTATTTTTTTAACTAATGAACTCATAGCTACAACTATCCAATCCATTCACCCATTATTTATTTGGCTGCTGAACTCACAACTACAAACTACCCACAGAGACGTAAGATGCTTATGGGACAATTGTGCGCTTTTAGCTCTGGTATGTTCTGCCTTTTGGTGTTGGACTCAGTGATGAGGAAAGCCACAAGTAACAGAATAAAAGGGAGTGCAATGGGGACTGAAAGATCTTGACTTTGCTGATGACATATGCTTGCTTGCCCAAAGATATCAGACATTCAGGCTAAGTTGTGATCTCTACAAGAAGACACTATCTCAATTGAGCAGCTATGGGAATGCATAGGGCAACAAAAGCTACAATTAGGGATTTGAAGGAAGAAGTGGGGACATACCCTTCGAAAGCCCGACACTGACATTGAGAAGAAGGCATTAGAGTGAAACCCGCAAGTGACATGAAAGAGAGGAAGACCTTGAGAAGAAGAAGACCTTGAGTGGCAAAAAGAGAAGAACAGTGCAGAAGGAGGCTGTGAGCAAAGGAAGAACTTGGGGTCAGCTGAGGGACCTGGCACAAGATAGGGTTGGATAGCGAGCTCTTCTGGATGCTCTATGCTCCTAGCAAGGAGCTACAGGAGATAAGTCATGTTGTGCCGGAAATATACTTCTGAAACGCAAGTAAGAGTCCGAACAGCAAGCACTGTGCAGAAATTCCTAGGGCACCGGGTCTTCCTCCACTTGAGCATTGTAGTACATGAGGGCAAGGAGCGCAGTGTTGAACTTTGCCCTAGACAACAGCACTAGTGCTAGACACCACTCAATTGTATAATATGGAGTGTACCCTCTGTTCCTTACTTCTCTGTGACCTACCCAAATCCTCAATTGATTGCACATTTATTTAGCTGTTAAACGCTTAACACGTCCAACTTGTTGTTGTTTATTTTAGATGATTGTATTTTTAGGTCCAAATTATGAAAGTCAATTTGTTTCAGATGACTTACTGAAGGATCCTCATTCATTTCTACATGGTGTTAACCCATCTCATAAAATTGTATCAATTTATGCTCATGTAAAAAAATGTGATAATAATTATAATAATTTCATTGTAACTTACTGGTTCTTTTACCCATTTAATGAAGGGAAAAAGATTTGCACAGTAGGAAATCAAAGACCTGTACCAGTACCTAAATTATTCAACAGGTGTGTCGGCAAACTGAGATATTTTGGAAATCATGTAGGAGACTGGGAGCGAGTGTCTGTGGAAATAAAGGTCTGTCTACATATGTGAAGGAATTGATAAATAGCTAGGAAGTTAATTTAACTAACAACTAAACTAACCTTTTTCTAAAATGTTTCTAACCATTTATTTATGCATTTATTTTAGTGTAGTATTTTTTTAAACTATAGTTAATTCATAAACCCCTCAGTTTATGCACAACTGAACTACTACCACTACTAACACCTACTGAACTGTACACTACTGAACTGTTACTAACAGGCGCTTAATTATCTTCAGGTTAGGTCTTCTCTAGTATATATCAACTTGTTGGGTTTAATGTAGTATTTTTTTAAATTATAGTTGGTACTGCATGGGTTGGTGTAGGATCATAAGGATTCATTATGACATGTCAAATTTAATCTATAAAGCTACAAAACTTAATTAGGTAGATGTTTCAATACTACATATTGGAAACTAGTTTTATTCTGGAAAATATGTTTTGTTGTGGAATAATTTAGTGATAAAAAGGAAATACAGTATTAAGGTTTAGTATTTTTTAAGTATTAATTAGTATTTTTTAAGGTTAAGTACAACTGGAATCGAAATTTACTTGTTCATTAATCAACTTATTTATATTTTTACATTTTTCCTTATAAATATACAATTTTTCCCAAGCATTCATCACGTATCCGTATCCCTTCTTACAATTCTTCTAAAATACATAGACTATCCTCCATTTTTTCTATTGAGTGTCCATTTTGTAACAGGTGTTGTGCGACATTTGATCTTTCCGGTTTGTTGTTTCTCCATGCAGATATGTGGTTTTTGAAGCGGTTGACGAAGTTCACAGTCTGTCCAATGTAGAAGCTATCACAATCGTTATAATTGATTTTATAGATGCCCGATGCGTCGAATCTGTTACAATCTTCTATTTTTGGATGCAGTATTTCACTAATGGTGTTCTGAGTCCTGTAGGCTATCAAAACTCCGTTTTCTTGAATCTATTAGCAGTCCTTTGTGTTGTAGTCCCCGTGTAGCTAAATGTGACATATCTGGTGTTTTCCTCTTTTATCTCTTCTAATGTTGTTCTGCTGTGTAGTGTATTCTGTCTATTGAGTTTTCTTTTCGTCTTTCTTGCGATGTCCTCTATTGTCTTGGTTCGATATCCATTAACTTGAGCGATCTTCTTAATAGTGTCCAGTTCTTTCTTCCTATTGGCTTGGCTAAGTGGGATCTTATAGGCTCGGTACAGCATGGATCTAATAGCTGCGGTCTTGTGGATTGTCGGATGGATAGACTTGCTGTTTATTGTAGTGTCCGTTTGTGTAGGGTTTCTGTAGATGTCAAACTCGATCTTGCTGTCTTTTCTCTCTAATGTCAGGTCCAGGAAGTTGATCTTTTCGTTTTCTTCAAACTCGTTGGTAAAGGTGAGGTTCGGATGGTAGCTGTTAAGTGTCTGCATCATCGTTTCGTGCTCTTGTTCCTGGGCTTGTCTGAAAATAACAAGAATGTCGTCTACATTTCTAACATACATCTTACATCATGATTCTTTCTTAAATTCGTTAACATTTCTTTTTCCTTGAGCTGTAAAAATATTTCTGACAAAATTGCCGAAAGTGGACTTCCCATAGCTAAACCATCTGTTTGTTCGTAAAATCTATTGTTAAATCTAAAATAATTTTGTTTCAAAACAGTCACATGCAATTTTACAATCTGATTGACATATTCATTGTTAAAACTATTCTGTAAAAGCCTACATTTAACAACATCTACAATTTCAGGTACAGGTATGGTATGTTGGTGTACAGATTTGAGATATCAAATGAGACTAGCCTACTATTTGAATCTATATCTATGTTCTTTACACGTTCAACAAATTCATAACTATTCTTTACATTGTATATATTCTAATTCTAAATCATTGCTGAGCTTACTTGCTAACAAATTTTGAAACATTGTAGGTAGGAGCACATTTAAAGTAAACTAAGGGTCTGATGGGTCTTGTGTATTTTCGGGATCCCTTTCATCACGGGCGCTTTTGAATTTAGGATGTTCATCTTCTGTCGACATTCTTCGGTAATCACTCTGGTGCATCTCTTCACGACGTCAGACAGCTCTTTTTGGTACCTCTGCGTTGGATCCTTTTTAGCTCTTTGAAGTTATTTTCTTTGATGAAATCTTCAGTCTTCTTTATATATTCTTCCTTCTCAAGCACTACGATGGCGTTGCTTTTGTCCGCTTTCACGACGATTGAGCTATTCTCTTCCAGTTTCTTCTTTATTTCGTTGCAGGTCTTCAGTTCTTCCTTTCTGCTTTGATCTATGGGTCCTTGGCTGGTGAAAGCGTTGGCTGTCACTTCCTCCCGAACGGCATAATGGTCTACATCTCTGAGTGATTTTACATTTGCTTCAACTTCAGTAGCTAGTAGTTCGTTTTCGTCCATTTTCTTCATTGGGAAATAGTACTTCATTCCGTAGTTAAGTATTTTTGTTTCTTCTTCACTGAATTGAATATCTGTAAGGTTGATGACTCTCTTCTGGAATTTGTGTTCTGTACTGGTCCTATCCAAGTCATCATTAGATGTATTTTTCTCTACGAGCTTGTCTAATTTGTCGTTTATCCGTGAATATTTCCGGTCCATGGCGTCTTCTACCTCTTCACTGACGACTTCATGTAGTAGATTTCATGCAATTAGTCCGTATAATCTCAAAAATTGTAGGTGGATGTCGTAGGCAATCAGGTTCAGTTCTTCTTTTTCACAGTAAAGTTGTTTGATCATATTTTGGATGAATAATACCTCTCCTTGTTCCTTGATTCTTTTGGCGGCAGTGGAGTTACAGTTGATCTTGATTTTTGCGTATTGTGGTGTAATTCTCTTCTTGATACATTCTTTGTTGAAGTAAATATCTGCAATCTTCATGGAAATCTTGATTCTTGTATCCCTATATTTTGCTGTTAACTTTGCTTGACTAGCTTCACTAAATAACTTCTTGATCAGCATTGTACGTGTTATGAAACTTACGGAAAGTAAATAAAGATACGTCTTATAACACTTAAAACATATATTTACGCTTATACTGTTACTCACAAGACGGTAAATATACAAAAGATGGTATGTGGTGATCGATTTCGATTGGACACTCCAATCATCATTAGACCCAATAGGTGAATGACAAGAATCTTGAATGGCGTCCCTACTTATACCCTATATTGGCTACCTGTTGTGTGCAGCACCTTATAACTTTTGAATATCATAGAACCAACTTGTGTAATTGAAACAGCTGACAAAATTCTTTAATCTATACTTATTTAATACGCAAGCAGATTTTTTGTGACAATTACTCCTCCGAAACTACTGAACCGATTGCCATGTTTTTGGTGTCATTGGAAAGAGCGTAACGTGAAGTTGTGCAGGAAACTTTTTTTATATGGAAATAATTAGAGAGTGAGGCCCTGGGGCCCTTTAAAGTTTCGTATTTCTCCATAAGATTAACATGGGAAACAAAGATTGTTATGAAACTCCAGCTGTTGTCAGAAATGCTGTTCTGTTATTTATTTAATTTAATTTGTATACAAGAAAATTTGTTTCTTAGTGCCATTGTGGTCAATAATAAATTATACTTTTGCATATTTTTCCTTCCACCATGTTTGCATATATTTTAAATTCTATACACTATATACAATGATGGTACTGTAAGAGATATTTATTTAAATAATCAATAAGTACGATTGAGCCTTTGCCTATATGTTTCCTGGTAAGTGTGTTGTATTTTCCTTTTGGTATATTATAGTATCTTAAAGTAAAACCAAATTATTCTTTTCTGCATTCTCACCCCGTAGCGAAGCACGGGCAGAGCAACTAGTTCCTTTTAAACATGAATACTTGTAAGGTTAACATGGGAAACTCCAGAGCCACTGGTGTGGAGCCCGAAAGGATTTTTGAGGTAAGAATATGTCTATATGTTAATCGGGAATGTGGGCTGTCATCATACCAAATTTCAGCCCAATCCGACCAGTAGTTTATGCATGATTGAACTTTAAACAAACAAACTTTCACATTTATAATGTTAGTATGATTATGAGTTAATTATGGTGGTAGGAAAAATCTTGGGTGAATTACGAGCACAAACATGCTACTCTCAAAATGTATGGGCGCACTCAGCAGCTAAGGGCCTCATGTGGCCATCTACAGTTCTCAAGCGGTAAAGACGTACTTTGCGCTCTTAATACACCATCTTTTGTATATTTACCGTCTTGTGAGTAACAGTATAAGGGTAAATGTATATGTTTTAAGTGTTATAAGACGTATCTTTATTTACTTTCCGCTCTTAATACACAAATAGCTATTATTGAGCATTCATAAAGAATTACAGTAGTTTCATGAGTAAATGAAAGTACATGTGATTTTCCACAATGTTCATAAAATTCCTTTACAGAGTAGAAGGGTCTTGCGATCAGCCACTTCTTTAACTCTTGGTGTAGAAATTGTTGCCAGTCAGGTCTTTCAGGTAGTCTTGTAGATGGTTCATTAGTTTGCAGCCTGATTAGGACTGTTTTTTTCCTCCCAGGGAGGGGCTCGGTCAACTATTAGGACAAATTTTGAGCCATATGACGAGTATTGTAGTGGTGCAGGTCTTGGTTTCTTGGGGGGTTTATTTCATACACATACCTAATGGTTTCAAGAATGTAGGGAGCCACCACTGTGAGTATTCCTAGGTTTGCAAATGCTTGTCTGCAAGTCTGTAGTGGGACACGGTTGGTGAGGGCTCTTATGGCTCCCCTCTGAAGAACAAGGATTCAATCCATATTTTTTGCTGAAGTTCCTCCTCACACTGTCAAGCCATATCCAAGATGTAATTGTATCAGGGCGAAGTAAGCTGTATTGCCTAAAAATAGTCCACCTAGCTCATTCTTCGGACAACATTTATTCCAGCACTGATATTTTTGCTCAAGTGGTTGGTGTGCTCTGTTCATGGTGTTTTAATTTGTTATCAAGGATCACACTGAGAAATTTGTTGTTTGTTTCTATTGTTACAACCTCTAATTGAGGGACCATATCCTTTTTCTAACTGAAATTTAGAGTTGTGGTTTTTGTGAGGTTTATTGCTAGGCCATTGTTCTCTTAGTAGATGATGGATTTATTTAAAATCAATTTTGAATTAAGGCAGAGGCTTTGAGCTGTATTGTCCTTGATCAAGATTGTTGTGTGGCGTCTGCATACATGATTGCAAGATTTTCGGTCAAAATTTGTTTAGGGAAGTTATTAGTCAAATGAGGCCTAATACAGAGTATTGTGGAACTCCACTTGTCTACTTGTCAGCTTGCTTTTTGAGGATTTGAAACTGACTGTGACTTCATTTGATGAGTTTTATAGCTCCACAACTTGTCAACATTCTCTTTTTTAAGCAGCTTTTGACCCGTTTCTTAGTCTTTTGAGTTTCTTGTACATCAGGTCGTGGCCTAGCCGCCCAGGCAGTCAAAAGCCTTACATTTGCAAACATTGCCTTACATTGAGTAGTCAAGAAAAATGGCCGAAATAATTTTTTTTTATTTATCTGGTCTAGGATAAACTCAATTAGGGCTATTATAGCTAAGGATGTAGATTCATTCCTCCGAACACCATGTTGGTTGGCAGTTAAGAGTTTGTTATGATTGAGATGTGCCATTAATTTAGAAAAAGGACTATTTTTTCTATGGTTTTAGAAAAAGTAGAAATGGGTCTGTATTTTTGTGCCTTTTTTTAGTTTGTCTTTTTTTTGTGTTTGTGGTACATTTTGCTGACTTTTGTGGCGGATGGGAATTTGCCTTCTTTAAATGATTTATTTGATGATCCAGAGGTAAGATGAGTTCTTGAGAGCAGTGCTTTATCATATTTCAGGAAAACTAATCTATTTCACTTGATGTTTTAACTTTGAGGGAGTTTATTATTGTTTTAACTTCTTTATAGGATGATGAAGTTAAGGTAAGGTGTGTTGGACAGATGGGTTCCTCTCCATTCAGCGCTGTTTCAGGGTCTATAACGATTGCTCTGTTTTGGTCAAGGGTATTTCTGCTATCTTTGAGAAGAATGTGTTGAAGTGTTCAGCCATTTCTTTTGTGTCGTTTGTGAGTTTGCCATTATTTCTAATTCTGAAAGAGTTATCTCTTCACATTTTCCTTTCATTTCCTTTGTTTGCCATAGCGCTTTTGGTTTGTTGTCGGCTTGTTCTATGAAGCTAGTTGTTGAGGAGATTTGTAGATTTCTTAGTTTCATGTCATATACCATTTTTCTACTAATTATTTCTGATTTGTCTTCATTTCTGTTTGTTAACTCAAACTTTTGCAGAGATTTAAAAGCTTCTAGTTCTATTTTTTTTTCAGTCCGTGTTCAGTCAAGCCTAGAATGCTTGGATTTGTGGCGTTAAAAATGTTGTGTACCGGTAGTCTTTTCGTCTTTGTAGCCAGTCATCTAATATTTTGGTGCATTCTTGCTACACAAGAATTATTTGCTGATTTACTGGGTTTTATTTTGCTTTTTTCAGGCTGTTTATTTCTAAAACAGAGGTTATAGAGTGGGGCACTTCAGAGTCATTGGCTTGTTGAGTTGAGTTAGGTTCTTGCAGCTGTTCTTGTTTCTGTTTTTCTTGGGAGGAGAGACAGTCCATCTCAGTCATGTTTTGTCGCTTGGTGTATGACAGAGTATTCTTTTTATATTTGTCTATATTTTTTCAGAAAAACTCTTCAAAATTCTCTCCTGGCTTGAAAAAGCTTGTCGGAGATTGGAGGATTTCCTGTGTTCTTTCTTCTAGAAGTCATTCCTGGTCTTGATTTCACTGGTAGGCCTAGCGTTGTTTGAGGCTTCCTTTCTATGGGTTATTCCAGATTCTGCAGAAAATACCTGCAGTCTTCAATCCCAATGAATTATAAGTATTTTTTGGACACGTTTATAACCCTTTTGCAGTAACAACCTTCCTCGTTTTTATGAATCATTTGCATGGAAATATACATGCTTTGCAGCCCGAAATCTGAAAATTAGCTATCTATTTTTTTTTTCTAAAAAACCCCACTTAAATCTCAATAATATTACTTAACTATTATTAAACTATTATTATTATTTAACTATTGAATATTATTTATAACTAATACAATGGGCTTAACTACAGATTCGTGGTAACAACAGAAACAACACATTTCATTGCTCACAACCCGATTCAAAACATTACATTTTTTTGTATATTGTTAATTGTTTTATCCTGAGAATGCTTATGTGAGTGTTTAATTGGCTGGTGATGACCACCTTTTTAACCAAGTCAAACTTACAGGACTCTACCCTAAATCCCGCACTGGTGTTTATGTCACATCATCTATAGAATTTCAGTAGTGATTCAGCTATGTTCTTTTTAATAGAAAATAGACTACATCTGGTCCATAGATGGGATGAATTCTCCAATATCAAAAGTCAATGGTTGTATATAGTTGTGTGTAAAAAAATTGCTTTTGTGTAATGAGCAGTTGTTTGTTTTTGAAAAAATCACTTCAATGTAACACACGATATTGAGGCAGCATAAACTCTGATAGTTATATGATAAAAGGATGCTGAAGTTATTCAAAACCAACTGTTTTAGGATGGAAGACCAACTTTTTTGTTTCTGTCGGTCCACAATGCAGGAGTGGTCTACAGCTATGACTCAGCTACCAATAGTTTTGTATTCTCCAAGGCCATGTCCAAGGGCCTAGGCCAGGCTCAATCTCCCCCAGAGACAGTGCAGCTGGATGATCATGGACATCCTATCTTGTTCTCGGCCAAAGGATCTCACGCTCTATGGGCTGGAGTAGGTGAGTTTCACTATCAGGACTGACTCTACAAACACCCATTATATCACTGTGGCTGGCATACCTTTTTTTTCTCAAGTTGTTCAGATTCTCATGATGTTCGCATTAATTAAATTATAAGCAATGAGCGTCAAACACTGTTGTAACTTAAATACAAGATCAGATGCTATTAATTACCACAGACTTCAGATTAAGAAAAGTACCTAATCAACTTTTCGGGCATTGTACACAAATTGACTTTGCGGTTTCTGTTGTATATTTCATAGCACAAGAATTCAATCGCATTGGAGTAGTATATACTAATACTTGATTCCACAGCTCAACAACAGCACTATGACATGTATATAAAGAAAGCTGCAAAGCTCTATGTGAATAATTGAATTGACTGTGTTTTATCAACATGGATAGGTCTCATGACCTATATCTCATTATCCATTGGTCACATATTTCAATGACCGTACCTTTCTGTGATTATCATTCTAGGGACACTTCTGAGGCATTTTGATTCAAGTATGAGCTAATGATGATAGGGTATACCTCAGTGTCGTTATCACTGTTTTTAGAATCAACTTATTCCTTAAAAGCCCAATGATCATTGACGTTTGGATCCAAGAATAATAGAGCGATCTTGGCAATACAATACCAAGCAAGAACTCTAACTTCATCGTCACCACTACAGTTGGACATCAACAGACTTCACATTTCACATAAGGTGTAAGGATGAGATTGTATTAGCAAAAGTCGTTGTGTTAAAAGAAGTGTTCTGAATTATTATTTAAAAATATGAATGATGATTAATTAATAAAGTTTATAAAGCTGATGATTCATAACATAACCATAAGCTGCTTTATACTATGAAAATCACCTCACTTATAAGGTAAATCGGAGAAACTTACACTAGAAAAATTTTTATTTTTTGTTTGAATACCGGTAATGATGAAGGATTTTAGAAACTCAACGTTATTATAACAACTCATGCATATGCAAAATCAAAACTCATAGTAATTTTTGATATATTATCAAGGATGAGGATAGCTCTTTCCTGTGTTAGCTTTTAAATGCTTCATTAACCTGATAAAAAAATAGATTTTTAGTTTCAGAGCAAATTTTTTTATAATCTATTTTCAATCTACTTCCAAACACATCATATGTAGCACGATTCACCTTTAATTATATTACACTTAATCTGAGCCTCTTATTTCCAGGAAAACACCAATACACCAAGTTGAGGCTGAGAGAGTTGTCGGATACCGTAGACTATGGTACTGCATGGGAAACTTGGCACTCGGTGCAGGTGTTCTACTCTGATGAGACGACCCCTGAGTGGTACAACTACCAAGGTCGCTGGGGCAATCCTGGCTCTGACTGTCTAGGGAACTTCCTTTGTCAGTTTACTGATGGCCCCCCAGGATTGATCACTAGGAAACATGACTTTAGATGCCCACCAAAGGTGTCTTAAACAGGGTGGGAAAAAAGAATGTACCGGTATGAAATTGAAACTTACTGTTACAAACTAGGTTATTTAAATTAAAATAACAAAATTTCCTAAATCATTATTCCCTGTGTATACAACAGGAACTTTTGCATGGTTCTTGACACTACTTCAGGATCTAACTCCACTGATCATTCCTTTTGGAACTATGTTGGTTGTTGACTCTCCAATTATTGTACCCAAATGAAAATGTGGTTCAAGTTGTTCCCAAGTAGCACATTGGCCCAACGTTGGGAAATGGTCGGCACGGTTGGGAAATGGTTGGCAGAAATTTTAACGATTTGCCAACGTTGGCCCAACGGAAACTGGTATTTGTTGGCCCTACAAAGGAAGGAATCGTTGGGCCTTCGTTGGGTTTAAGTATAAAACATTCTAAAACTCATTTTAACAAATTGATTTATTTAAAAGTACATAAATGTTATGGCAGTAGAATATAAGACAAATATTGTAAAAATGTTGGATCTATAATAAATGTAGTCAGATGATGTTGTGATACTAGCATCGAGGTAGACTTCTGGAGTGATCGCTAAATGGGGCAAAAACGGTCCGTGCTGGAAAGCGGTGGTAGGCAAGAACAAATTCGGGCGTATTTCAGTATCGTGCGCGCTGCAGTTTACTCGCTGTTGTAGCTCAACGGAAAAGCTCCAGTCAAATAAAACTTATATATTCTTAATCTATATAAACATCGGATTCTGACAGTATAAATATCTTTTATTGTAATAATTATTTCGAATTTTAATAATTGAAAATATAGAAGACTTACCAAAGACTGACATGGAAAAGTCACTAAGGGAGGAAAATTTTTATTTTTGGGTTACAAACGAACTTCTAGCGGGAAAGTTGTAGCCAATGAGTTGATCTTAACTTTCAAATCAACCAATTTGTGATAAAATGATTGCGTCATTATTAAATCGTTTGGAAACGAGCATGGGACGGTACCGCGCCGCCACCGCGCGGCCACTCCTGGAGTACCCGGTCCCGGTTGTGTAGCTTTGTCGATATGCATTTTCAGAAAACAATCTAGAACGTTTATTAATAAGTATTTGTATAGGATCTTATCAAAAATACATACTTTCCTTTCCACATGTACTTTAGGAGTAAAATTAACAATCAAGTTTAAGATTAAATTTATAAATTTGTTTTCAGCTATACAAACGACCAATGTTCATTCAAATCAAATTGATTATTTGCCATACTTTAAAAACAAGAAGAATATTTGGAGATTTTAACGGGTAAATTTCATGAATGACAACCCGAAATCTGGGATTTTTCGTGAATGCAGTGGTAGCACTGCCAGGCATTGATAGGATCCAGATGTTTTTTGTTTGTTTACGAGCAGCGCACACTTGAGTTGGGCGTCTTATCATCTCTGCCATCGTTTGTTGATATTTTAATGCACTGGACTTTCAGTTTTAAAATGTTCCCAATGTTCCAAGATGGTAACATCCTGTGTAGCTATTAATTGTACAAATAGGCAAGCAAAGGGGACGACCATCGGATTCCGGATTCCACAGGTAAATAAATACAAAGTTTTCAGATATATTGTTAAAAATTATAGGTTTAATGTCTTGAATAATATTTCAAGTGTTTTTGAAACAAATTCCTATTTACTTAATTTAAATTATAGTAGATTGGAAATAATAAGCGTTAATAGCAAATTTTGACCATTACAACGCCCGGCTGTCCCTCGAAAATTGTGCAATCCAAACGGAAAATTTTTATTTCGTTTATTTTTATTATTGTTGTTTTGAGACCAGCTGAAGTAATAATCTACTTGCAATTAATGTAGCTTTTTCAAAATTTATACTACTTTTCCCGAGTTTAAGGAGTTTCACAGATTGTAAGTGCATTTTTTTCAGATTCCCACAAGACAAAGAACTGCGTAAGAAATGGATTCTCGCAGTTAGGAGGAAAAATTTTAAACCTACAGAAGCTTCAAGATTGTGTAGTGAACATTTTGAAAGTGTTCTTATTGCCTTTTATTTCATTTTAATTTATAAACATGAGACCAATCTCTAATTATTACAGTAATTGGACTGTTATGACCCTCTATCCAAATTTATTTCAAAAGCCAAAAAATGTTTAAAAATATTATACAAATGTGCTAGGGAAATATTCCAATTTGTTTTTAATAAAATAAAATAAAACATGTCACTGACAAGAAAATTACACTAAAAGTTGAAGTTAATCGTGTTTTAAAAATATACCTGATGTGAAAGTAAGAATGAAATTAATTCCGAAAGAACCACAATCTATTAGAGAATACAATTCAATCGTTCATTTGTCCTAAAAAAATCATGTCATCTGGAAACAAAATAAAAGTAGGCGCGCGTCGCGATTTTCCCTATCCCGCCCATCTTAGCGCTGGCGTTCTTGCCTACCACGGGCTGCTCACAGCTACTCGTGGCCGGACCGAAAAACGGTTCGCTTCAACACGGGCGCGATCACTCCAGAAGTCTACCTCGATGGATACTAGATACAGTGGGGAACACTTGCTTAATATATATTAATTATAATAATTCAATTATTTAACAATATTCTTTAATTTATTTGAGCAAATTTTTAATAGTTATAGGGGAAAGATTAATTAATTATATAACAATCAATTATAACAATAGCCTACTAATCTAATGGTAATTAAATAATCTATATTCAAATACCAGTATCCTCTCCAACTACCAGAAAAACAATTCAACTACTTGAGGCCTAAACAGATTAACAGAATCATATTATACTGTAGCATCAAAAATATTTTAAGTATTGTCACCATTGCACCTGTCGGCTACTCTTTGACCACTCGAAAACACTCATAGTCAACAAGCACAGTTAGCTCAGAGGCAAGGCGTGAGGCTCACAAGGCGAAGGTACCGGGTTTGAGACCCGTTCCGGCCAAATAATTTTATCTTGTTTATTTTCAAAATTAGTTTTTATGAACTATTTAATCAATTTTCTCAACTGATGATTATGCTTTTCATAATAAATCTTTATTATTTTGTGTTTTTTATGTTTCGGCCCAATGGGATGGTTGGCCCTTCCGCAAAAATTGGTTGGTTGGCCAACCGTAAGACTGAGTGCCAAAACATACCGTTGATGGCCAACGATCGACAGAAACGTTGGGCCAATGGTTTGCCAACGATTTTTGCTACTTGAGTTGAAAGTAAAGGCTGTGTATCTGGTGCCTCAATCAGTTGTTTGACAGACAAGAAAACCAAGGTATAGTCATCGTAGGTTCTCCTCCCGCTGCAGCTACAACATTTTTTAGTTAATTGCTTGCTTATGCCATATAGGTCTGCAAATCTTATAAAATAAAATAAATGATTGATTAAAAGGATATTGTCATTAATTTAACCAAAGCATCATCAAATGCAAATGTTTATGTTTACTTTTGAACTGTTTTTTCTCTTTTTTTACTTAGAAGACAATTAATCTTTTACCTAATTATAACTTTTAACTAATCTCAATCTTTTATTTGTATATTTCCAGATCAATGTGAACATTTTTATTAAAATCTTTATAATAAATTGGGGTTTTCTTTATGTATACCTTGTCCATTGACCTATAAATAAGCACTGAAATAAACGTGCCCCGGTGTTATTAGAATCAATGAATTTTGTCAGCCCAGAAAAATATTAAAATAAATAATCCCTAGAATTAGTGCTACATTATCTAGCCCAATGAGTCGTGTAGTTTTTCAAGACGGAATCACGCACACAAACTCTTAAAGGCATTCAATTAGTTTTTGCAATCAAGTTTCTGTAATGACAGTTTTTGATTGTGTTTTTAAGCATGTTGGTGGTAGCAACTGACCATTAGAAGTAGGATGTCAAACCACCCCCCCCCCCAAGCTCCCCAAAATTCAAACTTCAACAGCAGATAGACATTATACCTGGTATCATATCAACACTCTTATCACCTATTTCTAGATTTTAATGTGGCAATATGGTTGGAAATGTACATAATAGAATGATAATTCAAATATCATTCTAAAGGTAAAAAACAGTAAAAAAAGGTTTTTGTACTTTAAAAAATTAAAATGTACTAACAAATTGTACAGTCATTTGGCAGACTAAGCAGCACCACTGCAATGGTAAGATATACAAATTTCTCCAGTGTGCTGCTGTCAGCCGAGGCATCTGGAATCATATTATTAATTAATAGTAATTTTTAATGACAAACTGCTTGCTTATAAACAAACACCTCCGCCGCAGCAAACCTGCAGACTTAGCAAATAACATAGGTATTTTAAATTTGCAGTTTTTTTTTTCTCTAGTCATTAAAGAATTAAAAGTTTGAAAGGCATACAACAAAACTTGAATGTACTAAATTATTTGTTTTTGTAAGCTACACAATATATTTATACCTAAACTGCCAAATTTTATATTTTGAGGGTCAAAAGTGGGGAATCTAACTAAAACCCTTTAACCCTAGAGCTGGCAGTAGTGTAACGCTGTACTGGCATAGGGATTTTATTAATTATGTAATATCATTTTTAAACCATCATAACAATAATTAGAAATAGCAACATAACTGTGGATTATTATATATCATTTTGTTCAGAATAAAACAAAGAACAATAATATAGGTGGTTTACATGGTTACCACAAAAAATTTTTTTTTAGTTTTTCAGAATTTTAGGCATTATTATTTTTTTTATAAAATGTTTTATATTCCGTCGTGTAGCTAAGTGCAGGTTAGACTTATCATCACAAGGTAAATTGTAAAGTTGTAGTAAATTTTGTGCTGATTCCAAAAATATATAGTTTATATAGCTTACTTTGTGTATTTTGTTTGATAGCCCTATTATTATGTTGATCGTACCCCCGCGCTAGTACCAAATACCGTAATCATCCAACCCAGGTCATGTACAAAACCGTACACCTTATATAATATATAATTATAGGGTACTCTGGTTTGAATTATTTAACTTATTTATTACAACAGCAGCCCTAAAAAGCGAACAAAACTATAAAAAAAAAAAAAAAAAATTATATGTAGGCCTACCGTAACACCTGCATCCGGCGTTGCCATTTCGGCCGCGGCCGTTCGCGCCGTATATCCGGCGTTTGCCAGCGCTAGGGTTAAAACCTACTTCCCATAGTCCAATCATGCTGGTTTGCATGGTATTGCACAATATGTTTGCGAGCTCGTTTAAATAGTAAAAATAGAGTTATATGTTTGTACTAAATTTAATCGAAATCGGATCATTTTTACTTTCTAGTTATCGTCCTAAATGGACATACAAGTACATATATGAATTTGAACAGATGGTGTTTATTAACTCTCTGGGGATATCAAAACAGAAAAGAAAATTGGTCCCCGGTCAAGGTCTTTACCTTAAGAACTTTAATCCCTAGGTCCTACGGTAAGAACTTAATCCCCTTATGGGAAATTAGCAGGCAACTTACTAAAAATGAAAGTCTTAAAAATTATGTACAGTACAGTAATTTTGTTAACTGACAAAAACAAAAATCTCCTTTCACAATTTTTTAACGAGCACTGTGTCATTGCAATCCAATTCTGTTTAACATTAAATTTTGAATCACAGAAGTTGTGTTTTTCTTTTTGAGCAAAAATAACATTACATGTTATAAAGTTGGGCTACATTATTAATTTGTGATTTTTTTTGGAGGGGGGGGGGGTGAGTTTTTTGTTAACACTTTTGCAAAATCTAACTCAACTCTTTGCTAAATACTTAATCTCGTTTTGTAATAAATGAATTGACACATATTCTAGAATTTCCTGTAGATAGTGTATCAAGTACATAGTTAAAAAAGTGTGTAAATTATTTACCTTTGAGCCTGACACAGTCAGAATACTGTCGTCTGTATCCTGAGACACAGGAGCAGACACCTAGACTGCATTCTACAGAACTGTTCATGGAGGCAGTACCGGTAACACAATGGTTGGAGTGGGAACACTTCTCTCCCAACTCTGGAAATATAGGACTACATTTTTGGCGTAGATCTTTTTATTTATTCACCATTCACAAAATTTAAGTTGTTTTAGGGGAAGAAATCCATCCCCTTCATATCTGATCCTACCATTAAAACATAGCTCAACAGCCGAGATTTGTCAAAATGTTAATCGGCTGCAGCATGCATTAAAGCAGAAAAAAGTGGTAGGGAAACCTAAAACCGCCTAAATATTGTGAATGGAGTATAACCATTTAGAAATATACCCGAATAGAACATTGTTATCTGGCCACCTAAGATTGAATTTTATTTAGAAAAATTTTCCAACACCAATAGACTTGACCGTTAATACAGTAGACTCTTGATAATTCGAAATTGGTGGGCCAAGCATTTAAATTTGAGTTATCAAGAGTTTTGAATTATCAAGAGTTCGATTTATCGGGAGAAAAATAAACCATTCTAATTACAGAGAGTTCATTTTTTAATACATACAAAGGTACAGCACGTTACAATAAAACATCATACTGTACCGTATTTTAGTACACTTTTAAACAATCAACGGCTTATTTTTCAGTTACTTTAGTTGCAAAGAAGTCTGTTATTTAGCGCTATATATTTCGCCAATAGCTGAACTATCAGCTGTTGACAACTACGTTTGTGCTCAAGGAGATGTCGCGCAATCTAGAGATCGGATTGCCAACTTAGAAAAACAAGTCAGTGAACTAACTCAGACTACTGCTCTAACTAAACAAACATCAAAACGTCCAACAGTAGCCTACCAAAGAAACAGGATGTACTGTACTGTATAGTTTCCTGTTATAACAGGAAGAGATCACTTCGAATTATAGAGTGTTTTGCCGACTAAACTACGAATTACTCCGTGACTTTGATTTATAGAGTGTTTTTTCGACGAAACTTCGAATTATAGAGTGTTAACTGACGAAACTTCGAATTTCTGAGTTACTTCGAATTATAGAGTGTTTTTCCGACGAAACTTCGAATTGCTGCGTGTTACAAATTGACCTCTGCCCTCTATTTGGACTTTGAAATACCGAGTGTATCAAAATGCATGGTAAAAATTTGAAATATTGAGAGATTCTCTAGGGACTGAGCCTTCATTTTGAATTATCGAAAGTTTTGAATTATCAAGTGTTTGAATTACCAAGAGTGGACTGTAGCAAAATCTGATCCATAACCATCTCGTCCATGGATTCTTATAGTAAACAGAATAATTGTTCCTTGTTGTTTTATTTGTTATTCAACCATATAACAAGAACTAAGAAATAAAATTAACGGTGTCAGCAAACTGACACATACTTTCTCCCATTAACTTGTCAACTACCCTTATCATGGGTAAGCGGTGAGAGTAATTTAAATATTTCATGAAAATATTTTGAAATTTTGAATTTTAATTTCTACAGCTACAGCAATGCGGGTTGTACCATTTTGTTTAGAGTTAAAAGGACTATAACATTCTAAATTTTTAATAGATATTATGATTTTTGTAAAGATTCTATTTTTTTATTTTATGGGTTTTATGGGCAAATATCTCCATTAAAAAACAAAATTTCAAAAAAATCAAAAAACCCAGAGATACAATGAATTGTTAACCACAAACAAAATTTACATACAGACATAAGTAGGTAGCTCTTTGCTTCATCTTCAACACCTAGTAGCAGCAGTCCTCCCCATTCCCCAAACTCTGATTTATCATCACAAAACGCCATTGAGCTACCATGTTTATAGTTTGTTCTAGGAAATTGTCCCCTGTTCGTTCTATGTAGATTATCTAAAACTCTGTTGACAGTTTTTCTATGTTGAAATTCCAATTATCTACATAACCATGAGTCACATATTGTTACATAACAATCACATCTCATCAGGAGTGTAAAGTAATAAACCTATTGAATAGTGTAGTTAGTACCTATACTAACTTGCAGATATCCAACATGTTTGGTTCACTTCATGGGAGGAAGGCTGACATGTACATTGGTTCTGCTGAGGGTGACAGAAGGTGTTGGGCAGATTGAGCAGACACTGGGAGTCATCAAGACAAGGCTCCCTCAGTTTGGCAGCTGGACATTCAACACATTGAACATACACTGTGCTAGGTGTTAGCTGATAATCTGGGTTAATATGCTTGCTTGTTATATTGAATTTTCAAATTTATATTTGGTATTGTATAACATGATCTTTTAAATGGTTTGACTTTGAAACACCATTGGTGAATTGTTTGTCACCAGACCTAAATTGAAACATTCACCATAGTATTGTACAAATACTAAGTTAATAAACTTGATACAGATACAGAAAAATGTTTTACTCCATCCATTTTGAAATAAGAAACGATTAATAGGCCAGGCAATGAAGACATTGTAGCGGAAAAAATTCATGTATACGCCAAATTTGGTACAGTTGTAGGGGAAGGGTCCCTAAACAACATACTAAAAGTGACCGGCAGGAGTGGACTGAGTGGAGCTAAGGAGGCTCTAAAGGTCCTTTTTTAGGTTTTTCGCAAACAACTTAAACTATAAACTTTTTGTACACAATACTAAATTAGCAAATTAAAGAAGATTAAATTTCGTGCAAGAAAAGTTTATTATGAAACTATTTCAGTTCAACCATCAACATGATAATATAATAAATATCTCATTCAAATACTTCTTCCATAAGAAATACATACAAACTTATATGAAAAATAAATGCTAAACGTGACAAAACCTATCCACCTAAGGTTTAATATATAACTGATATTCTTGAAATCTTGACAAAATTTCCAGAAATTTTACACTTTAATCATAAAAATTGGTCCAAAATTAAGGTGTTGGCGAGCTCACAAAAATCACTTATATATTAATTTGAAACTGTTTTTCTTTGTCACAGCTAATTTGAGAGAGCGGCTGGGCGTAGAAACTTGGTAGGGGGTAAAAATTGTTCCAAAATTAAGGTGTTGGAGAGCTCAGAAAACCCATATTACTGTATTTGTAATATTATTATCTTTTATCTAAGAAAATATTACAAATGAAATAATATGGTTTTTGTGAGCTCGTCAACGCCTTAAATTTGGACCAATTTTTATGATTGAAGTGTCAAATTGCTGGAAATTTAGTCAAGATTTCAAGAATATTAGTTATATTAACTTTAGGTGGGTAGGTTTTGCCACGTTTATAATTTATTTTTCATACAAATTTGCATGTATTTCTTATGGAAGAAGTATTTGAATAAGGTATTTATTATATCTTGTAGATGGTTGAACCCAAATAGTTAACTGAGACGGGTGGCGTTGTCCTGTAATATAGTTACCGGTACTAGGAGGTTACGAATTGTGGATATCTATAGGCATGCACTGTGGATGCGATACTCCCTGGTGTGGATTAACGTTGTGAGTACTACGACTATCCACAATACTATCCTGAAAATTAGACCAATTTGTATATACCAAAGCAAAAATGTGGTTCGGATTCCACTATAAACTGTAGGTCCCTTAGTTGCCATTAGCTGTATGGGCAATTAATTAATGACTGTGTCTAAGGAATAAGTCAGCCTTAGTCACTAACAAGACTACAGGATCACCAATCATCCTACATTCATCTCCGTTCATACTTGGCTTAAAATACCTACTTTGTATAATCGCCATTTCATTGAAAAGTATTAAAAGTAAAGTAAAGTTTACCTTCCTTGCAGGAAATTTAATCTTCTCTAATTTTCTAATTTAGTATTGTATACAAAAAGTTGATAGTTTTCGAGTTATTTGCGAAAAACCTAAAAAAGAAGGGACCTTTAGAGCCCCCTAGCCCCCTTAGCTCAACTCCTACCGGTCAGTACTTTTAGTATGTTGTTTAAGGACTCTTCCCCTACAACTGTACCAAATTTGACTTATACATACAATTTTTCCCTTATTTGGTTTATTTTCTTCTTAGTTGCCTGGACTATAAAGTCTAGCATTAATTCTTCAATCGCATGTTCATGTATTACACATGTTTTTTATTTACAGAAAACATGCTTTAAAAGGTAATGTCAATTCACCTGGAAGACAGGTTGATTTGTTCCTTCTCTCTGCATATCCACTGATACAACGGCACACCACAGAGCAGTAAGAATTTCCAGCAACACAATCTTCATCTTTTGTGCATTTTTCACCTAAACCTAACATTAACAAAGCACTTAAATAAATTGTAATTAAATAATTGTGATCTTGTTTATCTGAAAATCCGATTTTGAATAAAGAAGCAGTTAATAAAAACACTTTGGTAAACATCGCAACATAACATCTAAAAGTGTTGTATATAGGCAGACTTGGATGTATATGATGTTAAACAGTAATTAGGTAATACTACTATTTTTTTCCTTAATTTATTTTAGGCATGTATAAAATATACTACAAATACACCGAAATCTAATTTATAATATTTTAATTTCATGATTAACTTATATGTTATTTTCAGTTGTGTTTTCTTTTCTATGTAGTACTAAGTTAAAGTAGTTACATTTTTACTAAAATATTTATAGATCTCAGGTCAGTTAACTTTGGTCTTTGAATTTAAATTTAGATTCACTATTTTAACCCTTTGAGTGCCAACGTCCGGGGAACCGGACGTTTTTAAAACGAGCCAAAAGTGCCGACGTCCGGCCGACCGGACGTTGTTAGAACGAGCCAAAAGTGCCAATGTCCGGCTGACCGGACGTTTCGTAATTTATTTATTTATTTATTTACTACATGTCATTACATCATTTTTTGACAGGACATAAAGTCATATACAAGATATACTAAAACTAAGAAATAACAAAAATGTCTTACTAAATTATTAATCTAACTTAACGTCCCTATTTAAATAACATTCTATAGAAAAAAAAATTTTTGTTTTTAACCAGGTCTTCAGGGTGGATCTGAACTGTGTTTTACTATCAATATTTTTTATGCGGAGTGGTAACTTATTGTAAACTTGTGGGCCTATATATTGGGGAGATAAATGAAATTTCTCTAATCTATGGGTTTCAGGCTTAATATAACTCTTAAATCTAGTGTGGTGGGAATGAATGGGTTGGTTCATGAATGAGGAGAGATTGTCTTTAACCCAATTTGAAATTTCTAAAATATAGTGATCATAAAATGTTAAAACCGAAAATGTTTGAAAAAGACTTTTACAAGGAGTTCTACGAGGAACTCGCCCAATAATTCTAATTGCTTTTTGTTGAAGTTTGAATATTTTGTTGGAGTGGCATGAGTTTCCCCAAACCAGAATACCATATGTCATTATTGAAGAAAAATAAGCATGATAAACTATAAGCTGAGTCTTCAAGTCAACAGCTTGTCTGATTGCACGAAGAGAGAAAATACAGCGGTTTAATCGTTTAATCAAATTAACAACTTGTGATTTCCAGTTAAGATTTTCATTGACAGTTATACGTAAAAAATTCACATTTTGCTGCAGTGGCATTTTAGATTTTGATGTTGTAATTTTACCTGTTTTATATTGATTATTATTAGAACTAAACTCTATAAGCTGAGTTTTATCATCATTCATAACCAACCCATTCACCTGGAACCAGTCTCTGAGCGCTTGCACCTCCCTGTCGAGTGTGTGTCGCAGGGAGTCGATACTGGGTGCCGTACATAGCACCATTGTATCGTCTGCATACTGAAAGAGTTCCATATTGGAGACTTGAGGTAGGTCATTTACATAGATTATGAACATACTAGGGCCCAGTATCGACCCCTGAGGCACACCACATGGTACTTTCCCCCAAGTTGAATAATCAGTTTCATTATTTTTGGTTAATTTAGTTCTCTGAAACCGATTAGAAAGATAAGAAGAAAATAAATTAATTTCTTTGCCTTTAATACCAATTTTTTTTAATTTACCAATGAGGATGTCGTGATCAACGCAATCAAACGCCCGGGACAGGTCACAGAGAACACCAGCTGCTCTCTGAGATCCATCCAGAGCCCGTGTGATGCAGTTAACCATTCTTGCCATTGATGTTTGACAACTGTTACGAAATGATCGAACAGTTGTCATAACAACCGAATGGATACTCGGATTCTTTTAACCCATATATTAACATTGAGTCGAAAGTTACTAGATGCAATACAGCGATTTTCGTTGGTCGAAATATCGAAAATTCGATTTTTACAAAATTTTAACCTATAAATCGCCAGATCGCGCTCGGCATTTTTAGCGCGACCTTCGGGAAAAATCATCGGCATTTTTTGAGCGTTACTTTTATTTCTCGCCAGGCACTCTAAGGGTTAATGATTCATCTAATCAAGGTCGTTGTTTATGTTATGTTTATGTTTTCACATTTTTAATAGCATGCTTCTAGCAACATCAATATGTTTCACTATACATTAACTTTTTTATTATTTGCAAGGGTTGACTTACCGTTTTACTAGCTTTACCACTACTATTGAGAGAAACTACTAGTCAACTTACCTCAAACCGTTGCATGGAAATTTTATTTGTTTATTTTTAAAGCAAATAATCTAATTATCATGTGTTAAACAATTGCATGGAGACAAAGCAGTGAAATGTTAAATTAAATTATTTGTTACATCGGTCCAATCTTTATAATAGCATGTTTCTTTGCATGTAAAATTAGTTGAATTATTATCCATTATTTAATTGAGATGCAAGGGCTGCTAGAAGGTCCATTAGTTATTTAATTTATTACACCAAAATACTATTATTTTAATTTAATCTATTCCATAAGAATTTTATTGATTTATTTCCAAAAGACATTTATGTATTTAAATGTATTGAGGTAAAGCAAGGAATTATAGTAAACATTTCGTGTATTAACTCTTATTATATCTCATTCTAGTAATTTTAAATAGTTTGATTGTATGGTTTGAATAAGAATTGCATCATTTAATTTAATTTCATTTATGTAAATATTTAATTTATAAGTTATTAGGATAGGCACGGGCAGGAGGGCCTATGCGGGACGATGATTGGCAACACAGATGAAAATACACCTTTTGAATACGATTCTTGCTTGGAGCTGGATAATGTTTTTGAAAGCGAAAGATTTTTCAATGAAACCCCAATAAATAGTAGTCTTAAAATATTTCACACAAACATAAGAAGTTTCTCAAAAATTTTGACGATTTATCAGTGTATTTACAGTCTTTGAATGCTAATCTAGATATCATCGTCTTATCAGAGTGTTGGTTGAGCGGGGGGGAGGTGGGTCACATGGACGGGTTTGACTGTACAATGACAGATACACAAAACAACAAAAATGACGGAGTCATTGTTTTCATCAACAAACGTCTGTCTGCTACCGTAACTCAAGTTAACATCAACAGAGTTTTTGGTATTTCTTTGGAATTCAGTCTTTTGAATAAAATATTCAATCTGTTAGCTGTTTACAGGACGTTTGATAGTGAAATTGATCATTTTATAAATGGTTTGGAATGCTATTATAATCACATAAGTAAAGATACTAACTGTATCTTTTTGGGTGATATAAACATCGACTTACACAAAACTGATGCAATAACGGATCTTTACTTAAACACTTTACTAGGTGCTGGACTAATCCAGTGCATCGACAAGCCGACCAGAGTGACACACAACACATCTTCTTGTATTGACCACATTTTTGTCCGTTTCCATGATATGAGACGAGTCAAATCTGCTGTCATACAATCTCACATCACTGACCATTACAGCACTGCTCTTACAATCACTAACCCCATTCAGACGCCTACAGGAACTGGAACTGACACTCAGTCACAGAACCAATTTCACACCTACATTGATCACGCTTCACTAACTGAACATATTACAAAAACTGACTGGAGTCCAATCATGAGTAATCACGAGGTTAATCAGTGCACAGCATGTTTTTGTTCGACATTGAGTAACTGAAGCCTCAACAAAAACAATTAAACATCACTCAACAAGATTTAAAAAAATAAAGCCTTGGATTACCGTAGATCTCATTAAATTAATTCGAAAACGAGACAAGTTAAGTAAAAAGATCAAAAACCCAACCTTTTAATATATTACTTCTAGATAGATTCAGGGCCCTGCGCCTATCTTTAAATCAAAACACCAAACTCGCAAAGAAAAATTATTATAGGGGTAAAATTTCAGAATCTAACAGGGATCCAAAATTATTTTGGGGCATAGTTAGTGAAATATCGGGCAGGAATTGCTCTAAGGACCATTTTCCATTTGAAAAATTTTTACCTGGTTCTTCGAATAATGCGAACATGAAGACTAAAATAGCTAACGATTTTAATAAGTTCTTTACATCAGTAGGTTCTAAATTGGCCAATTCAATCAATTCAGCTGGGGCTCCAGTCGTAAACGACGCTTACTTCTCACTCGATACGAATTTCACATTCAACACCGTCACACACGCTGACATAGAACGTTACGTCCAGGGTCTGCGCGGAGGGTCTGCACCTGGCCATGATGGTATCTTGGCCTTTGTTCTTAAAGAAAACATCCACTCTCTATGTGCTCCTCTTCTGCACATTGTCAATCTTAGCCTGACATCTGGTATATTCCCAAACGAGCTGAAATTGGCCAAGATCATTCCATTGCACAAATCCAATGATTTCACAGACATGAATAACTATCGTCCGATTTCTTCGTTAAGTGTAATCGCTAAGCTATTAGAGAAAATTTCTAAAGACCAACTTGTTTTTTACCTCCACCAATGCAATATTTTAAGTGAAAATCAGTATGGTTTCAGGAGTGACAAAAACATATCTGATGCTTTATTCGATATTAATAAATGCATTAACGAGGCAATTTATGGCAACAAACGAAGTATGTTAATATTTTTAGACTTGAAAAAAGCTTTTGACTCAGTGGACAGAAGTCGATTGTTGCGTAAACTTGAGCTTGTAGGGGTGCGCGGCACCTCGCTCGCTTGGTTCAGCAGCTACCTCTCTGATAGGCTACAAACTGTCACACTTGGTGAAGTGTCAAGCGATGTTTTGCCAGTGGAGTATGGTGTGGTCCAGGGTTCGACCCTTGGTCCTGTTTTATTCCTCCTTTATATTAATAATATTTCTAAAATTCAAACAGAAGGAAAATTAACATTATTTGCTGATGATACTCTAATATTTGTAACCGGAGCATCCTGGGAGGAGGTTAAAAACAAGGCTGAATCAGACCTCTGTTTGCTAAAAAAATGGCTTGACCAAAATGTATTGTCTCTTAATATATCTAAAACCAAATTCATGCCAATTTCATTACGCAAGTATTACCGAATACAAACTTGAAAACCTATCTATTCATGTCTGTGGAAATCATTCCAATAACTCTTGTTTTTGTAGCAAAATTGAAAAAGTTGATTCGTACAAATATCTTGGTATTGTTTTTGATTCAAAGATGAAATGGCCGGAACATGTTGAATATCTAAAAAATAAATTACGTAAATATATTTATGCATTTAGGCAACTTAGTGATATACTCGAAGAGAAAAAAATTAAAATAGCATACTATGCATATGTTCAATCATTGGCATAATGATTTGTTGATCATTGGCAGCTTGCCCCGGTTGCCCCCCCCCCCTTCGGACGGCCCTGACCTCTTCTTTCAAACTATAGGATAAAAAAACAATTTTTGATACTACATATACAGTTGTGTTATATTATTATACAGGGTTAGGCAAAAGTCTGGAACCCCCCGGTTAACATGATAGGTTCTTACATTTGAAAATTTGGGGCTGCCCCCAAAATACCCCATTTTGGGGGCTGGGGCAAAGTTGTAACTTTGATAAAAAAATACAATTTCTTATGTTGTAAATATGTGCCGAGTTTGGTTTTCCTACTGCAACGCGTTAAAAAGTTAACTGGGGGGGGGGGGGGGTTCCAGACTTTTGCTTAACCCTGTAGTTATTATAGTTATGCTCTCTAAAAATTATTCAATTAATAATTGTTTATTAAAGAAATTAAATAATTATTGCTTGTACAGCTATATATTATGTAAGTATGAACTATATTAACAAAGTTCTGTATGTAATTGAAATAATAACGGCCTACATACCAATATCTGGCAGACAATCCAAATGATCCTCGGTGGGATGGTAGTTGGCAACACAAGTACACTTGCTGTGGAAACAATACGGCGATGGCACAACAGATACTGATACACAGTCATCATCTACTTGACAATCACCTCCAAGAGCTGAAATCATTCATATAATTAGGTTAATATGTAATGTATTGTATTGTGAGAGGGGTGGACTTGTGGTCCTAGCACGTCAACCAAAGCTTATGCATCCCACTTGCCACTAACTGGATTAGCCTATGCCCGTGTCCTTGTCTAGGTGCAGAAGATTTTGCCCAATGTTAGCGTCTGGTTCACCTGACTGCTTTAGACCAAGGGCCCTTCCCCTAGCCCCAAGTCTGTCGCAATCCAGAATAATGTGTTTTGCAGTCTCATCAGACTGGTTGCAAAGTCGACACTCCTGATAGTCATTGATAATTCCTAGAGTGTGGAGATGTTTCCTGAAATGGCCGTGTCCAGTGATAAGAGCAATTACCTGCTTGACCTGCCCTCTCCCTAGCTTTAGCAGCCAGCGAGTGAAGAGGGTTCTTATTGGTTCTGAGAGCAGTTTTTAGCTTATTGATTGTCCAGGATTGCTACGCCAACAATCTAGGTGTTGTTCTCTGGACCATTTATTGATTACATGTTTAGCAGTAGCTTTCCTGATGCCACAAAATAGCTCCGGTCCAAAGAATGGCATGCTTGCACCTTTTATTTCCAGCTTATCTGCACTCTTGTTGCCACCAATGCCTACATGGCCTGGAACCCAGCCGAGAGTAAGAGAGTTCCGAGTGGAAAGTTTGCAGAGGGTGTTTAAACACTCCCAGACCAGTTTTGAGGTGACTTCATTTGAGTCAAGAGCTTTAAGAGCAGCCTGACTATGTAATGTAACAACAAGCTGTTAAACAATATGTCATCAGATACTTGACAATCACTTCCGAGAGATGAAAATATTTTTTTAATATGTAATAATTAGTTAATATATTTAAGCAGAAAATATTAATTAGATTAGAGTACTAAGTAGTTATTTGTTTATTTAAGGGACATACTCAAAACTACAATTGTTCTTCTACTCTGATTTTATACTACTTCCAGATAACGAGAACTTACCTATGAGTCTGCTTTAACATATTTTCCATGAAAGTTATATTTCCATTCCTTTCTGGGCATAATTTCTAGGTTGGGTCTTAAAATAATTCCTAATCACTGACCAGAACATAAAAACTTGAACATTGTTAATTTTTTTAAAGGAAGGGCGGTTTCTTTTAACCTTGCATATACCCGTCCACATGCTATGGGCCTGTGCCTGGAACTAATGCAGCAAAGCAAGGGGAGAGCCGAAACAGTAGGCCTACAAGGGTGAACTGTACTGAAGACTTAAGTGTCAGTGACCAGGATCCGAACCCTTGGACATCGCTGCCTTGGGTACGAAGTCCGTGACGCTACCGACTGAGCCACCGACTCACCTAAATTGTTAATGTTAACTTATTTATTGTATAAAATATATATATATCATACTCTCTAAGTTTAGGAAGCTGTCTGGTTTACTTATTATTCTAGGATTGATTCTTGGAATTCTGATAAAAGTAGCAGTAATAAAACACCTTTTAGTATATCTAAATAGAAGATTATCTAATCTACTTACGCACTGACTTATAGCAAAGTCCATCTTCATAATGTGTGTTTCTCATGCAATTACACACACCAAACTCTGAAGAGAGGTTTTTGAAGCAGAATGCATGGTTTCCAAAAGTAGGAGTGCACTGTTCATCAATTTTACAGGAGCCATTAATCTTTTTTGCAACTAAAACCATTCAAGAATAAGTACCTACATAATAAATATTTTATTGCTTTTTCAGTCACCTAAGGATTATTCAAGTTAAAATAAAAACATTATTTAGCCTACTTGTAATGATTGTTCATACAGTATACATAAAGAACATCTACCATTAACATAGCTGAGTCCAGAGAGCTGACCCATGGAAACAGAGGTTTGCTAATACTGTGCTATGAAAGGTGAAAATCCTCAAATATTAGCCATAAAAAGGAGGAGTTGATATACTGTGTGATACCATAGATAAAACATACTCGCCTGTGTTGCTTAGTCTATGGTGATACCTAGTGTTGTGTTTGTCGTTAACACTTTACAACTTATATCGGACTCGGAAAAGTGGATGGAATAAATACAATGGTTATATTATTGATGACACGGTCACATACAGGTTGTTAGGGTTAGATTTCTGGAGGTAGACTGTGTGTTGAAGACGGTGGTATGATCTAGGTGGGGAGGGGATCAGGAGATGTTTGTGCCAATGCCGTTTATTGAAAATCGTATTGATAATATTGTTATATGGTGGCGTGATGTACAAGAAAATCAGACTTAAAAATTACAACTGATTTGATATTATTATTATATTATATTATTATTGTTATTATTATATTTATTATTATATTATATTATTATTGTTATTATTATATTATATTATTATTATTATAAGAGCACCTATACAGTATTTCCTACATGATGGATAAGCGTCTGTTATTATATCAAACTGTAATAGTTATCATCATCCTGAAATTGACGAAGCAGTGTGTACTGCTCTGTGAAAGTTTCATTCCACATATCCTAGTGACAGAAATCAGCTATCCAAAAGTCGTTTTTACCCTGTGAAGACCAATGAATAGTCTCACGAGCTGAGAAAATTCAATAAAAAGTAAACTTTAATTAGCTTTTTAGAAATATATGTTTAATAATAAAATCTACTTAGAAGGTGGAATTGTCTTTGCATTTTTAGATTAACCTTAAGTTATTGAACAGTCTAAATTGTACATGTATCAACTCATTACTTTGATTTAACTTGCCTCCCAATAAGAATAGACCTCAACCCATTCCTCAGGCCTAGTGCAGCTCCATTCTACCATTACATGAAACCTAGCCAAATCAAGTGTAATAAATTAAAATCCCACTTGTTTTAAGGTACACGTAATCATTTTATATTAGTTTTTCCCATTCAATAAATAAGTTAAGTCAATTATCAATTATCAATTATCAATCATTGAGATGGGGACGCCACCTAGGTGCGTATTTTAACCCAAATATGAGTGAAGGACGAGTGTAGAATGGTGTGTGAGATGACCTGTGTAGCTTTGTTACTGACTAAGATCAGCGGTTTCATTAGTCAGGGTCATTTATTTAAAGCCCAATGATCAGGAACAGCTGGGTCCAGTTTCAGACCATCAAAAAGCTACTGGACTTTTTTCAGGATCAAACCGGCGACCTTTTGATTACTAGGCGAGCACTATAACCACTCAGCTAAGATTTATAATCAATTTTCCAAAACTAGCAGACTTTCTTACTTGGCAAACATGTGTGTGTAGTCATGTCTTGCACAAATGACTTGGGGTCGCATCTACAGTGGCCATCGCAGTAGGCATTAGGCGCACAATCCTCGTTTGTTTTGCAAGCCAAATCACCTAAACTGGCTGTTAAGAATGAGTCAAACAAACAATTTTTATAGTTATGTCAATGAAATAAAATGAAAAAATGCTGTAAGCCCTGTACCAATTTTGTACCAACAACAAATAGGTAAAGGCAAAATTCTGGGTGAACAAAATTTTAACTTTGCCTTCTATATTTATCTACAGAGCAATAATGTCTGCAGTAAATCATCTGAAGGATATTCGGTTGGTCAATGTCATAGATACCCCACTAGGCATGGAGGAGATCTTCGTACTCCTTGTCATCGTCTGACCCTCTCTGAGAGGAATGCAAATTTTTCGGGCCCCTTTTTCTTTAATAGGCTTCCTGAAGAAGTAAAGCAGTGCAGTTCAAGATTGGGTTCTAAAGGTTTTGGGAAACAGCTGAAAACTTATTTGGTGGAAGGCGAGTTTTATAGTATCGAAGAATTCCTGTCTGCCTGATCTCATTCAACATGGCATTATTTTTTATTTGTTTTAAATGTTTAGACTAAAATATAATATTTAACTAATCATTTTTTGTTTTGTTTTAAATGCTACTAGACTACTCCATATAATGTATTTGACGATTGAGATGTGCATTGTATAATTTGTACCCAATTCATGAATAAAATATGTCTATGTCTATAGATTATTTTAAAATGTTACATTACTTACATTGGTTCAATTTAGGATTATTAACATAAGTAGAGTTCCAAAGCTGTGATTGGGAAACTCTTTGGAGTGTATAAGATTAACGTAAATATTTGCTCGGTAATTCGATATACAAAAATATTATAAAGTATTCGGTTCGATTCCATTTAAACCCGAAAATCACTATTTGCACACCCCTAATTTTAACAATGTATTTATCTGATTGTATTTATCTAGGTAGTGTTGAAAATTTTGGGTTGAGCATTTTAAATAATTTCGACATCATAAGATGTGGGATTGCCCCTGAACTGGTTATAATAACTAATATAATGGTTTTAAATACCTTCAGTCACCAGTTCAAATTAGTCGGCTATTGCGACCTAGGTTTCGGCACGAAGTTGTACCATCATCAGGCGGGCCAGTTTTGAGTCTTCAGTCCAATGGACGTCGTTGAGTTAAAACAAATAAACAGTTCACGACATACAGCACAAACACGCACACGAACACATAAAACGAATAATACCGTATTATTCGTTTTATGTGTTCGTGTGCGTGTTTGTGCTGTATGTCGTGAACTGTTTATTTGTTTTAACTCAACGACGTCCATTGGACTGAAGACTCAAAACTGGCCCGCCTGATGATGGTACAACTTCGTGCCGAAACCTAGGTCGCAATAGCCGACTAATTTGAACTGGTGACTGAAGGTATTTAAAACCATTATATTAGTCATTTTAAATAGTTAAAGCTAATTGTTATTTCATCAGTTTCTTTTCAAATTGGGTTCTAACATTTCTTGACATCTAGTCTAAGGTATCCATTTGTTAAGGATCCAAATCCAAATTACATATAGAAATAACCTGAATGATCTATCGTTGTGGCTAGGGTTGTCTTCTGTAACAACTGTACATCAAAGATATTTTTGGTTTTGATACTCCCCACCAAAAGCACTCTCTGGTCCAAATAATAGAATAGATCAGTAATACACGTCTTAGATAAGCAAGGAAAAAGTAACCGGGTTAGTAACTTTTGAACTTATTGTGGCAGAATTGTATAGTCTAAACCTAATTATAAAATTCAACTGCCTTCTATAGCATCAAAGTCTTTGAAAACAAAGTGTTTTAATAGCATTTCTAAATCAAAACCTTCTAACATTATGATTTTCCATCTCAATTAGCATATTTTTTTCTGTATTACTCTACATCAAAACTTCCGTAAATGTAGTAAAGGTAAAAGGCCAAAGAATAACACTTACCGAGTGCTGCACAGTAAGAACACAGAAGTATGAAATTGACACTTAAAGCAAATGCTAAAAGTGATTTTGTAAACTGAAAATTGTCCACTAACATGTTGTTAACTCTCGTCCTGATCAAGTTTACTGCAGCCTGATAATGACTAAGTAATATTTTCTGAGTGATGATAAGATTATATTTACTAGTCAAGTCACACTACATATCTAATCAGTTTACTGACGAACATTCAAATAATAAATATACAAAACCAAACAACTAATCCTCATACAAATAAGTTAAAAAGATTTCTCTTGCAAGAGTGGAATGTCTCATGCTTATCTCACATTCCACTTGAGTTAAGGAAGATAAGAGTATAGATTCTGTATTTATATTTGCTATGACACCAATTGATGACTAATACACTAAATTTTATTATCCAAAAATAAGCTCATAGAATTAGATTTGTTGATAAAACTTATTAAAGTTTGATATACCGTGATGGATGTTTAGCACATATTTTTATTGATTAGTAAGATTTTAAAAGATTTATAACAAGTTGAAAGTTATTTTGCTAAATTATGTCTTATGGAAAAAAAACTATTAACCCTTTGAGCTCCGAATTCCGATACATCAGGCAACCATAACCCAACATCTACTTAGAGCTGGGTAGCTCATAAAATGGCTGAAATCAATAGCTGCAGGATATGATAACTATTTCGCCGCAATCGCGGGAGACGATTACGATGTCTTCCCGAATGCGGGAGACGATTACAATGTCTTCCCGAATGCGGGAGACGATTACAATGTCTTCCCGAATGCGGGAGACGATTACAATGTCTTCACGAATGCGGGAGACGATTACAATGTCTTCACAAATGCGGGAGACGATTACAATGTCTTCACGGCCCCGAAGGATGATCAGAACTATGCCTCTTTCGGTGATGATCTCCACTCGTTCGCAGGATATGTTCAAATATTGCTGTGATCATGGATGCCTTCACAACCGATATTTTATGATATTTTATGATTTTATGATATCAAAATAGCCGATATTTTCCGCGATTGCGGCAAAATTCTGCAAAATTTGTGACAAAAATTACCACAGGAAATTATGAACAATTTGCAGCAATCGCAGGAGACGATTACAATGACTACATGGCCGCGAGGGATTATCAGAAGTTTACCGCAATCGCATGCAATTTCAACCATCAATTTTTTTTTCTCAAAATCTTTGGCGCCCCTCCAAATAAACAACCTGGTTTAAACCTTATTCTAACAACTGGATTAAAATCAGTTCTTCAAGGAAAAGTATGTACAACCCCCTTTTCTATATTCAACAATGTGGAAAAGGAAGTTTTAAAATTACAATCCTTACTGGGTAGTTGCAAAAACTCAAAAAGTTGTATGTCTCCAAAACAAACAATTTATTTAAAACAAATACAACATTGACTAGTTTAAGCTTAACATTATTACAACCATCAACATATGTAAGAAATTACTTCAAAATTAGGGCTTTACACTAGCCCTTCTGCAGAGTAGTCTAAAGGTTTACATCCGTACACTCAGGAAGTATGTAAACGGCTGTCAAAGTTAATGACAAACTTAAGTTATTATTTATATCTAAAACTTCAAAGCATGAAAACAGGAGTTTTAAAAGACACTGCCATTCTAGCTCAAGAAAAGAATTAGAAAAGTTTGATTTATTCAATCATAAGTTTTTATCTAGATTAGTAAAAGTCATGTATTGTCTGGATATTAAAATTCAAGGATACCACTTGGCCTGATGCAATGTTTCCTTATGCGTATTTATCACTGAAATAAAATCACTGCAGGGCTTAATGATGCACAAAAATGCATTTAAATCTATTGTTTACAGATTATGTATTTTTTAATAATTAAACTAATAAGTTAATATATGAAACCAACACAAAATATTAGATAAAAAATACAATTTTTACCACAATGAAAATTCAATACTTTCTATTTCTACGTCTAAAACAACAATAACAAAACGATTACAGATTAATAACATTTTAATTATGTCAAAATTAATAACTTGGAATTTTCATCCAAGAGTAAATCAAAGTCTATTTCAAAACAATAATCTAAGCTACCGTAATGATCTGCAGCTACTTAAAGCGATACATTCTTTTATCTGTAAAATGTAACATTTATACATATACACAAAAGTAACGGTCATAGAAATAGCTGTCCATCATAATGAGTAGAACCAGAAAACATTGATTCTACTGCATCTTATGTCCTTAAACTACGGTACATATCACTTGGTCTGGCAAAAATTTTCAATCTACAATCTATGTATTTTTGATTGAATTTCTTAAATTAAAAGTGGCTAAAAAATATTAATTTTTAAACACTAAATCTATACAAACTTGGAAGGAAAAACTATTTAAATTTAGGGAAATTTTCATTTCAATAAGTTTTTTCTTTTGTCTTTTGTCCACTAACAGTGATCGAAACCACCATTCTGATTACTTGGTTATTTCACAGTCCAAATGATTCTAGAATATTTAAACTGAAATATCTGTTTAATTTATAAGCTGGTCAATACATAATTGTTGTATTTACATAATTTTTTAATCAAAAACAGTTTTTAAAATTTTTCAACAGTACAAACCGTATTCAATGTCTCTTAATCACTTACAAGGTCAATTTAGATGGAGGTGATAAAGGTAAAAATATTGAAGATCTTTAGCAACAAGTTAATAGACTATGGCAGATAGTACTTAGCAACAACAATGCAGGCGAGCCATATGAATGATACTGCCAATTCTTCTCCAGAGGCTGAAATCAGTCAAAAGTTTTAGTTGCAATGAATGTTAAAAATTACATATAAATTTTATTTCCGATTTCCGTGTTATAAATATAAAAAAAACATTTATTAAGATCTGCAATATCCAACAGAAAGATCACAGAAAATTATGGAAACGCAAAATTAACATCAAGGGCATTAGGCTATATAAGTAAAAGAATATATGAAGAAACTGAAAAAGTGTCAATTGAGGATTTAAAACACAAGAATGAAAAAGCTTGAAAGGATGTATAGTACATGTTTTTTGGCCCACATAGTTTTATTTCTTTGACTCCTACAGAGGAGTAGGTTATGTACACAACCTACACAACTAATAATACACCAACACCACTAACCTTCCTGACTAGACTTAGGTTTATAAACACTTATGGTGATATAATCAAGATATTTTTGTCTTGTAGCCTATAATCTTACAATGTAATCTTTCCTTAACCTTATGGTTACATTAATAAAATTAAAAAAATGATGCAATGATTAGATATGAGGAGATCAAAATAATTATTAGTGTTCATAACCAAAATAGATTAACAGATAGTTAATAGTCTACAGATTGAGATAGTTAGTCTACCTCCCTATTGAGTAAAAGTATTAATTATAACAATACAACAATCCATCCCTATATATAATTCTGTAAGACAAAATTTTTACCAGAAAATTGTGGACGTCTGGTACGTCGCAGAAAAGTGGGAGGGGTCTTAAATTAAAGGTCTTGACCCCAGGGACTCGGGAAAAATTGCAGAATTCCCATAAAGTTACCAGAAAACGAGATATAACGAAAAATGTTCTCCATAAGAATGGCATTAGAAGCCATTTACTGCTGATTTTTGTTTACTTCAATACAGCTGATCGTGATTTATCATCAAGCGAGTACGCAATGTTAACATTAGGATTAGTCAATTCTGCTAATTACTATATAAAACCAGGGATAACGTTACCTATAATAATTAAGACTTTTTAGTTACGTTATATAGAATATGTAAATATATTATTTTACCGTGAAACTTTTCAAACTTGTGTTTAACATGAAATAACCACATTGAATAAATAATTAACGATTCAAGATTAAATGGAAAACTTCTGCTTTGTTTTGATTTCAAAACATATGTTCTAGATTTATTCTACACTTTCTTTATTTTATAAATTTGAGATTTATTGTAGTGTTTGATCAATATTTTGTATGAAGTGGAATAACCTCAACGGCTACTCTTAGAAAATAACCTGGGAATAAAGATGGAATAGGTTCGTACAGCAAATATACGAGTATATTTGTTAATTAAGTAAATACTATAACAAGTTCCGATAGGAGGAAAAACAATTTTCGTTTGGAGATTTAAACAGGTTACTGTTTGATGCTCGCAAAAGAGTTAAGAATCAGCAGATGATTTGGCCGAGCTACCTTAGGCGGTCCACACACGGGAAGACTGAAACCCAACTAAAGTTGAACCAACTTTTTTGTGACGCGATTACGATTGCAGTTGCGTTTATTAAATCCGCACACGGGCGCGACTGTAGTTGAGTTGAGACAGTAAATGAGTTATATTTTTTTATAACGATACTGTGTACTGTGTATGGTGTTTGAAATGAGTGGTAGTGATTAAGAAGCCCTGTTGTTTTATAGACAATCAAGAAAGTGTAGAGGACGTATAAAGTATTGGGTACATCCTTATGTTAAAACATTCAATGTAGGCTCTTTGTAGCTGCCGCTGCATTACAAGATACAGACGCAAAATTTCAGTCGATATACAGGATGTCAAAAAGTACATACGAAGAGTAATTGCTGTTGGTATGCCCGATACTTAAAAAGCGCAATACAAATATGTGAAAAGTTGTTCAAACCAGGCGACTGTAATCACCTTTAATAAACCAGTATTTAGTCACAACCAATTATATGTTTGCTGCCTTTAGCAGAGTTAAACCTATGTAGTGATTCGAATGATTTATTGAAAATAACATCAACAAAGACAAACAACAAACTGTTTTTTACACAAAAGATATGGCATATATACAGGGATATCTATTCTGACACATAGATATATTTCTTTGTTTGTTTAAATATTAGAATAATTTGTTTTATATTATTGAGCATTTTAGGGACTTATGTCTCTACAAGCCACTAGTTTACAATAAATCTTTAAGTTCTCTAAAGAGGATGTGCTCATTATGTTAATTAGTCTGTTTACATCCAGGGTATTTTTTAAAACTAATGTTGGTAATCTACAATACGGTATCAAATTTTATTTTTTCACTTTGTTAATTAATCCTGTACCTATATCAAAACGCCTGCAAGTATCTGCATAGCCCTTGTATAGGAATAGTTATTGGCAGTAAGCTACTTTTTTAATATTTTAACAAAACTGTTTTTAGTACAAATGTCTGGGTAAGAACTATTGTGTTGAGAAAAATACTTACATTTTTCCATACAGACTTCTTCCCCAGGTAGGGAAGTAAAACCTTCAGCACATCCACAGACTTGGTCGATGCAAGCCCTAGATCCCTCTACGTGGATCACATCAGAAACTGTGCAGTCCTCATCACTTAAACACTCCTCTCCCAACTCTGTAAGACAATATTTTCAATCAAGTTTACCTGTGAGAACATTATTCTTTTATAATTTGCCGCCAATGATACCTCATTGGTTGATAAAATGGAACTGTGCACACTATTTACGGTAATCAATCAAATAACAGCCATAAAACTTACAACACATTTAACACAATCCCAAATGGTGACAGACACTATTAACTTTGATGGTTAAAACCATAAATTTTGAATTTTTAACACCTTAAAACCTTTGAACCTGGGTGTAGCTGGGGGAATTAGTTTGCAAACATAGTGACTCGGAAACAATAAATCAGCAATGGAATTTTTAAACCAATATTTAAAAGTTTTGATGGTATTGAGATTAGTAATTCAGGTTTTACCCTACAATATGGTATGGTACTAATCTTATCAAATAGATGATTTTTTTTATAAGTTTCAAGTATTGTGGTTTACCAACTGAACTATCATCTTGAAGTACCAGATTGAACTAACAGTTTGCATCAGAGTCCAGAACCCACGGATAGTGTGATAAGACAAAAACAAAGTTAAATTTATTTTTGTAGCTTAAAAGGCCGCAAAGGCGCTGGCTTACTTTTGTCTGGCACGCACACTGAGCTGTTGTAGTGGTAGTTGCTGGAGCAGACACACTGGCTGTTGCTGCAGTGAGCCTCATCTCCGTAGGACGAGGTACACTGGATGTCTTCCTCACATGAAGCTCTGTAATCTCTACCTGCAACTGTAACACACACACACACACTGAGCTGTTGTAGTGGTAGTTGCTGGAGCAGACACACTTACTGTTGCTGCAGTGAGCCTCATCTCCGTAGGACGAGGTACACTGGATGTCTTCTTCACATGAAGCTGTGTAATCTCTACCTGCAACTGTAACACACATACACACTGAACTGTTGTAAGCTAGTCTGACGCAAAAGGATCATCAACTCAATTGACCTGGCCTTGGAATACCGTGAGTTGTATTGACAATTTTAAATCACATTAAAAATGTTGTAGATAGTCTTTGGAGCAATAAATGTATAAATTTTATTTGAGTGTCAGTCAATGAGTGAGTCCTGGAAATCCCTGAAAAAGTGTATAGGCTAGGAATAAGGTAAAAATACAAGAAGTACTATACTATTACAAGCTAATCATAAAAAAACATTAAATACAAGCAGTGTCTGTAAATTAAGGTCTCAAGCGAACTCCAGTCGTGATTAGCTAGTCAAATCTGACACCATTGCCCTGTTTCTTTACTTACCTTACAACTACTAGCTCCCCGTACCTATGCAGATTTTTAGTTTATAACCAGTACTAATGCAGTTGTATGATTATTATAAACTAAAAGGTTAGTTTAATCAGTATACATATACTTACCCTGTAGACATTTGTCACTGCTAGGGTTAGGTATAAGAGGAGGTTGACACGCACACACGCCTTGAGCACAGAGAGACATTGCTACATTGTCACACTGCGCAGAAGTGTTGCACGTCCCACCTAACACTGCAAACAAATACACACTTGTCATCGCCAGGGTCAAGTATTGGAGGAGGTTAAAAATTACCATCTATGTTTAAATAATGCACCTGTAAATGATTTCCATAAAAGGGGGGGGGGGCTAGTTTAATGTACTATTCAAAGCTTTAGAATTTTAGAATAAAGGGGATATTAGCTAGCTTACCTTAGAAGAAAGACTAAGTAGTATTATGTATAATCTTTTTTGAGAACTCTCTTTCTCTTTCTCTAAGCTCTACAAAAGTCCTCCATGGGTACGAAATAGTATGTCTTTCTGTATTTTCTATGGCCTACCTGTATTTCTTCTAAGGTATGCTAGTAGCTATCCCTTTTATTCTACAATTCAAAATCCTGGCTTAGAGCTTTTCCTTGGACAAAACTATTTCTACCTTTCAACTACTTTTGAATTCACGGTTATGTCCTATTCCGCCCGAGTTTCATTTCGCCCGTAGCCTAATTAATTAGTCTCACTTCACCCACGGTCCCAGATTATCCCTTTATAATCCTCAGCTCTACCTGTGTCATGAGTCTCATTCCATCCACGGAGGCGAAGCCCCGCCTCCTAGGTACCCACCCTCCCCCAACTATGACCCCCATCACCTTCCACCTCCGACTACACGGTTATTGAAGCTTAAAATATTTGTTTGGCAAACCAGACAAACCAAACGAATTTCCTTTATAGTATTAATGTAAAGTTGGAACACAAAGATCTCAGCATTAAAATATAAAGTGGCATGTGTCCTTATTAAAGTAGCCGCTTGAAGGATATGTTAAATCTTTATAATCTGGAACTTTCCTTTGGGTTGAAAAGTTTTAACAGTAATCTATATTTATAAATGTTTACAACATAACAGATTGATAACATTAAACTGCCCATATGCTGTTAGTTACTGTCTTTGTCTCCCTATCTAAAAAGTGTATAAGCAATCCCTCATTAGTTCTTACTATTATTTTTTTTTTTATTTTTTTTTTTTTTTTTAATAGAGGGCCAGGCTTACAAGTTACCATGGGATTGCATCGCAGCTAGAACAGCTTATTGTGCACCCTCGTTCACAGATCCTCATTCTCCGTCAAATCCCAGGTCTTTGGTGAACCGTGAGAGCCTTTTGACTATGGTGACCTGTTTTTCCCTTTGATTTCCCATCAATAGGCCAAGGGATCTCATATGCAGACCTTGTAGGGCTGGACACATAAATATACTTTCACAGCTTTCACAAGGTCTCTGGCTGGGGCAAGCCGTAGCGAGATTTCCCCGAAAGGACTCAGCTCCTGAACTTGCTTGACCAGCCAATCCTTTGTGGCTGCGTCAGCACAACCTCCACCTTTCTTCCTGGAGGCTTCATTAGAGTCAGCTTTGGGGGTACCACCCTTGCCCTGCTTTTTCCCAGCATCCTAGTTCCCGGAGGAACTGGCTTTGCAGGCAGCAGAGTTAGGGTGCTTGGCAGCCCACACCAGCCTCCTCTCACTTCTGGATAGCACCTTTTCACCTTTGGGTAAAGCATCCGCTATCCTCTGTCTTTGCAGCTCACCCCTGGAAAGTCGTTTTTCGTACGAGGGATCTCATACGCAGACCTTGTAGGGCTGGGTACATAAATATACCTTCACAGCTTTCACAAGGTCTCTGGCTGGGGCAAGCCGTAGCGAGATTTTCCTGAAAGGACTCAGCTCCTGAACTTGCTTGACCAGCCAATCCTTTGTGGCTGCGTTAGCACAGCCTCCACCTTTCTTCCTGGAGGCTTCATTAGAGTCAGCTTTGGGGGTACCACCCTTGCTCTGCTTTTTCCCAGCATCCTAGCTCCCGGAGGAACTGGCTTTGCAGGCAGCAGAGTTAGGGTGCTTGGCAGCCCACACCAGCCTCCTCTCACTTCTGGATAGCACCTTTTCGCCTTTGGCTTAAGCATCCGCTATCCTCCATCTTTGCAACTCGCCCCTGGAAAGTCGTTTTTCGTTCCTTTCTGGTTTCTGCGAGCTTGTCGTCATCGTCAGATTTCAGTAGACCTTCCTCCTCCATTTGGGTCAGATTGTCTACATTGTTCTCACGAATACCGGGTATTTAAGTCCACCTCCCCAGTGACCCAATTAGAGAGGTAAGGGGTGCGTACGACTGGGTTACCCCTGGTTCCCAGAGGGCTCCGTTAAGACACTGAATATTTGGCCCCCAGTGCCACAAGACTCTTGGCACGGATCGCATTACACCTTAGTCTAGGGCCCCCCTCACTTGGTTCTGTAGGTGGACCAACACCCAGTGGCAGAAGGTAGCTCTCCGCAGCTAACAAGTGAGAGTTGGGGTTTAGGTTGTGGCCAATCTGCCGAACCAACCCCGCATGCGAGGTTTGGCCGGAACGGCGCGAAATTTTCTCCCACTCACTAAACCCCCATACCTTGCGTTCTTACTATTGATCAACGCTACTAATAAGACGGGAAATGCTTATATCCTTGGGTCCACCACAGCCTGATCTGAAACGCATAGGGCCTACTTAGGTAATGTACAAATAGAAAATCCTTTCCCCTACCACTTCCTCTAGACTCCAATTTATTCCCCTATAATTTTAATGTTCTTCGGCATTATTATGTATCAGGGTGTCTACTACATTCTGGATAAAAAATTCATGGACAATTCCCGTACATTTAAGGACACTTTGCCGTAACCTTTGTCGGTGTCATTAGGCCTACCGAATAATTTTCCTGATTTGTCGAACTGTATTAATCTTGTTATTAACTGTAGTTGTACCAGAGAGAACAGTAAATAACAATAGATAAGAGTTAAAAATTTCAAAATAGAAATTTATTGAAAGTAAACAAGCATAGGCCTACCTATACTTTAGGTAAAGCTTTTATAGTGTAACAGAGAAACGCAATCATTGTCTCCTGCGATAGCGACAAATATCTCCATTGGTCACGTAAACTTCATAACATAGCTTATCCAATCCAGGCGGATTAATTTGGCATGATTCGCCCTGGCACAATGTTAGGCTCTCGACTACTTTTGAAAAAAAAATCTTTAATGCATATTGTTACTCAGTTCTTAGTACAAAATCAAGGTATGGTAAGCGGCTACCAATAAGCAATAAGCACAGAGTAAGATGATTGTATTTTCATTTGCAAAGTTAATATAGACACATAGCAATCATTAGTTGTTTATCTAGGCTCAATTACATTTTCTTAATATATTTTACAGCTCTTTCAAGAATTAAAATACCCAGGCCTAGACCTAATTATTTAGGAGGGCCTATATAAACTGGACAACAAACAATCCTATACTCTAATACGAGCAATGTTTGCTTGTATGTATGTATGCTTGCTTGCTTGCTTGCAAAAAAGATCTCGAAAACAGCTCCGACAATTTTCTTCAAATGTTGTAAATAGTTTATTTCTGGCCTAAAACGAGTTTACTGCAGTTAGAACTGCCAACAAAAATCTAATTACGTAGAAAAATGAAACTGAAAATCACATTTTTTTAACATTAGTCTTATGGGTTGCTAGGTAACCATGATGGATGAATTAAATAACAAGGATAAAGTAAACAAAAGACTTGAAGTTGTAGCATGTGTTCATAATAAGCCAACTACCCACAGTATACTAGCAAATTACAAATACAGTACAAAAGGAAAAACATCACTTGTTAATATTTAGCAAAGATTATACTGTAGATTACTCGATTCGATACATTGTAGCATAGACTAACCAACACAAGTAGACTTCTCATCCCATTGTAAATTTTGAAGCACGTTTTTCGTGTCTAGTTCATGTACGTAACACAAAGGCGCTAGTGTCGATGAAACTTTGTTTCAATTATTTTAGGGTTAATTTCTTGATTTCTGCTTTACTGTTTGGTTATATAACTAGGGGACAAGTTATTGTTTATGATTAGATCGTATTATTTGGTTAAACGAGGTTTTAAATGGCTGTAATAACGGGAAACAAATTGTAAACAAAACACGACCTCTACATAAACCGTACATGAACTAACAATAAAATTGTCTTCAGCTGTTCCATAAGGATGAGAAATCTACTAAGGGAGTATGTTTTATCTATGATTGTAGTCAAGGGCAGCAGTGCGAAGTCTGGGATCTGTTTATGACGATTAGATTAGATTAAGTTATCTGCATTCCTAGGAATGGTGAAGGAAGTAATAAAGGCAATCATAAAATGCTATAGGAATAGAGGGAAACAGGTCCGTGACGTAGGAAGTGATGAAGGAAGTAGTGAAGGCGAGCAGTCCGGAGTGTGGGGAATGTTTATGACGATAAGATTAGGGTATCTGCAATCCTAAAATGCTATGGGAAGGAAGGAAAACAGGTCCGCGACGTAGGAAGTGGTGAAGGAAGTAGTCAAGGCGAGTAGTCCGGAGTGTGGGAACTGTTTATGACGATTAGATTAAGGTGTCTGCAATCTTAAAATGATATGGAAAGGAAGGAAAACAGGTCCGAGACATAGGAAGTGGTGAAGGAAGTAGTCAAGGCGAGCTGTCCGGAGTGTGGGAACTGTTTATGACAATTAAATAAGGGTATGGGCAATCCTAAAATGCTATGGGAAGGGAGGGAAACAGGTTCGCGACGTAGGAAGTGGTGAAGGAAGTAGTCAAGGCGAGCTGTCCGGAGTGTGGGAACTGTTTATGACGATTAAATAAGGGTATGGGCAATCCTAAAATGCTATGGGAAGGGAGGAAAACGGGTCCGCGACGTAGGAAGTGGTGAAGGAAGTAGTCTAGGTGAGCTATCCGGAGTGTGGGAACTGTTTATGACGATTAGATTAAGGTATTTGCAATCCTAAAATGCTATGGGAAGGGAAGGAAACATGTCCGCGACATAGGAAGTGGTAAAGGAAGTAATAAAGGCAATCATAAAATGCTATGGGAATAGAGGGAAACAGGTCCGTGACGTAGGAAGTGATGAAGGAAGTAGTAAAGGCGAGCAGTCCGGAGTGTGGGGACTGTTTACGACGATAATATTAGGGTATCTGCAATCCTAAAATGCTATGGGAAGGGAGGAAAACAGGTCCACGACGTAGGAAGTGGTGAAGGAAGTAGTCAAGGCGAGTAGTCCGGAGTGTGGGAACTGTTTATGATGATTAGATTAAGGTATTTGCAATCCTAAAATGCTATGGAAAGGGAGGAAAACAGGTCCGCGACGTAGGAAGTGGTGAAGGAAGTAGTCTAGGTGAGCTGTCCGGAGTGTGGGAACTGTTTATGACAATTAGATTAAGGTATTTGCAATCCTAAAATGCTATGGAAAGGGAGAGAAACAGGTCTACGACGTAGGAAGTGGTGAAGGAAGTAGTCAATGCGAGTAGTCCGGAGTGTGGGAACTGTTTAAGTCGATTAGATTAAGGTATCTGCAATCTTTAAATGCAATGGGAATGGACGGAAACAGGTCCATGACGTAGGAAATGGTGGTAATGGCGAGCCGTGTGGAGTTTGGGAATGGATTTATGTATCTCCAATACTAAGGTGCTTTCAGAGTGAACTAATGATTTTCCCCGAGCAAAACTCGGTCCCCAGGTACTGAGGTTATAATAGCAGCAAAGTCACTATCATCATTCTAGTTCATAATATTTAGATTGCTTAAAGCACACAACTCAATAAATAAGTATATGGGAAACAAAAAACATTGAAACCTGAATAGCCAACAATATAAGACAAAGATACAGAAAATGCAATGACATAATTTGAAACCAAGCAGGCCTAAATAGTGATAAAACATTAATGCAAACAACATTGCTTGTGGTTTTGTCAATTAAAAGATAAAATATCCATAAAAAAGGGGTTAACTTACAAAATAAGACTGTAGATTATTTACATGTTTAATATGAAACCATAAACAGTTTTATGGCACTAGGCAATGGCCGCGGCAAATTGAATCTTCAAGCCAAAGTACAAGTAAGAAGTGAAATTTAACAGCCATTATGGTATTTCCATAATCTTTTGGTCGAATCTTTTAAAGTCAACGGTCGGAAATTATGACCGTTATTCCTTTTAAAATAACACCTCTAATACTTAGCAATTGCTCGAATTCGAGCAACAGGTACACTAGTCCAAACAATTTAACTTGCTTATTAACACATTTTAGATGGGGAGACAATCATACAGTAACTAACGGCACATGGGCAGTAAATGTTATTAATATGTTATGTCGTAAACATTTATAAATATAGATTACTGTTAAATCTTTTCAAACCAAAAGAATGTTCCATATTATAAAGGTTAGACATATCTTTATAACGGCTACATCAATAAAGACACATACCACTTTATATTTTAATGCTGAGATCTTTATGTTTCAACTTTACATTAATACTATAAGGGAATTCGCTTGGGGAGGACCTTTCCATATTTGGGGGAGGGTGAGGTCCTAGGAGGCGGGGCTTCGCCTCCGTGGATGGAATGAGACTCCTGACGCAGGTGCTGAGGATTATAAGGGTTAATCTGGGACCGTGGGCGAACTGAGACTAATTAGGTTACGGGCGAAATAAAACTCGGGCGGAATAGGACTACACGTGGATTCACAAGTATCTTTATAATCTATCTCAAGTAAGTGTATCAGCTGATTATCTGCCTTTTAAAATATAAAATACGCTATATGGAAAGTTTGTTCACGATAAGGCATTTTTTTGTTTTAAGACTACTCCCACTTATTATACACCAAAACAACTGTGTGGGTATTGGTATGCAGATTTGCAAACTGGCTTTAGATTTTAGATTTAAGCCATAAAACTCAAAAGAAACTAAAAAAAAAAAAAAACACTTTGTTTGGATTTGTTTATTAACTTTTCTAATTTTGAATTGAGAATGTCCCGCTGTTTCATTTTCCACTTAACCCAAATCTATAGGCAGCTATAGACATGTGCCATCTGCCAAGAACAAAATATTTGACGTTTGCGACCTAGTTGTCTTGATATTCGCCTATTAACGAGTAGACGTCTTACACATATGTGTTGTTTTCCGAGCAACTGTTTGTTTCGGGAATAGCAAATACAGCCGTTTTAACACATGCTTTGCGGGTCTAAAGTAGCTCTTGTCTCCCTAAGGTAGAAAAAAAGCTTCTTTAGTCTCTAGGGAATAAAAGTCAGCTGTTGTTAACTCAGTTGTAAGCTTTGATTTTAAACAATCGCATGTACCAAAATTATGTACAGTATCCATTGTTTAATTCAGTTGAATCTTACTATATTGCGGCATTCTTGATTCTTATCAATAGTCCGACAGATTGATGGAATAATGTACACTACATTTAGTGTACAATGATTTAATCACAAGTAAACAGCTGCTTGTTTGTATTAGCAAAATAGAAAACAAGTTGGAAGTTGTTTTTGAGAGGTAATCTTTAGATGAAAAGTATTTTTTTTTTACTGTATTTGCGCAATAAGGTAGTACATTAATTGTGCAATATGACAAATAAAATAGTTCATTACACGGGCAAAATGCGTCTTTTCAATCCTTGCTCATTTTCGTTTCCGACAGAGGCGACACCTCGGTTGTGAAACTCAAGCTCAGGTAAAAAAGAGCCACTTTAGACCCTAGTGATGAAATATACTTATAAATATGGATAGGGTCATAAAGTGTATGTAAATTCTACTCTGTTTTGTAAATATGTGATTTTAAATTAACAATTATCACATACATTGTCTCTCCCAGCAGTGGGCTTGTTCAAACACGTAGTTGGGAGGACAAGAGCACACTCCTCCTCTGCACTCACTTGCCACCACAACGTACGAACATTGTACATCTTCTTCACAACTGTCGTCTAGTCCAGAGGGCACTGAACATAAAGAATAGAAAAGCGTCAGTGTTGTTTACCTCCAAGAACATTACAATATATAACATGATTGTATAGTATTACATCATACTAGTGTTACCTGTGGCTCGAATTCGAGCAATTGCAAAATGTCGCAGGCGTTATTTCAAAACGAATACCGGTCATAATTTTCGATGACTTAAAAGAGTCAACTCAAAGATAAATAATCAATCCACAGCAGTTATCGAAACTATAAACAAACTGAACTCATTCTGAAAACAAACGCTCACTCCACTCCAGTTATCCAAACTGAAAACGAACGCTCTTGTTTTGTATCATGTATTTACTACGAACAGCTGTAATTGTTACAAATTATTTGTCTGTTTAAGTAATCATAATCTTTTCTTCATAAGAAATGCATTGGGATTAGATGGCCTGTGGGGCAAAGCCCGAGGACTTTTATTGCAGAAATTGGTGAAAGGGGGCGTCTACACAAAAAATACTTAATTTTGACACATCGTTTGTAAAAATCCGTCCATTATTAAGGGAGGAGTAGTGTTTTGTACAAATCGCCTTCACATATTATATATAAGGATTCAATAGAACATAGTAGAGGTTCCATTAAGTTTCTATGATTATCTTTAACAATGTTCATTCAGATATTAAGTTTAAATGCCAAAAATATAGCAAAATGTATCAAAATGAATTTTTTTTTTAAGTCTGTAAGCATTATTTTGCCCTAACAATTTGAAAGAATGAAATAATAATGTACAACAGATCAGTTATGGAATGAGTGCGCCATTGAATAACCATCCCTCCAGTGAATGACCGTTCTGTATAAAAACATCATATTAGGCTTTCTGTTTTGCCTAGTCCATCACAAATGGTCTTGACTGGAATCTATACCCTTTTACTGGTAAAAAAATGATTTTACTTTTGAAACATATACAAAAAATTAAGTGTTCCAACTACAGCAGTTCATCTTAAGGCTTCTCAATACATATAGCGTCTTGCACAAACATAGTTGGTTGTAATTTGTCCTTTGATTATTGATGGAAACGGCAATATTTTACTATGATTACCTATGTACAGTATTAATTTTAAAATCAAAATCATAACAATTAATATTTAAATTGTTGGTAATTTAATTACTAGATCACATCTTCAGGTAGGCCTAATTATAGCAAATTAATTACTAGATTCAATTACTATAGGTCGACTGGTTAGAAAGCGTCCTCCTCGTAGCATTGGTTCAAGAGAGAGATACCGAGCTGTGGGAGTGAGACAGACTATGGCTCTTCCCCCACTCCGCAGCCGCCCCACCCCCAACCTTCCCGAACACAGCTAATCAAATCAAATTATACAGCTGATCAAAATGTAAACAATTACGTTCTTTATAACTTGAGGGTCCTGCAAAAACTATTGTTTAGCCTAAATCGCATTAATATTTGAGCATCATGAAATGTTATTATATCATTGTATGAACATATGTAAAAGCAGTTCCATTTGGTAACACAGGATTCCAACTCACACGACACCGGGGCGGCGCCGTGTCGATGTCGTGCCGGCGCCGTGTCATGCAGTGTGAAAACGGCCATTGGCGGAGAGGGGGAACATACCCTCCCTCACCGTTACGCTAAAAATTTCGCGCGGGTCGTTTTCTAACCGGCCGACCTATAATTAATTACTATTTCAAGTCATTTACTAGATTTGGATAAAATATTTTTCAAAGTTTTAGAAACATGTTTTCTGATGGATAAGTGCTTGTGCTTGCTAGGAAACACAAAATCTCGCCAGAAACCATGTGGTTCGATACACTATTATAATTAGAACACAGGGTTTTAAGGGTAATAGTAATTTACAACATAAAAAAGTGTCATTCCCTAGAATAATATATATTTTAACCATCCTAAAATAGTTATTTTAATTAATGGGGGAGCAAGCTAATCCGGTGGTAGAGCGCGGGAATTAGGTCCCTGACGTCCTGGGTTTTGAACCTGTCAAATCACCAATAGATTCTTTCTATGTTATAATGCCGCAACCCCTGAATTAATGTGAAAAATTATCCCGGGCTAGTGCCTAGAGTCCTAGGAAAAATAAATTATTGAGCGGAGCGAAGCGAAGCGAGCGAAGCTCTTATACTACACTCCTGCTTTTGTTTTACAAATACTCCTCCTGAACGACTGAAGCGATCTGCACCAAATTTAGCACAATCATAGTAACCGACCATGGGAAGGTATAAATCTGAAATGGTACAAATCGGACCAAAGGACTTTTCTGTACGTGAATTCAAACTTTTGGAAATTTAACAAGGGCCTTATGGGTTAATTGGTTGCCATGACATTATTTGCGAGATAACAATAAAAAGGTAAACAAGAGTCGCAACATATGTTAGTCAACGAATCATCTAAATAGCACATTACAAATACCGTACAGAGAAAAAGGGAAGAACAATCGGATTAATGCCATTGAGCATAATTTACTACAAAATGAAAAACCAATAATTATGGTCGCCGGAATAAGGCTGATGTACCATTGACTTTAAATAATCCAAATAGTCATTCCATTTATGTGAACCAAATCTATACTAGGCCTACACATACGATTGAGTTTGGATACTGACTTCCCATTGACGTGAATCAGGCGTACCATTGACTTTGGATACTGCAAGTAGACAATTCATTTACGTGAACCAATAAATGTACCATTGAGTTTGGATACTGCAAGCAAAAAAAAGAGTTTAAAGCTGAAAAATGATTTGATTTGATTCGAGTAAACAATTCGTTTACGTGAACCCGACGTATCATTGACTTTAGATACTGCAAATAAGCACTCCATTTATGTGAATCAAATGAACCATTGCTTTGTTCCTGCAAGTAGACCATTCATTTACGTGAACCAGACTTATAATTGACTTAGAATACTGCGAATAGACATTCCATTTAAGTGAACCACATATACCATTGACATTGGATACTGCAAGTATTTAATCTCATCTACGAGGAACAGATGTAGCATTGAATTTAGAACAGTATTGGATTAATATGCTAGCTACGCTCAATATTGCAAGCAGACAACTGCATTGTACACCTAGTTTACATAGTATTGGACTTTGGTGAGAGGGTCTTGAACAGGTTATTAGTGAGAATGAAGGGGTTTAATACAATTGTAAAATGTTATATAACAAATATGATGTGGTCAGTCACTGGTCCAATGATTTGGTGAGCGATAAATTGTATTTTTATTTTCAACACTCTCAGTTTTGAACGTAATACATTATCATAGGAAGTACACAAAATGTTAAAACTATTCTCTAGACTGTAGCAATAGCCTATTTTCCCATGTCAGACACAAATAGAAACTCTGGCTTAAATGGTCATTCACTGGTGTACTCACCCTACTAAAATAAATCAATACTTGTAGAGTTTACAAATCTTCAAATAAACTGCACATGATCTTTCTCACCTTTGATGCATTTTTCAAGACTGTGTTTGGATTGAATGAATCCAGAAATGCAGTCACAGCGGCCATTGATACAATTTGAGTTGTTGATTATGAGACAGTCTGAAGAGTCTGTACAATTAGAGCCCACAACTGAAAACATTACAATTAAAGTGACTTTTGCTGATAAATGGCGTTTAATAAAAATGGTCCTGACTAATGAAACAGCTAGCCTTAGTCAGTAACAAAGCTACACAAGGCATCTCATTTCATTCTACACTCATATCCTTCAATCATATTTGGGTTTAAATACGCACATAGGTGGCGTCCCCATCTCAATGATAATAATAATGAAAAAATAATAACTAAGAAACACAATTATGCAACAAACAACAATTAAATAGATACATGATTTTTCAGTTAATTTAATAACACGTACGATGCTGATCAAGAAATTATTCAGAACATTATTGCTCTATTGGTAGATGTGCTATACTATACCATACGGTATAGATTAAAACAACCAAATTTTCATAAACATATTTTCAATATTTAAATTGAAAATTTAACAAATTTTCATCCTCTCCCATAATTGCAATAAGCATTTTATACTTATATAGGTACCAACTACGTATGAAGGATGGGTACTCTGCTAGTCTTACTAATATTATAAATGTGAAAGTTTGTGTGTTTGTTTGTTTGAAGTTCAATCACGCATTAAATACTGGACGGAATGGGCTGAAATTTGGCACAATGATAGCTCACATTCCCGAATTACATATAGGCATATTCTTATCTCAAAAATCCTTTCGGGCTCCGCCCCAGTGGCTCTGTAGTTCCCCATGTTAACCTTATGGGTATTCATATTTAAAGGGAATTAAAGAATTTTGTCAGCTGTTTCAACTAAAAAAGTTGGTTCTATATGATATGTAAAAGCAGTAAAAAGATTTACCATCAGGATGCGGCACTATAATTTTTTTGGCATTTACGAAAACAGCTAATTTGAACTAAGCAGCAACAAAAAACTGTGATACACAATGAGAACTGCCAAAGTAGGATTGTTTACAGTTGTTTATGTTTTTAATTTAATGAATAATTTGTGATATTTTGCAAATTTTTAATAATTAATTTTTATTTATTGTTTAGGTGGTTTAGGTGAAGAGGAAGAACATTATGGCTATGGTAGATGTGTAATACTATGTAGGTACCTATACCATAAATTTAAAAAAGCAAATTTTATCAAAACTGTGTCCTCCCCCATTGAAAACGCAAAGCTTGAGTATAACTGGAATAAGCATTTTATCCCTATATACCGACCCCGTACGAAGGACGGGTACTCTGCTAGTTTAAATATAAATATGAATTTGAACCGTGTTTTTGACCTCTGGGTCCATCAAAACAAAAAAAGTTAAGTGGTCTCATGTCCAGATCTTACCTAGAGATGAGACCTATTATTGTTTCCTGAATCACTATAATGATATGTTCTAAATATTTAATATTCTGACATATTTCCAAGTGATTCCTGTCATCATGTAAAAAATTTAATTTTAACTTAACACTTTAACCAAGTTTTGTAGGATTTGTGTCTATAAGAACTTAGTGTTGATAGTTTCTGAATTATAATGGTTAACTTTCAAGGTACACATAAGCCTACTTAAAAACTATTCAGTTTGTAGGGGCCTAACAATCACAAGTAGAACTTACCTTTTATGGAGATTCTATCGGGATCAATGACTTGCACCACACCTCCATCCTCCATCTGCTTGGCTCCTGTCTGAGGATTGTCATCAGGCAGCGGCAAAGCCACAGGAGCAGTAGACACTACGTCTACAGGATCAACAACAATCTCTGGTAGTCCAGCAGGGGGCAGTTCTTGTGATGTTTTTGTTACATTTACTGTTGGTTCTGATGTTGTTGAGTTACTCTCCGGTGCAGCAACGTCCCCTAGCTGGGCGGCCGCTTGGAGAGAGAGCAAGACAACTGCCAGTACACATGTAGTCAGGAGAGAAGCCATTGCCATCATGTAGCCTACTGAGCCGGGGGCGCGCCTTCCTGGCTTATCTGACTAGTGATAAGATTGTATGACTCCTCACTAACATACATTGTGAATACTACTTTGGTAATGTCTATATCTGTCTGTGGTATGACATTTCACAGAGTCATTTTTTGTCAGTTTACATGGCTTAATTTCCCATTGATTTCATAATGAAAATGTATAATAATAAATCTCAAGAATTGTTGGTTTTTGTCTTAAAGAAATGATTGATCAATTCTTAACAATTTTTAACACTTAAAAAGTGATCAATAAAATGATACAAAATAAATCTGCGTTTTAGAGATGATTTTTAATCCTGAACAATATGGGTACCGGTACTTAAGAGTATGACTCATAGATAAGGTGAAATTGATCAATATGTTTCTGATATGGATGACTCATCTGTAGGACTATTTTGTCAGTAACCTCCAAGCTAACTTGATCATTACAGGGATAGGCCTACATTACTAACAAGATAATGTTTCAAATTTAGTATTTCATGAAAAACATAATTCTATTTACAAGAGAATAATAAATATAATTCATGTAATAAAGTGTTCTATGTGAGATATTTTAAAGTAAATGGTGTTCAATTTCACATGTGTATAAACTATAACCTTTCTATAACGATAAACATTTCACACAAAAAATACACTTATTGCTGTAGAAGCAAACCTCAATATTATCCAAACTAATTTGATTTAAATAGGGAATATGTATTTTAGTGAAAATCCAATCAGGCAAATGGAAATTCACTTAGTCTGCAGGATTTAATGCAGCAGGAGTATTTTATCTGGCCAACATTTTTTCCTTAAATCACTTACATTTTTAAAAAGTGGTCAAAAACTTTCCAGTCATCTAGTCAATTCTGATTTGATATTTAATCATCTATATATTTTATATATATGATATATAATACGCTAAGCCGATTTTTGTGAATAGAACTCCTCCCTCATTTTTAGACCGAGTTTGATGATTAAAGTGTCAAAATAATGGATAATTTTTCACTACTTATTAATTATTAATGAAACAGCTTTTAGTATTAAAATTGTATTTTAAACAACACACATTAATAGGGAGTTGCTGAATTAGTCAAAAAGTATTATTTTCAATGTTATTTTCTGATTTTAAAATTTATTTTCTTCTGCATCATGTCATGTTTTTCAATATAATGTGCGATTACAAAATCAGTGGAAAAATCTTAATACCATAGTAACTCTTAAGATTATTTATTATTGAATTGTCTTATACCTATATCTATTGTACGAGTTGGTGTCTGCCTTTTTGACCACTTTGGCCTATGTTTTATCATATTATTATTCAAGACAGATCAAACTCGATACTACAAAAATGTTCAGGCCAGAGCCATTTTAATGCGCTTGGATTGTGACATTTATGTTCCTTTTAAAATATATTTCATCATCCTTAATAAGATACATTGATTAACAACAATGCATGTAAACATCGCTAATTATGTAGGCTAACAGCCAATTTAGAGTATTTGTTTTTTTTAAAACGCAGCATTGCTGTGTCATTTGCATTATTTGTTGACAGTGAAGCCGCACAACTATAACAACGAGGCCCCTAGCGGTTAAAGAATAAAGGCCAGCTTCACTGCAAGTATATTCCACTACACCTAACTTTACGAAGAGAGATTATATTGACAACTTCATATAATTGATAAGGCTGAGACAACTGATATCCGCATGTCAAATAATTTCAGCTTTAACAGTAACCTCATGACCAATTAATTTCTCAAAACTATGGTAGAGGGTTATTCATTGGCACAGAAGTAAGGTATTATTGGACGGTATGATGACCGATGTGACAAAGGAAAAAATAAAACTTAACACAGCCTAAGGGTGGACCTCCCTTTTCTTCACAAACAAATTTTTTCTCAAATAAAAGCATGGATTTAATCTGCACGCTGATGAAACCACAGAAGTGTTTACCACAAAATATAGAAAAATATGATTTTAATATATTATAACCTAAAATACCCCCGCCGCAGCAAACCTGCAGACTAAGCGAATTTCCATTTGACTGATTGGATTTACACTGAAATGTCTACTTAAAAATATAACATTTATTCCCTATTTAAATAGAATTAGTTTAACAAGTACTTAGGTTTGCTGCATCAGGGAGGGTAAAACTGTTCTTTTTTTGTAAAATGTTGATAGTTAGTAAGAAATAAAAATATTTTTCAAATTTGATCAAAATATGTTCATAAACAAGCAAACTACAACAGTTTAATTATTCTCCATAAGAATAACATTGGAATTTTAAATTTACAATTTTTTGGAATTTTCTCCGTAACCATTAGGCGCATAATAACGCTTCAATATACTAAATTATTTGCTTTTTTAAGCTCTACAAAATGGTTTGAAAAGAAATTGCTAAATTTTATGTTTTTTGGGTAAAAAATAGGAAAAACCTATTTTTACCCCATAAAACCCCCCGTAAACCCCCGTTCCAATGGTCCGATCATGCTGGATTGCGAACTCGTTCGAATAAACGTAGGTTTACACGTTTGTACCAAATTTCATCAAAATCGGATCATTTTTGCTCGAGTTATCGTGCTAACAGACACATATCTATATAAATAAAATTAGAGTTTTGTCTGTAAATTGCTCAGAATTATATACTTTTAGGTTATTTTTACGTTTTATACATTAAAGAAGCAGAAACAAGTCTTATCTCAATTTCTGTCTGTCTGTCTATCTGTCTGTCTGTCTGTCTGTCTGTCTGTCCCTTTGTCTGTAACACTCAAGATGGCATTTTACGCAATCTTCTCCGTGAAAACCAGAGTACATATCAAGATCCAAGCCATTTTAATGTATTCACTGGATTGGCAAGAGTGTCTTTAGTGATTTAAATATAGCCTCACTACTTTGTAAATAAAATTATGGACGTTCAAAAATGCAGTTTTGTGCGATTTTTGTCAAATTTTCGTTCAATTTTTATCACAGAATCGTCTATGAAATAACGAACAGCTGTTCGGATCAAGATTATTTTTTCTAGCTGTCAATGACATGTTTACAAATGCTGTTTACAAATACCGCAACTATTTCGAATCACGTTTTGAAAGCAAATCCCAACCAAGTGAGATTAAAAACGTTTTTCTTACATAACGGATTTAATTAATCGCAAGTGCAATAATATAGTCTAATAGTGTAACCGTAAATGAAATTAAATAACTAGACATCGTCCAAATCGGAACCAGAAATTCTTTGAGTATAAAATGTTTCTTGAGTTTTGACAACCAGAAAGAAGAAGACCTTGAATCAGTGTTGTATAGGGCTGTGACACTGAAATGATCGTCGCCAATAGCTTACAAAAAAGGTTTCCACTCATTGACTGCGCTTCAATGGCGATTGTGTAAAGTGTAAAGTAAAAAATCACAACTGCAGTGGGTGATTGTAACAGAGGTTTAACAGAGGAAGTGCTAAACTCGCTTTTCCAATGTGTCACTTTCTGTTTCTACTCACCGTGTGATGCAATCGCTGGACCATACAGCCAATAGGCCCATAGCTCATATCTTGGGTACGTAAGCCTACATATTTATTCATAACAACCTTTTTGACGACGATCCTTGATACCGGTACTTTTCCATAGAATACATGGCCTACCTACTTAAAAAATAAAATTACAAATGACCAAAACCCCAACATTGTGTGATTTTCGTCACATTTCCTTCTAATGTTAATAGATATACTAATCATTGTTTAGAGAATGCGTAATCTATTAAATAACAAAAGTTGTTTGGGTAAGGTTGCTTTTTTTCAAACTGACACCGATAAGTTTACGCTAACTTTTTACGAGAAAATCCAAAAGCAAGAGATCAATAACCTCGAAGCTAGATATTAATGTATTTAATTGGTCCGATTTACTGTAATTCTTAGGTAGGTTCTTACGTAGGTACTGGTTCTTTTCCTTAGAACCGGTAGTTTACAAATTAGATATGCGTTGGTGTTGCACCTTATTTATTAGAGCCGTCTGTATTCAATTTAAGTGATGTCTAACTCTGTATAAGTTTTGCTTTTTCTGCCTGGATTCCAAATCTTAGCTTACCCGGTATGCTAAGAAAATGATAACCTATTTGAGTAAAACATTTGTTGGGCAAACCATCATGAATTGTTTACGCCTTTATATTGTTTATGTATCAATAGTTCGTGGCCTTTGTTGGACTGTGTTGTTGTTGTATTGTGTTGTTTTGTTGTATGTTGGTAACGCATTAATGTCCTTATTTCTCAGTGTTTCACGGAATGGACAAGAGCACCTTTGATACTGAAAATGTCAACCGGAATAAAGTGTTAAATGTTGAGGTTGAGGTAGTACTTTAAATACGTTTAAGTTAACCGATGTGGAAAGTAACTTTCAATTATAGGCCTACTTTAGGGCTACGCTTCATGGATCTATAAAACATTTTTAAGTTTAATCATTGGACATATGGACCAACATGATCCGGGCGACATTTAATTGCGAAGCATTTATTTTGGCTTGAACTGTCAGATACTGTATTTGCGAAGGTTTATATATAATAGTTTTGCCAGCATATCTGCAAATATGCAAACTAATTGCTGCTCTTAATCTTAATATAAGAAGGTTTCAACTGACTACTATAAGATCCCCGTGCGTAGAACGGGCACACAGCTAGTATATATATATATATATAAATATATATATATAAATATATATATATAAATATATATATATATATGAATTTGAACGGATGGTGTTTTTGGCCTCTATGGACCTCAAAACGAAAAAAAAATCGGTCCCGCGTCCAGGTCTTACCATGAGCACTACGGTAATAGCTTATTCCCTATATGGGAAATTCGCTAAAACTATCAAAATATCTATATTATATAGTAAACTAACTATGTTTGGGGAGTTTTAGTGTTTTTGTTGATATTGACTTGTTTGGTTTAACGTTTTTTAGTACCTTTAATACTATTTAAAGGTTCTTCCAAAAGAAGAGAAACCAGTTGTAATAATAACTCCTATGACGTACAGTATGGGAAATATTTTATTCATTGAATGATCAACCATATTTTGTAACTAACACAACAGTCATTATTGTTTTTACACTAAAAAAAAAAAACTAAGGAGCTAAATGCTCAAAATTTGTATTATTTCACTCTATTTATCGCAGTTAGATGAATTAGCGCAAGCCTTGAAAATAACCGTCGTTGTCGACAGGTTTCACCTAGTCTTGAATTATTTTCCCTAGCAGTTATTTTGGGGTCTGGGCTAGAGACACATGGATTCGCTGGACATGGGGTAACAGCTACAGACGTTTGGAGTAGAGGTGTTATTCCCCCCCCCCCTCACCACAGGTGAGACAGGAGAGAGGTGTGACCTTATCTTATCAGGAGATAACTCACATTGAGGGCTCGGATATCAGTGTCAGCTCAAGCAGCTCATCAGCATGTTCAACTTATAACAACACTAAAAATGAAATATTACTCTGGTGTACTAGTTTTAGTTGGGTTTAGTGGCTTTGTAGCTGACTTCTTAATACCTGGCGTGTCAGGTGAGTTATACAAGAAAAATTGACTTCATCCACTGTAAAAAATGAGTAACTAATTAACGTATTTGTAGATCAATAAATAAGTAGATACTGTACATAGGTTGTACAGAAGTAAAGAACGTTTTAGAATGGTTAAATAAAAAAAAAACTTTATTTACAAACCCACAGTACTTTATACTACCTTTCCAAATCCCCATTTTCTTAGAGTAATATTTATTCCATTTTATACTCAGATTCTTAATAAGTCAACATGAAGGTAAATTGGAACGATTTGATCCATCAAGTATCTGTAAATACTAATGTATTCTACAAATAATAATGTATTAATTGTAGATTATAAGTCGAAGCACACCTGGCAACTTCTGCAGAAGTTTGGTTAGATCGGAACTGGGACAAGATCAAATGAGAGGATCGGTGTAAACTGTACACAAGAGGTTCCAAATACCCCTGCCGCAGCAAACCTGCAGACTAAGTGAATTTGAACTTGTCTGATACAAAAATATTTCCATAAATAAGACCATAGACTAACCAACTCAAGTAGACTTCTCATCCCATTGTAAATTTTGAAGCACGTTTTTCGTGTCTAGTTCATGTACGTGACACAAAGGCGCTAGTGTCGATGAAACTTTGTTTCCATTATTTTAGGGTTAATTTCTTGATTTGTGCTTTACTGTTTGGTTATATAACTAGGGGACAAGTTATTGTTTATGATTAGATCGTATTATTTGGTTAAACGAGGTTTTAAATGGCTGTAATAACGGGAAACAAATTGTAAACAAAACACGACCTCTACATAAACCGTACATGAACTAACAATAAAATTGTCTTCAGCTGTTCCATAAGGATGAGAAATCTACTAAGGGAGTATGTTTTATCTATGATAAGACATATTATTCCCAATTTAAATAACATTAGATTTAACGAGTGTTTAGGTTTTCTGCTACAGGGAAGGAAAAGGGTTTTTTACCAAATTTTAATATAGCATAGGATGAAATAAATAAATTTGCCAAAATTTAACAACATATATCAATAAACAAGTAAACTACAACAGTTTTCATTTTCTCCATAAGAATAGCATGGTAATTAAAATTACACTATTTTTACAGCTCTACAAATTGGTTTAGAAAGAAATTGCAACATTTTTTGTTTTTAGGGTCAAACATGGGAAAAACTCATTTTTACTCCATAAAAACCCCCATTAACCCACGTCCCCATGGTCTGATCATGCTGATTCCCGAACTTGTTTGAATAAATGTAGCCAAATTATAATTGTTATACCAAATTCCATCAAAATCGGTTAATTTTTTGAGTTATGATGCTAACGGACACATGTGTATACAGGGTGAGTTTCTACTTAGTGTGTTAACTTCGCCAGGAGGTTCTACTCACTAAAAAGAACAAAAAAGGTCCTATAAACCCATGTCCGGTTTTCAACTGTTTGGCTGTAATCGGGGATTTTGTGTTTTTCTTTTTTTATTAGACTTTGCTCCACAATTTATGTAATAAAAAACTTGACCAATTACTTTAGAAAGTTATAGTTAAAATCATTGGAAAGAATATTAAATTTTCTATAAATCAAAGGTTTCATTCAACAATTATACCATTACATAGTCCACATTATATGCAATTTTTATTTGCAACACAAATGTTATTTAACAGTAGCCCTAACCACCCTCTATATATATGAATTTGAACCGATCGTGTTTTAGGCCTCTGGGGACCTCAAAACATAAAAGTAAATCGGTCCCGGGTCCAGGTCCTACCATGAGAGCTACGGTAATAGCTTAATCCTATATAGGAAATTCACTAAAACACATGAGAGGTCCCGAAAATACACGAAGACGACTGTTGTCTGACCAAGAACAGTGCTTGTGCTGCCCAGGGCACACCTGGCAACCTGATGGAGGCCCAACCCCAACACACCAAAAAAAACAAACTTACTTTTCCAACTCTCCTCAGCAGATTCAATAAGAAGTTTTATACTGTGCATCCGCAAGAGTTGCCAGGTGTGCTTCATACCATAAGATAACAAGCATTTGATTTTTTTTGCTGGTGCAAGTGTGCTTTAAGCTTTATGTTTCAAACATGGAAGATATTTAAAGTGGAAATGGAGTTGCTTTGTTCTGGTTTATCTGGCAAAAGCTATACTGTAGTAACATATATTTATTCCACAACAACATGTTTAAATAAACATGAAACAGTAACACTACATACAATTCATGCGGCAAATTATGTAGATAAAAATTAATAATTAATTTTTGAGAAGACAAGTTATGGAGAAGAATGAAAATGCGTTGGAAAAGACATCATTTAGCCACCACAACTGGTTTGTTATTTGAAATATTTTACATTACATCAAAAGGCATTCCGAAAACCGTCCCAAAATTTTCGTTTCGTTAAATCCAATTAATGTAAAAACGTAAAGAGTCAATAATAATGTACTATGTTAAACTGGCCAATGAGGATTACAGATCCAGATTACACTGTGCAATACTGAGCTGTAACAGTAAGAGTGGTTTCCTGACAAGAGTTGTCAAAATAAATTAGTAATGATGTTATGGAATACTCTTTATTGAGGTTAAAACAGTGCAAGTAATATGCAAAATTCCACCAACAAACCCAATCATGATTTCATTTCAGCTTTAAGATCATAAGAAGTAACAAACACCATAGATGCTGTTGTTTTATCAGGTTATGACTTGGGTGCCAGTTGTGACTATGATGAAGACTGCATAGCTGAACACTCCTTCTGCCAGATGCAACGCACCTGCCAATGCAAGAGAGGGTTCCAACCAGCGAATGACGGCAGCACGTGCCTTGCAAGTAAGCCGACGGTTTGCGTGTGAAGTAAGAATATTTTTTAAATTTATTTATAACTAGCAGACTATATTGATATTATCAATTATATCTCGAATGTTCCCCCTACTTACGAAGACGTAAGAATCGAAGAAACTAATGCCTTAGGTGGGCATGGTAACACCTAGGCCCGGGAACAATATACTTTTTTAATAATTTTAATTGGACTGGCAAGCACACAAATGTAGGTATTTTAAGCCAAGTATGAATGGAGATGAGTGTAGGATGATCGGTGAGATCTTGTAGTCTTGTTAGGGACTAAGGTCGACATGTTCCTTAGACAGGGATGCCTTAGGTGGGCATGGTAACACCTAGGCCCGGGAACAATTTACTTTTTTAATAATTTTAATTGGAATGGCAACCACACAAATGTAGGTATTTTAAGCCAAGTATGAATGGAGATGAGTGTAGGATGAGTGGTGAGATCTTGTAGTCTTGTTAGGGACTAAGACCGACATGTTCCTTAAACAGGGATGATCCTAGAGGACAAAACAGCATATGTCCTCCATTTGTCCATCTATCCATTTGTTGTACATGGATAAAAATCTGATCTTTGTATAAGGTTGGTATCTTAGAACTCAAGTACAGGAAAATTAATTTTTAATTGAATTATATTGTGTATGAGCTGATATATTATGACAGAGTTGTACATCTCTCTCTAAAACTGAGAGAGGGTTGGGTTAGTATACTTACTAAAATATTTAATGGTTCAACACATTGGGTTTTTGGGACATGTTTCTCAACAGTAAAATGGTATTTGTGGGATATTTAGATATCCCAACAAATCATAAAATACTTTAACTGCTGTTTTTAGACCTTGTGTCTGTATCATAAATAAAACTTCAGTCTTGTCTGTACATTGCGTAGAATAATGGAGTTTTTTTGGTTATTTTAAACGTTTCATAGCCTAAGAAAGCCAATGAAGTCAAAACTCAATTCATGCCTGTCTGTCTATTAGTTTGTCAGCCATTGTGCCTGTGACGCCAAAATGCCAATTTACGTAGCCTATTCCGAGAAAACTAGAGTACCAATCTAGATTCAAATCATTTTCCTGTATCCACTAAATTGGTTAGAATGTCTTTAACTATTAAAAGATGCTCAAACTACTTTATCTATAAAATATAGGATGTTCAAAAACACAGCTTAGTGTGATTTTTGTCACACTTCTCCAAGGTTTACCACATGAATTAACTGACTACTGATGGACAGGCCCACAGCGTGTTTGGGAATGCTTGGTTTAATGTTTTGCTAAATGGAGGATTGTTAATCTTTTAGATGGATTAATGTATATGCAAACTAATAATAAGTGCTATGGGAAGGGACGGAAACAAGTCTAGGATGAATGAAGTGGTGAAGAAAGTAGTAAAGGCTAAAGGTATGGAGTGAGGGAACCCTTTGTGGCAGTTAGATTAATGTATCTGCAATCCTAAAATGCTATGGAAAGGGAGGGAAACAGGTCCACGACGTAGGAAGTGGTGAAGGAAATAGTAAAGGCAAGCAGTGTGGAGTGTGGGAACCGTTTGTGGCAGTTACATTAATGTATCAGCAATACTAAAATGCTATTCAAAGGAAGATATATAATAGGCTATTATGAATAATAAGCATTCTTATTATTTACTTTGAAATATTTTTGATAATATCATCGTGTTGGCAACACACTGACTTGTTGTATTAATTGTTATTGTGTTGGCAACGACTTGGGGTATTATATTATTGCCCAAGAAAGAAAAAATACTTTTTGCGTTTTCTTTTTACAAGAAAATACCTATTTCGAATAAGAGTGTCATACCAAGGAAAATTTCAGAATGCACTCTCAAAAACTGCCTGATATTTGTAGATAATGAAGACAAGCAATGAACGCCCGAAACGCAAGAACAACTACTTCTGGCAATGTTTTGAGGTAGTTGAATTTAGAACTCTTGCTTGAAAACAATGCATTTAATAATTATGTTAAATGTACAAAATTTAAGAAAACAAACCTCATAAGGTATGGTGACAACTATTTGTGCAATTCTCTCAAATCAGGCAATTCTTCAAAAAGTCACATCTGCTAATTGTATAGATCCATGCAGGATTATTTCTGCCTGAACTGCAAAGTCTGGCCAAGATTGAGAAAATGTTGATTGGTTTAGGTTCAACGTCAGGTTCAACCAGAACTGTGGGTTCACCAGATGACATAAGCAAGCTAACACAGAAAAAATAACGATATAAAGGATGTAATGTCCACATATTTACTAATGAAACTTGTTATATACGTTGATAGTTCTGAGCAAAACTGATAAGTTAAATTAATTGATGAAATAGTTGTATTTTGTATTATATCTATTTAAGCATTTTATTTATTTACTAGCTGTTGTACCCGTGCTTTGCAACGGGAAGAGAACACAAAATAGAAACACTTTACATCGGTTGCATATAATAGTTACACATCCGCCAACGGTTTTAGAAACAAAATTCAACTTTTATGGCCGAAATAGAAGCGTCTAAGTTATGACTTTTAAATCTGGTAAGTAGTGGATACCACAATTTTGGTTTTGACTAAGTTTAAATCTTGTGTAGTCTGATATGAGAAAAACTTGACTAAATCTTTGAACACAACTTTAACATACATGATTTACCTTCATCTCCATTGATTACATATCTTTTTTTCTTTATTTTTGACATTTTCTATTTCAATTTTGAAGTTGCAAAAATACTAATTATTAAATTTAAATGAACATTTTTTAAATTTAATTCTTCTTCATATTAAATCACAAATCCTTCCACCTACAATTTCTTCACTCACAATAAATCATTAGCAAAACGGAGTATATTTTATCTATGGCAAAACTAAGTCAGCTGTTATACACTTAAGAAATATTGTTGTGTCTTATCAATAATCTTTTGAAATATTAAAGAAACTATATCTGTAGGCTACTATAAAATGTTTGAACAAATAATTTAGCATTAAAGACAGCAGACAAAACTAATATGATTATCAACGCATCAAGGACTAAAAAATATAATAGCAAATACAGTATATTATGTTTCATTGCATCTCTGACTCTACTCTCCAAAAATATCAACAAACAACTTAATATACAAATCAGTTCTTTTAATCAGTTCCATCGTACATTGCCTTTACATTTTCACACTTACCATTGAGTAAACATTCATTGTAACACATATTTCATTGATTTTAGAAACAAAATAACACTGTGTACTGCTTAGTTTTATGATATTTTCCTTGGTTTAATTTAATCAGTGGTGTGGCAAAACCTAATAGTAAATTTATCAAATAAATTAAATGTGAATTGAAAGCTATGTTAAGATAAAATAAGAGTATTTTGTATTACCATTTGATAATTAAATATAGTTATACATATACAACAGATTTTAGAACACAAAAATCAACGACATACAATTTAGTTATTGATGATATTTTTGAGTTTATTTTAAGCATAGGTTTAGCAAAACACAATAACTAAATGTACCTAAATATACATATAAAAAAACAATGTGATGTACAAGTTATGTTAAGTTAATCTAACTTATGTTAAGCAGTTCGAATTTATTTAAAGTAGCTTCCAAATTCATAAAAAACATCTATACATTTTAATTTTCTTAATGTTTCCATGACAATATATCAATAACATTATTTTCATAACACTTAAGACAATTTAAAAATCTAAAGCAGAGCCTGTGTTGATACAGCAATGCTTTTAGAATATATTTTTTATTTCTATAATCATTGACATAGTTTTTGAATAAATCATCTTTGATAAATTTTTAGATTAAATAAATCAACCACATAATTGTGTGAAATATTATATTTAACTTCATTGGATCAGCTGTCTTAAATTGTAAAATATGCAATTTGGCAGTTCTTGTTTACATTGAAATGTCAAAGCAAATGTAAATGTAAACATTGTGAGTATTCTTATTGCAGCCATGGAGACCAATCAATAATTACTTTTAAAATCCTCAACTCAGAACTTTTAAAGCCAAAGGGGCGAAGCCCACGGTCGGTATCGAAATGTGAATAGTCCTATAATGGTCCTTGGTATGGTAGCTATATTTCTGTAAAATTTAAACCCAGTTGGTTCGGTAGTTTTTGCACCTATTAGTAATACACATACAGACAGACACCATTAGATTTTTATATAATAGTATAGATTGCTTTAATAAAAACCATAAAACGTGATCACTCGCCTCAACTGGCTTTCACTGACGTGGAAGCAATCCTAGTTTATTCTGAGGAGATAAGTTATGTACAGAAGTAAGAGGTGAATATGAAATGAATTTTTGATAATTTCCAGGTGTTGCAGCAGCATGTAGGACCAAATATGACTGTGTCAGTCTGCCTCACTCTGACTGTCTACAGGACATGTGCCTCTGTGAGCCAGACTTTGTCCCAGACCCTGCAGGAAAGCAGTGCTTGCCAAGTATGTAGTATGTTTACCACAATCGACTCATTTTCTATTTTAAATTCACATAGCTAAATTGACATAAAAAAAACAATAGTTATCTGGGTAGCCGAGTGGTTATAGTGCTCACCTTCAAGTGAACAGGTCGCTGATTCCATTTTAGGCCAGAGTGTTATTAGACCCAGATGCCATTGGGCACTACAAAGATCATCTCACAACATGCTACACTCATCCTTCACTCATATATAGGTTGAAATATGGTTCTTGTTTGTACCAAATTTCATCAAAATCGGGACATTTTTACTTGAGTTATCGTGTTAACAGACACATATGTAATATATATGTTTTAATTTGAATGGATGGTGTTTTTTTTTGCCTCTGGGGACATCAAAATAAAAAAGTAAATCTGTCCTTGCATGTTGAACTTGTAATAGACAATGGTGGGTTTTAACTAAATGGACTCCAAATAGAGAAAGACTACCTTATTCTGTTTATATTTTCAGGGGTGAAAGATATAAAGGGCAGTTGCTTGCAAGATACACAGTGTCAAGAGAGTTTTGGGGACCAGAGTCGCTGTATTGGAGGCCGCTGTGAGTGTAACATGAGGTTCCATTTCTTGAATGGACGCTGCTTTCAGACTAAAGGTTGGTCAAGTTTACTTCATTTTTCGTGACAAAAACTACTTAAGGATCTATAAAACAAGTTTAAAAATACAGTGAGATATACTCTTTCAATGTAATTTTTAAAGTGTAAAAGTTAAGTACTAGGAATTGGTCTGTGAGTGACGAGTTTTACACAAAAAGTGTAGTTGATTATGTATGTGTATCTAAATTGATGTATAAATAAAGTAAAATTATTTGTTATGGAAAATAAAACGAACAGTTTCGGAAAGTAAAAACTCATTTTCAGCGGGACTAGAATAAATTGTTTAAGTAAGACCATAGACTAAGCAGCACAAGTAAGTATGTAAGGGAGTATGATTTATCTATGGTAAAACCTTAAATTTATATACTACAAATACTATGGTTTTCCAAGGTAACTCAAATTTATGATCACTATAACACCACTGTTTACAAATTTATAATAACTAGTGTACATGTTGCTCGAATTCGAACAATTGCAAAGTGTTACAGGATTCATTTTAAAACAAATAACAGTCATATTTACAATTAATTTAAAAGAGTCAACTCAAGATTACCGGTGTGTAACTCAGACCGTGTTTATCTTCGTTATTGATAAACCTAAATCATTCCGGCCGGTTTTCTCCTTCTCAAAATACCTCGCTGTACAGGCAACACAGGTCATTGATAGAGGGCCAATTGAGAACGAAAAGTCGTTTTGGGGTAGTGTTAGGGTGCATTTGTAACCAATAGTTGAGATTGTCCAGGGTCAGGTGCTGACTGTGATGAGTTAAACCTATTACGCGCCACTGTTCTGTAGCTGCGGTCGTTATCACGATTACGCCTCCTGTCTATGTTTCGTTGTCGTCGCGTCGGAGGCATTTAAAAGAAGAAAAAAAATAAACAAATTATAGCTACACAAAACAACGATAAATGCACAAATTTAAGTTACAATCATGCTAACACGATCCGTCATAGCGACACAAAACAACGATAAATACACAAATTTAAGATACAACCATACTAACACGATCCGTCTTGGGGGTTATGTTTAAACAAACTCAAATAGTAAATAAACGTACTCAATGTGTTTCATTTAATTGAAAAATAAATAACAGCAGTTAAATTATACAGCTGATCAAAATGTAAACAATTATGTTCTTCATAAGGATAACATGGGAACTTTCAAAGCTACTGGGGCAGAGCCCAAGGGACTTTTTCAAAAATGTAAGGCCAGTTTGCAAATCTACGCGACACGCTCTTTCCAATGAGACGTCAATGGATAAAATCGGTTAAGAAATGGCGGAGGAGTTCAACCGACAAAGTTTCATGTAGCGTATTAATTATATAGATTGAATAGCCCATCATAATCTTACTAATATTATAAATGTGAAAGTTTGTGTGTTTGAAGTTCAATCACGCATAAACCACTGGACGGATTGGGCTGAAATTTGGCATGATCATAGCTTACATTCCCGATTAACATATAGGCATATTTTTATCTCAAAAATCCTTTCGGGCTCCACCCCAGTGGCTCTGTAATTCCCCATGTTAACCTTTTGAGTATTCATATTTAAAGGGAATTAAAGAATTCAGTCAGCTGTTTCAACTAAAAAATTTGGTTCTATGATATGGGAAAGCATTAAAAAGTTATAAGATTTACCAACAGGGTGCAGCACTATATTTTTAGCGAATTTCCCTATAGGGAAGTGGCTATTACCGTAGGTGGCACGGTAAGGCCTACACCCGGGACCGATTTACTTTTTCATTTTGATGTCCCCAGAGGCCAAAAACACCATTCGTTCAAATTTTTATATATGTATATATATATATATATATATATATAGATTTATATATATATATATATATAGATTTATATATATATATATACGTCCGTGAACGCGATAACTTGAGTAATTTTTGTCCGATTTTGATGAAATTTGGTTTAAAGGTGTAAAGCGGGATAAACTTGAATGAGTTCGCGAACCAGCATGATCGGACCATGGGAACGGGGCTTTACGGGGGGTTTTATGGGGTAAAAATTGGTTTTCCTCACTTTTGACCCTCAAAACACAAAATTTCCCAATTTCTCTTCAGACCTTTTTAAAGAGCTTAAAAAAACAAATAATTTAGTATATAAAAGTATTTTTGTTCGGTTATTAGTAGCGGAGAAAATTAAAAAAATTGTAAATTTAAAATTCCCATGTTGTTCTTATGGAGAATATTGTCAAATGTTGTAGTTTTCCTACAGTTACCTAACAATGTTCATGTTCTCTCACTGATTTGAGAAAGCAAAGTGGCCAATTCGCTCATCAGTGAGACAATGTTAACATTGTCTCACTGTAATTACTTTGTCTCACTCCAGATTTGCAACGTGAAGGCACGAAACAGTAACATGCAGGCAACGTCGTATGCGCGCGAAATACGTTGGCAGCACTGGCTGTAAATCAGCTGGTCAGCTGTTGTACTGTTGTATTTGTCACTTCACATTAAATGTTATGTTAAAAGTTCACTTCTGTGTAAAAATAGGTTATGTTTCTTCACAAATTTATTTGTTTTATGGTAACTGTAGGAAAAGTATAATGTGCAACTCGAGTTCAAAGTACAATTGCCTCACTCGAGAAACCATTCCTCACTCGCCTACGGCTCGTGAGTAAGGATTTCTCTCGAGTGAGTCAATTGCTCACTTTTCTCACTAGTTGCACAAATAACTATTGCTTGTTTATGGATATAATTTGATCAAACTTGGCAAATTCATTTATTTTGTACTAAGCTATCAATATTTTACTAAAAAACACACTTTATTAGTTTCCTTGTAGCAGCAAACCTAGGTACTCGACCTATAATGTTATTTAAATATATTTAATTGAAAATCAATTCAGACAAATGGAAATTCGCTTAGTCGGCAGGTTTGCTGCGGCGGGGGTATTTTTACATTTATGAAAACAGCTAATTTGAACTAAGCAGTGATTTGAACAAAAAACTGTGATTCGCAATGAGAACTGTCAAAGTAGGATTGTTTACAGTTATGTTTATGTTTTTCATTTCATGAATAATTTGTGATATTTTGCGAATTGTTGATAATTTATTTTTCTCTATTGTTGTGTTGTTAGATTTAAATGAATTCTGCTCAAACTCCAGTGAATGTTTCATTGGACCGGAATATACAACCACAATCGAGTGCAGGGATCAGAGATGCCAATGTGTTAGAGGTTACTATGGCAACGAGTACAGAAAATGCACGAGTAAGTAGTTGTTTTATATTTATCTGATAAAAACAGAGCTTGTCTTACACTATAGTTGGCAAAGCAAATCAGATGTCAAAAGATGAATAGTTCTTTTGAGAAAATACCATGCAACCCTTCCATCACTGGGTATCCAAATGATATTGTCGGTAAATTAACCTCAAATGTGTATAATTATAATTACTTATAAAATTAAGATGATGGTATATGAAGTGATTTCAGTAGTAAATTACCCAACCTTAAAGGTCCGTGAAGTTGGCGTACCCATATTAGCGTATCCACTTTTGATCATTCCAATTGTTAGTTCATCGTTAGTTCTCGATGGTTCCCAAATTTTTTTGTTAGTTCTCAAAAAATAAAAAAGTTATAGCCGATAAGTGGGTACGCTAACTTCACACTTCCGGGTTCTAGCGCGCGCCGTTTTCTGATGAGAAATGTTTACATCTATATATCAATCGTTACTTCTTCGTTAGCCCTCGATAGTTCTCCAATATTTTCGTTAGTTCTCAAAAAATAAAAAAAAATACGAGGCATACAAAGTGGGTACGCTAACTTCATAATTATACAATTTCCAGTGGACACCATTTTTTGACTATAAATGCTTATATCTATATACCAATCGTTAGTTCTCGATTGTTCTCCAATATTTACGTTAGTTCTCAAAAAATAAAAAAAGTTACGAGGCATACAAAGTGGGTAAGCTAACTTCATAATTATACAATTTCCAGTGGACACAGTTTTTTGACTATAAATGCTTATATCTATATACCAATCGTTAGTTCTCGATTGTTCTCCAATATTTACGTTAGTTCTCAAAAAATAAAAAAAGTTACGAGGCATACAAAGTGGGTACGCTAACTTCACACTTCCGGGTTCTAGCGCGTGCCGTTTTCTGATGAGAAATGTTTACATCTATATATCAATCGTTACTTCTTCGTTAGCCCTCGATAGTTCTCCAATATTTTTGTTAGTTTTCAAAAAATAAAAAAAGTTACGAGGCATTCAAGATTCAAGATTCAAATAGTCTTTATTCAATATATAACATATATGAAACATACATGTATCTGAATAGAGTCAAAATCTATATACAAATCATACACATTAAAACATAGATCTACGCAAATGTCCATTATGAAAAATAAATGGAAATTCAAATGAAATATTTTGTTTAATCTACAAATTCTTGTAATGAATAAAAAGGATTTTTTACTAAGAAATCTTTTAAAAGTTTTTTGAATTTTTTGAAATTTGTCTCCTGCCGGATGTTTATTGGTAAATATTGTAAAAATTTCAATCCTGCATAGGTGGTTTTCTTTGTATAATATTCTAATTTATGCTGAGGCAATCTAATTTTTAACCTAGTATTATAGTTATGCCCGGGATTGGAGGGTGTTGTTAGTTTCCTTTGTTTCAAAAAGATTATGGTTTCAAGAATATATAAATTATACACAGTTAAAATGTCCAATTTACAAAAAAGATTCTTCACTGAGATGGTTTTCCGTAATTTCATAATAGTGCGAATTGCTCTTTTTTGCTGTTTAAGTACTTTATCAAGATTTGATTTTGTTGTTCCACCATAGACTGTGATTCCGTATGAAATGTGGGATTGAACTAATGAATAATAAATAATTTTTAAAGTTTCCAAATCACAGACTCTGGACATCTGTCTCAGAGCATAGATACCAGAAGATAATTTGTTTACTAGGTGATTGATGTGATCATCCCATGAGAGATTTTCATCAATGATTAAACCAAGAAATTTAGTTAGGCCCACTTGATCTATTCTATCTGATTTTAAGAAAATATTTGGCTCGAATTTGACTTTTGATTGTTTGGTTGAAAATGATATTAGGTTTGTTTTCTTTTTATTTACTAATAGATTTTTTTGATCAAGGAACTCATGGATAAACTGAACTGTTTTATTTAAAGATTTTTCCACATAATCATGTGACTTTCCTGAAAACAGAATATTACAGTCATCAGCATACAGACACATTGATGCATCGGGCCCAGGGATCATCTCCGGCATGCCTCTTATGTAGCAAAGAAAGAGCAGAGGGCCTAAGATTGACCCCTGGGGAACCCCGTAACGCAGTGTCCGACACTGAGACCTGGATTTTTCAAGGTATCGAGCCCTATCACTCTCGACAATATAATCAACTTCAACAAACTGTTCTCTGTTGTCTAAATATGAAGAAAACCATCTCAGCTCCTTACCACAAACTCCCAACTCCTCCAATTTAGCTAATAATTTGCAGTGTGATACACTGTCAAAAGCCCTACTAAGATCTAGAAATACTCCAATGACATTTTCACCTTTGTCTATTGCATTTATGATGGATTCAATAAATTCAACAGCGGCAGTAATTGTGGATTTACCAGATCGAAACCCATGTTGTTCCCTATCTAGCAAATTGTTAATTTCAAGAAAATTAGAAAATTGGTTATATACGATACGTTCAAAGATTTTTGAAAAAACTGGTAATAATGAAACAGGGCGATAACATGTTGGATCTGTACTATTGCCACTCTTAAAAATAGGAATTACTTTAGCCAATTTTAATTTAGAAGGAAAAATACCAGAAATAAGAGAAGAATTTATTAAGTGAGTCAATGGTTTACGAATAAAAATTATAGATTTTTTAACAATTGTGATGGGTATCTCATCATACCCTGAGGAAAATTTGTTTTCAAAAGAAAGAACAGTTTTCTCAAGATAATCCTCTGTTATTGTTTGAAATTTAAAGATTTTATTTGGAGCTTTATGTTGAGTGTTACAATTTTGTAAAGATTGCTGAGAAACAGAGGGCAAAATTAGTTTTTCCACAGCAGAAGCAAAAAAGTTGTTTAAAATATTGCTCACAGCAATTGGATGTGTTATGATTTTTTCATTTTGAGACATACTAATGTTGGTGTTAGAATTTTTCTTTGAGTTTAATTTTATTTCTTTTTTAATTATATTCCATGTCATTTTAGTTTTGTTTGTTGCACTTTTTATTTTTCCATTGTAAAATGTTTGTTTAGATTTAAGTATTGATTCTTTTAAGTCTTTTTTGCAGATTTTCAACTTTCTATTTAACTCTTTTGTTTTTTGCACTCTGATTAATTCTTCCAAATCCGTGAGGTGCCTTTTTTCTCTAATATTTCATTTGACTTCCATACACAATTCCTGGTTCCCTTATCAACACTAACAATCTTTGGAAAACTCAAGTCAAACAAGTACTTAAAAATAGAAATAAAAACATCATATTTTTTATCCACAGGGGACTGAAAAACCTCAAACCAGGTTTCCTCATTTAAGTCATTTAAGAATACAGATAAGTTATTTTCATTAAATTTTCTACATCTCCTCTTAACTACTTTATTAGTTACACATTTTTTAACATTTAAAATCTCAAGAAGCTGAGCATCGTGATCAGAAATATGAGTAATAATCCCTGTTACTTTCATCTGTTTGGATTCTATATTAGTAATAAAATTGTCAATTGCTGTAGAACTTATTTCATTTACCCTTGTTGGAAAATCAACCAGGTAGGACATATTAAACATTGAAATAGTGCTGATAAAATTGTAGTACAAAGAGTCATGTTTTAAAACATTAATATTTATATCTCCTGCTAAAATTATATTTTCATATTTACTTGTTAATATATCCAGTAAAATTTCCAGCTTATCTAAAAAAATATCATTGTATTTATAATTAGGTGATCTATATAAACAAATTAATACAAAAGAAAAGGCATCTACTGTTACTTCAACCATACAACACTCAAACTCCTTCTCCAATGTTAATTCTTGAGCTCTTTTAATTAATATTTTTTTATTTTTTATAGATTTGCTTGTCAGAATCATGACACCTCCACCTGTGGTTGTTGACCTGGTCCAGTAGGAGGATATATTATAATTATTGAAATTTAAGTATTGTATTTCTTCTTCACGCATATTTATTTCTGTCAAAACAACTATATCTGGTTTTATTTCATCAAGGTTAATTTCTAAAATGCCAATGCGTGTCGGTAAATTTTGAACATTTTGATGGAAAATTGAGAGGTTTTGAGTGCTGTATAAATCATAGCTCATGTTATCATCACATTTTTTAACACTTTCTCCAAAAAAGGTTTAATATGTTTGCCACTATCACTCACAACCCCAGAGAGAATCTGCCCCCCATCACTTGACACAGGCGCAGGCCGCTGCAGCTGATCTGGATCCGAAGTTTTATCCACCATTTGCAGCCTATCATTGTCAGCCATACTGTTGTTGTCATTGTTGCTGCTGCTGCTGATGTTGTTGTTATTGTGGTTGTTGTTGCCTTTGTTGTTGTTGTTGTTGTTGACATTCATGTAATGAGAGCTTTCGTCAGCAATGGTGCGCTTCAAGAGATCCACAAACTCATGATGGTCCTGAGTGTTCCTCCTTGATCCCGCTACATACTTCTTACAAGTGACAATGATTACAGAGGCTTCAGTCATGTTCTGGAATTTGACAATATTCTTAGCAAAGTGATATGGAGAGATCCTGTCCCTTGAGCACCCTAAAGGGGAACAAACTAGAGCTTTTAGTTTTTGTTTTTGGAACTCCTCCGTAAGTTGTTGAAATGCAGCATTATAGGAACTGTAGTTGTCATCATGGGGCTTGTCAAAATATTTTGACTTTGTGACTAGGCTGAATATCAACGCTCCATTTTTCTCTCTCTGAAGGGTTAAGTTGGTTCTACAGAAGTCTGAGTCAGTTGGTTTCCCAAAAGACTCCTTGAAAGCAACTGCAACACCAGTACTCATATTGTTCTTATGGCTAAGGTCAGATGAAATGCAATGAGCAAAGGCGATGTCCATGTTACTTTTATGCTGCTCTATTACTTCCTTCATATCGGCTTCCAAGACTTGAATTTTCATATTGTCACTGATGAAATCTTTCACCACTGATTTAGGTACTGTGGTCTTACTCGTATTATCAGGGGGAGACTCAGAGTTATCAGATAGAATCTTCAGCCTCTCTAATGCATTAATGACCATGTACGCCACCTTAGTTTTTCCACAATCATTCAAGTGCAAACCATGCCTTGTGTAATGATATCGTTTCAGGTTCCTCAGATCCACAACAAACAGGTTCTTAATCCTTGCACTTAGTTCCATTATATAATTATTTGCTGTCATTAAACATAGATTGTCATTGTGTTCCAGGGGCCTGTCATGTCTAGTTGGTATCGTGCAGAGCAATGTAGGTCTTCTTTTACTAATGTCTAATAACTTTCCTTCAAGCTCTCTGTATATAGTTTCCAGGCTTCCATTAAGGCTATCATTTGTGCCACCCAAAATAACTACTGGATGTGTTTCATCTTCTGATACTGAGCCTAGTACTTGTAGCATAGTGGTATTTGATCTAACATAACCGTAGGCATTGATTTTAGCTGAACTATAGTTTTCAATCTTACTAGCTATAGTTTTACCTTGGCTATCAGCACATAGAGTTACTTTTATTTTCCTTGTAGAATTTTTGATACGGCTTTTATTGAGTATTTTGTCTTGATGTTTAGGTTTAAGCTTCTTTACTTGCTTTGCATCTGCCTGGTGTTTCTTTGAATTAGGACCCCGCATTGTTTTTTTATGGTATTTTTTCTGAGTTTGACTACTCTTGCCTTCATCATGATGTTCAGATAGTGTTTGAAGAATATCAAACATGTTAGTTGTTGTAACAGAAGAATTACCATTGTTTTGAGATATATGCTTTGTTTTTGATTTTGTTCGAGTCCAAGAGCACATGTTAGGGTCCCTTACATCTTTTTTTCCTGGTTCACTAGAATGAAGTAACTTCTTATCCTTTTTAATCATTAATGTGTGAAGTAGCTCCTTTTTTGATGTTGTTTGGTTGAGGAGAAAATAAGAGATGAGTGAGCGTTTGGTTATCACTTCCTCTCTTGACAGGCTCATATTTTCGATGAAGTGTATATCAATTGATCCAGATGTGATTATATCATGAACCAATGTCTCTACGACCCAGCAGCAAAAAACTCCACAGTCAAATCCGTTAGGTTGTTGTGGACCCTTGATTGAAGATAAGCTTGTGTCAACACCTAGATATTCAGTTAGCTTTCCTGTAACCTTCTTAGCAGAGGAGAGATTATGGTCATTAGAAGAGTCAATATGATAAAACCTATTCTTAGGTCTGTCCAAAACTAAAACACTCCAATGAGATCCACTATCTCCTTGGCTTACCTCCTCAGAGTCATTGATTGGCATTATCACAACATTCTTATTTTTTAAACTTAGTGGTTCTAAAAAAAGCAACGCATCTGGTGAATTCTTAATTGCATGAACTATTAGTGGATTTACTATGATACTTGTTGTTTCAGTTAAGAATCTCTCATTCACCATGTCCAAGTAAGGTTGAATTGTCCCATCTGAAAGCCAATTGTTACTAAGTAATTCTGAAACAACCAATTTTTTGTGCAATAACAAAGGGTCAGTTTTGTTCTCTTTAGAAGTGTTTTCATTGTTAGAACAGTTTCCTGTGAACGAGGTAAGATCAGAGGTAGATGTAGCAGCTTCGGTTTTCGAGGGCTCGCACTGCACAGAACAATCTATCACACTTGGATTAATAGGCTTAGTCTGGAAGTCAGGTACAGGGAATATTTGGTCCGTGTACTCCATTAACCGAGTGTCTGATTCAATTGAATGATCAAGTACACATTTCAGTCGCTTGTCTAGAGTATCAATCTGTTCCTTGAGCTGCATATTTTCCCTTTGTAGTTCTAGTATACACAAATTTGACGATTCCTGTGCATCACAGTAGGGGGTAGGGTTAGGTTCCACTAAAGCAGGGTTGAGAGTGCAATGTTGTGGGGTAGACGTTTCAAAGGAGTTATTTTTTATTTCTATTACTTGAGGTGATTGCTGATTGGCAGATTTGGGAGATAATAATAACCTCATGGTCACTGGGTGAGGTCCGGTATGCTTTAAGTTACTCCAAGTTATTGTGGATTTCTCAGAATCAGTTTTTATCCCAGCATTACAGTTCCTCCCAAGACATCGCCAAGTTATTTCCCCACTTTTAGCAACATAGTTCTGTCTGAATTTAAAATTATTGTATATAATATTTGGTTTACCATTTTTGGTTTGCTCAAGTTGAAATTCCATGTAAACCATGAAGAAATGGATAAGAATTTAAGAATATAATAATATAAAATTGTGTGCTAATGTCAAACTAATGAATGAGAAGATTTATTCAATGCTGTTTGAAGAACAGAACAGCTTCATGGAAACTAAAAATGACTAGCTTAGCATACAAAGTGAGTACGCTAACTTCACACTTCCGGGTTCTAGCGCGTGCCGTTTTCTGATGAGAAATGTTTAAACATCTATATATCAATCGTTACTTCTTCGTTAGCCCTCAATAGTTCTCCAATATTTTCGTTAGTTCTCAAAATATAAAAAAGTTACGAGGCATACAAAGTGGGTACGCTAACTTCACAATTATACAATTTCCAGCTCGCACCGTTTTCTGACTATAAATGCTTATATCTATATACCAATCATTAGTTCTTCGTTAGTTCTCGATTTTTCTCCAACTAACGTAAATATTGGAGAACTATTGAGAACTAACGAAGAACTAACGATTGGTATATAGATACAAGCATTTATAGTCAGAAAACGGTGCCCGCTGGAAATTGTATAATTGTGAAGTTAGCGTACCCACTTTGTATGCCTCGTAACTTTTTTATTTTTTGAGAACTAACGTAAATATTGGAGAACTATCGAGAACTAACGAAGAACTAACGGTTGGTTTATCAATATAAGCATTTATAGTCAGAAAACGGTGCCCTCTGGAAATTGTATAATTGTGAAGTTAGCGTACCCATTTTGTATGCCTCGTAACTTTTTTTTATTTTTGAGAACTAACGTAAATATTGGAGAACAATCGAGAACTAACGAAGAACTAACGATTGGTACATAGATATAAGCATTTATAGTCAGAAAACGGTGCGCGCTGGAAATTGTATAATTGTGAAGTTAGCGTACCCACTTTAACGGCGGTGCTAGAAACCGGAAGTGTGAAGTTAGCGTACCCACTTATAATCGGCTATAACTTTTTTATTTTTTGAGAACTAACTAACTAAGGATGAACTAACGATTGGTATGATCAAAAGTGGATACGCTGATATGAGTACGCCAACTTCACGGACCGCAACCTTAATACTGATTAGATTCTATAAATGGCCCTAGACTATAGAGCTAAACAATAAAAACTTAATTTCAGTTGAATTCATTCAATTATAGCCAAAAGAAATATAATCATAACTATTTCGCTAACCCACATTTTTATATAAATAATTGTTGTGTAAATAATTGTATAAATAATTGTGTCATAGTTGTTGTATGATGTGTTTTTTTTTTTTTTTTTTTTTTTTTTTTTTTGGGGGGGGGGAGAAGGGTAACTTTGTTTTGAGTGTAAAGTAGATATTTTTATATAAAGTAAAATAACTAAAATTACATCTTATATACAGGAGTTTTTCTAATAACATTTTTTTTAAGAAGATATTTATGTTCAATAAAACACAGTTTATGTGATGTTTCTATCCTGTCTAGTTTGCGAAATATGAGCGATGTTATGGAACGCACCTTCGCACTACTTCCCCACTCCTCCCTAGCCTACTGGGAGGGCAACAACATCGGTTTTAGTTATCTCCAAGATGCCCCCAACAACAATCAAAAGTCAAAATTTGTTACACTTTTAGTGCATACTCAACCCCTTATAGATGCTGGACTATTTTACATATATATATATATATATATACATTAATACACATATATATACACATTAATATCTTATTATTTTCACACAAAGTATGCATGACGGTATTTCTTCTTCTTCTAGTTTTCTTTAATAAAGCTGGCTTGGTTTAACTACCATATAGCCACACTAGTTCATCAATAAAATTTTCCCGGGTTTTTTAAAATGGTAGCATGATGCTAGTTTGGAAATGATTTTTGTTTTTCTAATAAATTGAGTTTCCTGAGGTTCATAGCTTAAAGTTGGTGTTAGATGTTTTTCTATTTGAATGTTTTAGTTAATTATTAAAAGTTCAAGTTACATGACATCTCAAAGTTGGATTCCTGTTTCTTTTAAACATGTTACTAATAGTGGCCATAGCTTGCAATTATTTCCATTAGGAGCGTTTGGATGGTTGGTGGTGGTTTCCAATTAGCTTTCTTTATTTTTGCGTAAAAGCACTGTCTCATCCTTTTGTAGGCTGAGCACTCTGTAATGATGTGCTATATTGTTTCAAGTTGTCTTAGTTCACACTTGAAGCAATACGGAGATTCCGTATTCTTCATTTGAAATAGCCTTGTAGCATTGTATGTATAGGTGACCAAATCTTGGTTGCATATTAGAGAAGTGTCAGCACGGCTTATATTTTAAGAGCAGTGATTTTTCTAGTAATTTTAATGCTGTCTCGATGGTTGGTTTGCTCAAAATTTTATTTGTTAGGTATTTCATAATTTTACATTATTATGGCTCTGGGATTATGAATGTTGTTTTTTTTTTCAGGATCTTTTGGATTCAAGACGACTTCAAATGTTGATGTTATAGTCACCATTTCAATATTTATTTTTCTCTTTAATAGTGATATGTAAATAAATATTAATTCTTTTTTGACTCAAGGTCATACAAATTAGCATGAATTAAGGTAAGAAAAAATTTAAGGACTGAATATGATAGTGACATAAAAATAGCAGATAGCCTATATTAACTCAGTGATCTTAAAGATTTTTATACTGAAGAAATTATTTTACAGAAATTTTAATTGTTGTTATTTAAATGTGTTAAGGAAATTTTGTTCTGTGTTGGAAAGCACAAAAGAAAATGACAGTACAAAAATTGTAAAAAATAATTATTTTTATTGTACAGTTAAGTATTATTGCTTTTCTATTTAAGAAAATATAAAATACTCGTTATCTACTTTCAATGTTAATTGAAAATAATGAAAATACATTGGAACTCTGTCAGTAAACTATTTTTTGCCTTATTTTTTCCTTTTAATTTTTTATCGATTTTTGTGTCCAAGCCAGTTGAAAAGTTTCACACAGGATAAGAGTGGTTCTACAGCAACTTTATGTTTTTATACATTCTGCTGTATGTCACAAACAAGCGTAACCTTTGAGGATTAGATTGAGAAGTGGACAGATTTTTTCTTTGATAGAATGCGCCAGCCAACATTTTTAAAATAAAAAATTCATGATGTTGCTGTAGGCAGTCCACACTTTGTATATGGGCTGGGGGCTGGCTGGCTGGGCTATAGCCAGAGGGCCAAATTTCCAAAAGTTTTTTTAACGTTATTGTTTTAGTGAATGTCCCATATAAGGAATAAGCTATTACCAGAGGTCTCATAGTAAGAACTAAACCCGGGACCGATTTACTTTTTTGTTTTGAGGTCCCAGAGCCAAAAAAAACACCCTCTGTTCAAATTCATATGTATATATATTTATACTAGCAGAGTATAAATATATATACTCTTAGACTGATATACTTTGTCTTAGTTGATGTGAGCCACCTACAGATTGCGCTGATCTAAATTACTGATTTCTGCCAATTACATGATGGTTTTTACCAAGTCAAACTGATGGAATTACTAATTATGAGCTATAGCAACTGTTGTGACCCAGCAACTATGTCAGTAACACAAAATAGAGTTTTAGACACTGGCGCAATCTGTGACTGGCTCACACAACTACATTCTTTTTTAGTAAAAAATTGGCGACACCTGATCCATAAAGATGGGATGTCTTCTTCTGTATCCAATAGTCAATGCCGTTATACACTTAAACAATAATTACACATTTTTTCAAAACATTTCCTAAGTTTTTCTTTAAATGTTTTGCTAGATGCAACAACCTTCAGGCCGTCGGGTAGACCATTGTACAACTAGGGACCAAAATATGAGAAGCTCTTCCTCCCAAGCTCTAGAGAAACTCTTGGGAGGTGAAGCCTCCCACCCTGACGTGTCCTGCGCTGGGAAACCTCGTCACGAAGAGAAAGCCTTTCGCATAAATAGTCGGGCTTACAAAGAGACAACACTCTGTGGGTCATGCAGCACGTCAACAACCTGCACATGGCTTCAACGGGAAGCAGACTAGCTACTTCTTGAAAGGGAGAGACATGATCAAATTTTTTCAAACAGAAAATGAAACGGATTGTGGAGTTTTGGAGACGTTGCAACCGATGCATGTCTTCCCGAGAAATGCTGTTGCCATATGAAGGGAAGCAGTAGTAAAATACTGACAGTATTAGTGACTGCACGAGCTGAAGTTTTGCAGCCTCAGGCAACAAGCCTCTGAACCGGTACAAACCTCTTAGTCTCCCTAAGGCTCGCTGGGAAACAAAGGTGACATAATCGAAGAAATTCAGGTGACTTTCAATCACGACGCCAAGAGTCTTTGCCTTCTCACACACTACCAGACTCCGGCCGTCGAGACAGACAGACACTCCAGCATCTCTCAAGTTCTGCACTTGGTCCAGAGGCGCTGTATGCAAGACAGTGCACTTATCAGGGTTCAGTTTAAGCCCATTGACAAATGACCACTTGGAGATGCTCTCCAGGTCAGCGCTGAGTTTGTCAATTGCTTCTTTCATGGAAACAGGCTCAAAAGACAAGTGCAACTGAGAATCGTCTGCATAAAAATGTGCCGTAGAGTTTTGTACACAGCTAGGGAAGTCAGCTGTATAAAGTGTGTAGAGAACAGGGCCCAAGCAGCTGCCTTGAGAAACACCCCGTGGTTTGACAAGAGGTTCTGATGTCTCATTTCCAAGTCTAGTAACCTGCAGTCGGTCGATGAGATACAATCGAATCCAGGTAGTGATTTCATAGCTAAATCCAAAATAGTGCATTTTAGCAATCAGCATGTCATGATCCATTGAGTCGAATGCCTTAGAGTAGTCCAGCAAAACCAGTGAACTGTATCTACCTTTATCTTTGGCATCTATCATATCACTAAAGAGATTTGTCAATGCAGTACAGGTGCTATGGTTCTTTCTGAACCCTGACTGCAATTTAGGTAATATATGTCTCTCATTAATAAAATCCGTTAGCTGATTAGTAACTATCTTTTCCAAAATTTTTGATATTCTTGGGACAGTGATATTGGCGTCAGATCTTCCATTCTAGCTACAGATAATGTTTTAGGAACTGGTCTGACTATGCTTTTCTTCCACGCTTGTGGGAATACTCCATTAATTAATGACTCATTCACTAGATATGTTATTGCTTCAATGGCAAACGGACTCACAGACTTAACCATATCAATAGAGATTTCATCACAACCTACTGCTTTGGACTTAATATTGTTCATTACTGCTTTGACAGTTTCTTCAGTGACAGCACTAAATCTGAATTCTAGTATAGTGTCGTCTTGCCTATTAAGCATAAAGAATCTCTTTGTCTCCTCATCCACCTGAGTCCCAGAACCCATATCTGTAAAATATTTATTTACTTCGTTAACATTAAAACCTTCAGTGACATCTACCCTATTGTTTCCATGTATATCACACTGTTTAATAGATTTCCAAAAATTCCTACTGTTGTTTGTTGTTGACAGCTTATTAGTAAAGAATTCTTTTTTAGCTTGCCAGACCATTAAGTTTAATCTGTTTCTCAGTTCTTTGTAAGCACTCCAATCAGATTCATTTCTCGATTTCAAATTATCTGTTTCTAAGTTGATTTTTTTCCTTTGTCAGTTTCTTTATTTCATAATTTCTCCAAGGGGCCATTTTCTTTGTTACCCTTTTACACACAATAGGCGCTGTTTTATCATATATTTTCTTAATATGGCTGGTTAAGGCTGACTCTATGTTATTTACTCCTGTTATTTCTTTTATCTCCTTCCAGTCAATCTCAGACATTTCTTTTACTGCTTTGTCAACGTTAAAATTAGAAAAATCTCTATACCTAATCATCTTTGGCTTTTTTCTCTTATTAGATAAAAACAAGTCGCAGTATATTAACTTTTAGTCCGTAATTGACTTCCTTCTGTGATCTTTAATGGAAGGTGCATCGATAATGCCGGCCCTCTTGACTTCAGCTGACCTGTCCATTATGATGTGGTCTATCAAGGTGGCTGAAGTTGCTATCACCCTTGTTCGCTCTTTTATCAATTGTACTGCATTATTTTCACACAAGAGTCGACTAATATACTTGGAGTCACTACTCATTTTTGTCATAAGGTCAACGTAAGTGTCACCAACACAGATCACAGAGTCGACTACAACCGCAAGATCAACAAACAAGGAGTGAAACATCAAAGCAAGGCAGGTGTACCTAACATTAGGTGGCCTGTAAAAAACACACAAACCCAGTCTCTGATTTTTCATCCTCAGAACAATTGAAAGGGTTTCAATACCAGAAGGCTGATGATCAGAAAAATTGTAAAGTTCATACACAATATGATCCTTTATGTACAAGGCCACACCTCCACCAATTTCATCGGCTTCGTCAGGAAGGTTTCCAGATAGGTATGTTGTAATTGTCTGAGGGAGTGTCAGGGTGAAGTCTCTGTCACACCAAATATGTCGAAATCAGAATCAAGCACAAGTGCACACATTTCTGAGAGCCCTGTGTTCAAAGAGCGCATATTTAGGTGACTAATTCTGAAATTGCCGTCATCCCCCCCCTCCCATCAGTTTCCCGACACAGTAGCTACATCGGCACTGCTCCCACTCCCACTTTGGTCATGGTCCTGGCCAGATACAACCCCTGTGGCAAGATCCCGATCCGGAGGAAAAGGGGTGGACGTCAAACTGACTACACCCTGGTCTGAGACTTGGGTATTTTCTTGAGACCCCCAGAGAGTGCTGATCACCTATGCAAACAAATGCCCGAGGCGAGAAACCCCTCGGCAACAAAAGTGTACACCATCACGACTGAGGTCCCCCCTGCCAACACACGTGTTAGCCTCTACCGAAGTTGTTACACATCAACTCAACTTGGGTGTTAAAATCGTAGAGGGATTTGTAACTGAGATCTCGCCTGATTAAAACACTGTTCAAAATTAATTTGGTATTTGGAAAATGTGCCCTGGCAGTGTACCAAAGGTCAGCCAAGCTATGGAAAGCCTCGCGCATCCCATGTCCCCCATTGTACCCCGGATGCCCGCGATAGCCACGTCTAAGGTTGTTGCATCCAACATGGAAATAAATCATTGACAAGCTTACATCTAAATAACTTGACAACCTATTTTTTATATCTATAAATCAACCTCCCGGACAACACTCAACATATGCTCCCTTCTCTGCAACAATGTTTGTGGAGAACCGAAGATGGGAATCACCAATCACAAGTATATCTCTAAAGGGTTTTTGGCTCTCCTCCTGTGTGACTGGCTGGGTAGCTGAATGGTTATAGTGCTCGCCTAGTAATCAAAAGGTCGCCGGTTCGATCCTGAGAAAAGTTAGTAGCTTTTTGATGGTTCGAAACTGGACCCAGCTGTTCCTGATCATTGGGCTTTAAATAAATGATCCTGACTAATGAAACCGCTGATCTTAGTCAGTAACAAAGCTACACAGGTCATCACACACCATTCTACACTCATCCTTCACTCATATTTGGGTTAAAATACGCACCTAGGTGGCGTCCCCATCTCAATAATTGATTGATTGTTACAATTATTGGTAGTGGTGAAGTCACCATGGCCGTTGCGGTGCATGACTCCTCTCCAGTTTTGTTTGGGGATGATTCAATTTGTCTGTGTGTGGCAGCATCCAACTCAGCAGCTGCTAGCTCAGTGAACAAGTTGGTCGAGGTTCTCCGCTTTCTTGAATCAGACTCAGCTCTTTTCAGCTCCCGCCTCAGACATTTGACGTCTGCCTCCAACACCTCGATTGAAGTCAGCAGTCAAGTCAGAGATTTTGTCTTTACTCTCCTGTAGTAGGCATCGTAAATCTGGATTAACCTTCTTCTTCAGCTGTATATTTTCAATCTTATTTATTTATTTAACTCAGCTGTTAG